AAACAATACTCGTGAGGATTCTTTTTTATAGATTTTTGGAGGCTTTTTTAAGTTCCTGTCGCTAAGGTAATTGAATTTTTTTTTTTTTTTGGGTAAGCGATGTTTGGTATTTGTATACTACTGAGAATTGAGTTTTAGGGTTAATTCACGTACGGGGGAGTGAAGCCAAAGATCATTTCGCGCAGACCTATTACAGCCCGGCCGAGTAAAATCGAAGATTTATAACTCGAGGAATTTATGTGCAAATATCTCGGAATTTATGACTATGAGAGAAGATGTAAATGCTCCCAATCACAATAATTTTTTTCTTGTATAATAATTTAAACATAAATATTTTTCTTATAATCCTAAAAAGTATTTAGAGTTCAAAATTAAACTATTGTTAGTATAGTTTTATTATTCATATAGCTCGCATTCAAAACTATACGAACAAAAAAACCACATCTTGGTAAGCATAAATTCTTCGATCCTATTTCCATGTCTAATAACTTTTAAATAATATTACCATCTTGGCTTACCATAAAAATACCAATTTTTTAAATTCAATCTCATAAATTTATATTTGTAGTAGTGATTTATCTTAGAAAAAATTGATTTGAAATTTTGATTGAGCTCCTTTATGGTATATTTGGTATATTTGTAATTTTTAAGTCGAGTTATGGTTTTTTTGGTTGGGAAACACCACCAATTTAGACGAAATCGATCATTGAAATACAATCATACAAGGTCAAATTTAATTATAATTTCAAACGTATCAAAGGACGGGTGTTGGCTATGTATGTTGCGGATGGTGTCATGATGGTATATGTGTTATTGGTGCGTGGATAGATTACAAAATTTATCTCTGGTACTTTCAAGGGGTACATGCAGTTCTCGATCTAAGTATTGTGCATCCTAAGCTTTCTGATAATGTGATGACTACTGATGGGAAGTGGATAACCGTGGGAATTGTAAAAGTTGTTGTATTAGTTAAGACATAAGCATGGGTGAAGCAACAGAAGCTGATATCAGAAGAAGACATTTTGATAATACCAAAGAATGATATAACATCTTACACCCTTTCTGGAGACATTGGCTACATACTGATATAAAACGTTGCAAAATAACCTAACTTCTGTCTATAGCCAATTTCCTATTGACTAGTTCCACAAATCGAAGTCTAATTCATAATCAATTTCGTTGTGAGTTTTTGTTTAGTCCCGGCTTTTTATGATCACTTGGTTCAGTCGTTACTCATAATCGTAATCATTAATCAAAACCCATAATCATATTTCATAAACATAATACTCCATATTCAATTTGATATCTTGTGCGCCTTATCCAAAAACCACCTCTTACCATTGTGATTGGTTTACAATCTGAAAATTCACAGCGAAGAATATAATTGGCTAATAAAAATAGAACCTGGTTTAGATTACAATAACCGGAGTGAGAGGTAACCGAAGAAGGAAACATAAAAATTCCCCGGTCATCTACATTCACATAGGCATGACAAAAAGCTAACATTAACCGTATTTCTAACTGTAACCGGACCGTTTATAAACCGTAACCAGACCATAACCGTATAAAGCGGTTAAAACTGTAAGCGTTAACCGTGCTAGTAAATTTGTTACGGTTAAAAAAAATACTAACCGTAACCGTTAATTAACTGTAACCGTAATAAACCGCTGGTTAACCGTATGGCATGACAAATATTCAATTTAATTTTTTAATGATTTAAATATGCGGTTAACAGAGCGGTTAACCGGTTAACCGCTCTGTTAACCGCATATTTAAATCATTAAAAATTAAATTATAATTATAACTGTATATAATAAAAATACACATCGAATGTTTGGATAAGATTTTAACCTTATTAAAAGCAATTTAACAAATTGAACTCGTAAGAAATCAAAACATTTCATACTAAACTATTTATAATTTTATTTATGTGTGTATATGATGTTGAGTTTCTCAGTTTTGATCCAATACCCTGATTTAACTAATTTACTATAAATATTTAAATCATGAATATTTTGTACTTGTAAAATAAATATTACTAGGATCGGACCCGCGCTACAGCGCGGGGGAATATTTTATAAATATACGATTTTTAATTAACAAATTAAAATATGTTACATTTTTATTTTTACTTCATGCTCATTCATAGTTAGAAGCATATTGGTCATGTTTATAATTATTTAAAACCATTGTCCAAAATATTTAATCGATGTTGTATGTTTAACACTTTTTTATCTATTAAGTATAATATAAAAATTTATGAAAATATATAACCAACCATCTTAGATTTAACCAAAATATTTAACCAATCTGACTTTATTTTAATAAGATTTTACCTGAATGAATTTATAATAATATTTTCTTTGTCCATTGAGTAATATATATCCATTTTGAAAATTCAAATTGGAAACATTCAAATTGGAGTATATTAAAAGAAAGAAAGTTGAATTGAATTTTCATTCTAAATTTGTATTATATATTTTAACATAATAAATTAAAAATCAGATCGAAGGTGAAAGATTAAAGGGGAATTTCAAAAATACTCCTTTTCATATACCTCTTTTTAAAAATACCCCCTTTTCAAACTTTATCAAAAAACCCACTAAAAATGTTGAAATTTATCCAAATATGTGTGTAAGCTTATAAATATATACACAAATTACCTTTATATATGTCTAAAACTTTATACACCTTTCATAAATAGCGTAAAAATAAATTATAAAAACCTTATAAAAACCTTATAAAACCCGTATAAACCCTTTTAAAAACCTTTTAAAAACCTTATAAAACTTATAAAAACGATTTAAAACTATTTAAAACATTTTAAAATATTTGTATCGAATCTCCCAATAGTAGTTATTATATAGAAGTACCTTAAAAACTATATAAAACTTTATAATTTTTTATATTTAAAAAGGGGTATTTTTAAAAAGGGGTACACCAAAAGGGGTATTTCTCAAAAATTCTCAAGATTAAAATTTATAAATAACATGGTATGATAATTAAACTAATATGAATAACATGATATATATATATATAGCATTTTGTAAAAGAGCTAGGCTTGGAGTATATTTTGAGTTGCTGACTGTATGATGATCGGTAAATGATTATGATTAAGGGAAATTTACATATTTCGCAAATATTTCGTTTGCATATTTTGCTAGCTAATTAAATCGTAACAATTGAGATTTCATAGTTAGAATATAATCACAAAGATTTCGGAATAGTTCACTAATTAGGATATCTTTTTGGCGATTGATATCTTGTTTTGGTAATATTTAACATAAATTCCTAAAAATTGGCATATGTTAATAACTACTTAATACTTTAATCGGTTACCATTTTCTTAACATAAACTTACCATTTTCTAATATACTTAATCGGTTATATCCATACCCGGATTTTTAACCCAATTGAAAGTATCCAATACATCAATTTCGGGTATTTTAGGATTAATTTTGATTTTGACCCGACCCATTTCACTTTTGTACTTCTCTTTTACTAATATAGAGATTTCATATATTATTTTATTATTATTATAAAGTTAAAAATATAAGATTTTGTCTCTAATATTAATATTATAATAATTATCAAATAACTGTAAACGTAATTAACCGTAACCATATATAACTGTAACGGTCTTAACCATATATATAGTAATTAAAGTTATGATTAAAGAAAATTATAATCGTTAACCGGTAGTTAATTAACCATAACCGCATTAACCATAACCGTGGTGATGCCTACATTCACATGTCTTCTTCATCACGTAACTTGTTATCTTTTTTGCCCCGCGCCCCTATATTTCTATCATCTTTGCAATTTCGTGAACTAGTACTAGCCTATCAATCTCCTGCTTGGATCGATTGGTTTAATCTTTTTGTCTCCATCTTGTTAATGTTTCGAGCTGACTTTGTGCTAATTATAGATTTTGAACGTTTTGACTTGTCTTGTTCTTGTTAATGTTGTAGCTTACACTTTGAGATTTTCGTATTTTGATTCTGCTGATTCCAAAGTTTCTGTATGATTCATTGTTATAAGTCAATTCTTATAGAGTTTGCAAGATATGGATTGAGATAATAAGCTGACTAATTGTGTCACAGGGTTAATTTGATTCAAGTCTTTGTAATCAAGACATCTAATTTGTAGTATTTTTTTTTTTTTTTTACCACCCATAGCAATATATTAAATATTATATTTTTATAATTATCATTAGTTGTATAATTTTTTTTTTTTTTCTTAGTAAATCAATTTTATTTTTAAACAGAAATGATACAAAAGTATATAAGTAAATGAACATTTGTATCAACAATAATACAAAAAAAAAATTAGTACTTTTCCATGTTATGTCAATGTACCATAACTGGACCATTACCTTTTTATTTTATATTTGTAGCTTCACTGGCAAGCAAGTGATATCGTATATCAAAGTATAGAAAACTATTAATTTATGAATCTGGATCTGAATGATCAGAGTTGCCATTTAATGTAATGGAATTGTTTTTTATTTTATTTTTATGATTTATAAGAGAAAAAAATACAGGATAATCTACTGAATTAACTATTAAAATTATGATTGATTACTTGATCATAAAAAAAAGAAAAAATAATCAGAGAGAAACATGTGTTTTATTTAATTAAACACTCACATGAAATGAGAGGTTCTCAAAGTCAATCAAATAAGAAAAAAAAAATCGCTAATTTTTAATACTAAAACTTATCCTTTAGTTAATTTAGTCTCATAACACATGCTCTATGTTATTAAAGAACAAATGATAAGTTATAATATGAACAGTTCTAGTGTCACACTCACAGATCTCGATAGATTATTCAAAGATACTTAGCATTTCGAAAGTCAAATGTTTGAAACATATATTAAACTTTGTTTAATTGAAACACTAAACTCGTGAGGAAAAGGACAACACAAATAGAGACAGAAAATAATTTATATAAAGCCTCTTTTGATTCACTGATAATCTTTTATCATTTCAAGAAACAAAATGGGCAAAACCATAGTTCTCTTAGCTTTATTTCTGGCTATAGTTTTGAATGTGCAGACAAGTTTTGTCGTTGCAGAGACCAAGGTACTCCTCATTTATGGATAAATCTCTGTTGATAGTGATAGCTAGAGCTAATACTGTTGTTTCTTTGTGGTCAATAGGTTTATGTAGTTTATCTTGGAGAGAAGAAGCATGATGATATAGAGTCTGTCACTGAATCTCACCATCAGATTTTGTGGTCACTTCTTGGAAGGTATGATACAGAACCTCTACATAGGAACTTTAGGTAGACATGTTTATGTCGGATAGATCGAAGATAGTTTTACTTAGTTGATTGTAATGTTTCAGCAAAGAGGCTGTCCAGGATTCAATAGTGTATAGTTATCGACATGGCTTCTCAGGCTTTGCAGCCAAGCTTACTGAGTCCCAAGCTCAGCAAATTTCAGGTACACTTCTAGAGTTCAACTCTTCTCTGTTTCTTGACTTAATATAGACCAAATGGTTATTTCTTGACTTGTCTATTGAGAATAGAGATTCCGGGAGTAGTACAAGTCATACCGAATGCATTATACGAACTGACAACAACTAGAACTTGGGATTACTTGGGCTTATCTCCGGGTAATTCACAGAGTCTCCTACAAAAGACCAACATGGGAAGTTCAGTAATTGTTGGAGTCATTGACACAGGTATGTGCATAAAGAAAACATCTTTAGTTTCTTAAAGATATTTTTACTGATAGAAAGAATCAAAATCATTGATACAGGAGTGTGGCCAGAGTCTGAGATGTTTAATGACAAAGGCTATGGACCTATACCGAGCCGTTGGAAAGGCGTCTGTGAATATGGAGAACTCTTCAGTCCCTCGAATTGTAACAAAAAGCTGATCGGAGCGAAGTTTTTTATCGATGGTTATTTTGCTGAATTTGGAGTAGTGAAAACAACAGAGAAACCTGAGTACATTTCCCCAAGAGACTTTCACGGTCATGGCACACATGTTGCCTCAACCGTTGGTGGTTCTTTTGTGCATAATGTAAGCTACTTAGGCCTTGGAAGAGGAAGTGTGCGAGGCGGTGCTCCTGGTGTCCAATTAGCAATTTATAAGGCGTGTTGGCAAGATGGAACATGTTCAGGAGTAGATGTTTTAAAAGCCATTGATGAAGCTATACATGATGGTGTTGATGTTTTGTCACTCTCTTTGGGACTGAAGGTTCCTTTATATCAAGAAACTGATGTGAGGGAGCTGACCTCTGTGGGAACTTTCCATGCAGTAGCAAAGGGTATTACTGTTGTAGCTTCAGCTGGTAATGATGGCCCTGCTGCTCAGACTATTTCGAATGTCGCTCCTTGGATCTTGACCGTCGCTGCAACTACTCTAGACCGTTCTTTTCCCACAACCATCACTCTTGGGAACAATATCACAACACTGGTATATTCATGACTAAGAGAATTACAAAACAATCTTTTTCTCAATCCCTTTTGCTGAAGATTTATTCTTTGCTTAATTTAGGGTCAAGCAATCTTTGGTGGTCCAGAACTTGGTTTTGTTGATCTTACTTATCCAGAGAAACCACTTATCGGGTAAATTCGAATCACCTGTTAATGTTTTGTTTTGACTATATAATCTTGATATGGTATATATGGAACTTGATGCCTTGAACTTGCAGTGACTGTGCTGGTCTTGCTGCTAATCCCAAAAATACAATGGAAGGAAAAGTTGTGTTATGTTTCACCGCAGATTTAAGCTCTGCGGGTTTAGTAAATGGTATTATCGCAGTAAAAAATGCAGGTGGTCTTGGGGTAATCATTGCAAGAAATCCAACCCACCAACTTATTCCATCTCGTGACTTCCCTTGTGTTATGGTAGACTTTGAGCTCGGAACTGACATTCTTTTCTACATACGATCCACAAGGTACCTTTACCAAACTTTTCACCATCTCTTTGACGAAAAATTTTCATGGATGATGTATCCAAACATCACGTTTTGGGTTTTGTTTTGCTAGTTCTCCCATTGTTAAGATACATGCTTCAAGAACACTTGTGTCTTACCCCGTGGCGACAAAGGTAGCGACGTTCTCATCAAGAGGACCCAATTCGGTATCTCCGGCGGTTCTTAAGGTATATCAACACCTTTAATACATATCCAACACCTTATGATATAAAGTTTTTGATGACTAAAAATCTTTTGTAATGCAGCCGGATATAGCAGCACCTGGTGTGAACATACTAGCAGCTGTTTCTCCCAATAGTTCTATCAGTGATGGAGGATTTGCTATGACTACTGGTACATCAATGGCCACTCCTGTTGTTTCAGGAGTTGTAGTGCTCCTCAAGTCATTACACCCTAATTGGTCTCCTGCTGCTATCAAATCAGCTATTGTCACTACAGGTTAATTATGATAATCTCTAAGCTTTGTTTCATAGACTTTTAAAATCAATTAAAGAATAACATATTGATCTTGTGATCATACTTATTACTGCAGCATGGAGAACTGATCCATCGGGGGAGCCTATTTTCGCAGACGGGTCAAGCCGCAAGCTAGCTGATCCGTTTGATTACGGAGGAGGCCTCATAAATCCAGAAAAAGCTGCAAGACCAGGTCTAATATACGACATGACCATTGATGACTATGTCTTGTACTTATGCTCTACTGATTACAATGACACATCCATTTCCCAAGTCCTCGGAAAGACAACAATATGTCCTAACCCGAAGCCTTCTGTTCTTGATCTTAACTTGCCATCGATCACAATACCAAACCTCAAAGACGAAGTCACTCTCACCCGAACCGTCACTAATGTTGGACCTCCCAACTCAATATACAAAGTTGTGATCGATCCTCCAATGGGTGTTAATATGATCGTGACACCAAAGTGGCTAGTGTTTAACTCGATGACCAAAAAGGTTTCTTTTAAAGTGAGAGTTTCGACAACGCACAAAGTTAATAATGGCTATTACTTTGGAAGCTTGACATGGACTGACAAAGTGCACAATGTGGTCATCCCAGTATCTGTAAGAACCCAAATCCTCCAACGGTACCATGATGAGAACTGATGTAGGCGATGTTAAAAGCATCTTTAATTCTTTATGAAAAGCTCCCTAAAATATATGGCTACAATATGTGAAGCATAATGCTGACGAATAATAATATTGTGTGTTCTTTATTCATCTGTAATTCCGTAGAATGGTCATATACTCATATTATATGACTCATATATGCACACACGAGATCAGTCCTCTCTTTACAAAATAAAAAGGTAGTACGTTTTTAACATTTATCAAGAGTATGTAGTTACATTCAAATGTTATTACAAATAAGGGAAATTTAAAATACATCCTTTTTAAGAAGGGATTGAAGATAGGCATTAAGGAAAGAATATCAAATACTAATTTATTCAATTTAATTAAACTAAAAAAGAAAATATATTATTTTATTTTTCAAAATAAATAACCAATCAAAATAAACATAGAAGATTTGATAACTAGTTTCTTGATAATCATTATATTTCACCATTCATCTTTTTATGATTATATTTTGTGAAACAAATAGCTTATCATATCATTCATATAATAATAAAAATGTAGATTTTTTTCCGCATATGCTATAATTTGAATTTTTTAAATTTCTAACGGGTTATAAATTCAAAATTTTTAGTAATATGTTTATTTGAACAAACATATATTCAACAATTAATTTGAATAAGTAACAGGTCATAATTTAAATATTTATATTCAGTTTCATGAAATGTATAATTTTATATACTACAATAATTTTTTAAATATTTAAATTTGAAACATGTAAAATATTATAGTTAACTTGAGAATTTTTTTAAATATCATAAAAAATTTTGGATCAAAAAATTAAAAATTAAAAATATTCTGATTTGATACTTTTACACAGATATATTTAAATATTTATTGCAGATGACGAGTTAACTGTAATGTATTATATGATAGAATGCGTTATGATCCTTATAACAGATGGCGAAAATAATTAAAACTAAAATAAAATCACGATTTTTTAAAAAATTTCAAAATATATAAAAATATGCAGAAAATAAAATACAACATGTTAGCACTGATAGTCTGATACTAATCTAATTTAGAGTTATAATAAGTTGCTGCATAAGTATAAATATAAAGGTTGATAACTCTATAGTTCCCAAGTGTGATTTCCTTTAGCTGTCACAGGTTCAACATTAGATTTCCTTTAGCTGTCACAGGAGACTAATTTTACTTGAATAGTAAAAAAGGACGACGACCATATTGACTCCAGCAAAATGTGAGAACAAGGATGAAATAAGATAAGACCGACAAAACCAATGACGAAACTTAATGACGCAAATCAATAATGCAACCCAATAATGAACGTCCTAGCTAGTATATGAAGGCATGCATTTGCTTCACTCCAACTCGAACCACATTATAACTTTTGCTCTCTCTTTTGAAGATATATAGAGGATGGGCAATATAAGCATTATCATCGCGATGGTTCTGACTATAGTTCTGAACCTGCAAGTCAGTTTAGTCTTTGCTGAGACCAAGGTACTTAGCATTTTAGATTAAGCAACATTACCATATTTATTTAACATTGAGTAATGTATTTGTTGCTTTGTGAACAAGTACAGGTTTATGTAGTTTATATGGGAAAGAAGATACATGATGATCCTGAGTCTGTCACTGAATCTCACCATCAGTTGCTGTGGCCACTTCTTGGAAGGTGTTGTAATTCTACAAATGGGATATATATATATATAGTCTACAATATACAAAAGATTATTCAAAATATTTCATTTCAAGAAGATGGATTTTTCAAGTTTTTAATATACTTTAATTAGTGTTATGATTATGAAATATAAACTTAAAATAACAATTTTGAATACAATTGATTTAGAATTATGAAAAATTAATCACAAAATAACGCATTTATAATAATGATAATAATAAATGTGTTAAAATGCTAAAAATTTGGATCCATTAGGAACAAAGAGACTGTTACTTGATTTTTGTTTTTTTGGTCTATACTACCTTTTTATCTTCTTCTTTCTTCAACACAAACATCTCTTTCTTTTATTTTGTCGAACATCACCACAAAATCTCACTACTCCGACTTACCACCACCATCAATATGCCGAATCTCGCTAATTTTGACTCACACCACCGTCATATTTTTAAAAATATTTGTCGACATTTTCATTTATAACATGCTATTTTCCTTAAATTACACTTGATAATAGAAAATTGCTCTTTTTAACACGATTTTTTTCGTATTACACGTTATTTATTAAGGTCACATATGATTTTTTTCAAAAACATGTTTTTAATATAAAAAACGCATTGTTTCTCCAAATGTCACGCTTTTCCTTTCACTATGACATAATATTTTTTTTTATTAAATGGCATTATTTTTTAACAAATTACAATGCGCTGATGCATCTTTTGTCATTTATTTGAAAACAGTTTTGATTTCTCACATCACTGGAAAAACGTGAGTTTCCAAAGTTTTCTCACACATAGCTATTTTCTTAATTCTTTTGAGTCAAAGCTATTTACTAATATTACCCTAATCTATAAATATATACAAATAATATTGAGAAGAAATGTTTTTTTTTTAATTAATTTATAAAATAAGAAAGAAAAAGACAGAAACAAATATTCTGAAAATAAAATTTTGTCATGTGTATTTTAGTAAAATTTATAATGATTAGTTAATTTTTTTTTTTTTTTTTGGAACACAAATGATAGTTACTTAATTGTCATGTTTTCAGCAAAAAAGCAGTCCATGGTTCAATAGTGTATAGCTACCTACACGGCTTCTCAGGTTTCGCTGCTAAGCTCACAGAGTCACAAGCCCAGCAAATTTCAGGTACTTGCAAAGTGGAACACTTCTCTGTTTCTGTAGTTATTTTTCTGAACAAACCAATTTTTCCTACGAGAACAGAACTCCCTAATGTAGTACAAGTCACGGCGAATTCATTATACGAACTTACAACAACAAGAACATGGGATTACTTGGGCATATCTCCGGGTAATTCGCAGAGTCTTCTAAATGAAGCGAAGATGGGAAGTCCGGTCATCGTTGGAGTCATCGATACAGGTTTGTGTCTATGAAGCAATACTTGTTATACTCAGCAAAGACATTTTTATTGATAGAAACCATCACATTCAGGTGTGTGGCCGGAGTCTGAAATGTTTAACGACAAAGGCTATGGACCTATACCGAGTCGTTGGAAAGGTGGATGTGTATCTGGACAATCATTCAACGCCTCGATCAATTGCAATAGAAAGCTGATAGGAGCGAAATACTTTGTTGATGGCTATGTTGCTGAGAATGGATTCTTGAACACAACAGAGACCCCTGAGTATATTTCCCCGAGGGACTTTAGTGGTCATGGCACGCATGTCGCTTCAACCATCGGTGGTTCTTTTCTGCCTAATGTAAGCTACTTAGGCCTCGGACAAGGAACTGCGCGAGGAGGTGCTCCCGGTGTTCATATAGCTATTTATAAGGCATGCTGGCTTCAAGGAGGGACTTGTTCTAGTGCTGATCTGTTAAAAGCAATCGATGAAGCTATTCATGATGGTGTTGATGTTTTGTCACTCTCTGTGGGATCGGGTTTTCCTTTGACAATAGAAACTGATGTGCAGCTTTTTGCTATGGGATTATTCCACGCGGTAGAAAAGGGAATTCATGTTGTAGCTTCAGCTGGTAATAATGGCCCTGTGGCTCAGACCATTGGCAATGTAGCTCCTTGGATCTTGACGGTGGCTGCAACTACTCTAGACCGTTCCTTTCCCACAACCATCACACTTGGGAACAATATAACAATACTGGTATGTATATTCATGCATGACTAAAGAACTTAAAATAAACTGTTTCTCAACTTTAAAATGCTCTTGAGAAGTTCAATTGTTTTTGGTTAACTGGGTAAAATTATATAGTCTAAGTGGAATTGGACAGAATATATGTCGTATAGGTGGAATTGGACAAAATCTAAAAGTCTAGGAGGAACCTAGTTGAAACACTATATCTAAAGATCTAAACCCTTTTGCTGAAGATTCTTCTTTACTTAATATAGGGTCAAGCAATCTTTGCTAGACCAAAACTCGGGTTTGTTAATCTTACTTATCCAGAGAGACCACTTTCCGGGTAAGTTTGGATCACCTCTCTCATGTTTTGACTCTATATACACTTGATATTGTGTGTTTGGACTCTGATGTCTTCAACTTGCAGTGACTGTGCTTCCTTGGCTAATCCCAACAATGCAATTGCAATGAACGGAAAAGTTGTGTTATGTTTCACAGCAGACTTGAATCCCCGCTCTGGGGCTGTAGTAGATGCAATAACTGCAGTAAGTAGTGCAGGTGGCCTTGGGGTAATCATTGCGAGAAACCCCCGTTGGGTTAACCCAACTCATACCCTCCCATGCGTTACGGTAGACTTTGAGCTCGGAACTGACATTTTGTTCTACATACGCTCTTCAAGGTATTTTCACCAAAACTTCACTGTTTCTTTAATGAATGAAGACTTTCATGGATGATGGATCCAAATGTGTATATATTACCACACTTTTTGGGCTTCGTTTTGTCAGCTCTCCCATGGTAAAGATAGATGCTCCAAGAACACATGTATCACATCCCGTGGCGACAAAGGTAGCATATTTCTCATCAAGAGGACCCAATTCGATATCTCCAACGATTCTTAAGGTATACCACTTGCTTCCATACCTATCCAACCCCTTGAGATTCTAAGAGTTTTTTATGACTACTGCAGCCGGATATAGCAGCACCAGGAGTGAACATACTAGCAGCACACAAAAGAGAAGTTGTTTTTAAGTCAGGGACATCTATGGCTACTCCTGTTGTTACAGCAGTTGTAGTGCTACTCAAATCATTATACCCTCATTGGTCTCCTTCTGCTATTAAATCAGCTATTGTCACTACAGGTTCTTACCATCTTCAAATTCATTGTTACAATGATCAAAATAACATACTGATCTTAGGATCACATTTTGCATTGCAGCATGGAAAACTGATCCATCGGGGGAGCCCATTTTCGCAGAAGGGTCAAGCCGCAAGCTAGCAGATCCTTTCGACTACGGAGGTGGCCTCATAAATCCAGAGAAAGCTGCAAGACCAGGTCTCGTATACGACATGACCATTGACGACTACATCTCATACTTATGCTCTGCCTATAATTTTAATGATGGCTCCATTTCCCAAGTCCTCGGAAATAAAAAAACTTGTCCTAACCCGAAGCAATCTGTTCTCGATCTAAACTTGCCATCCATCACAATACCGGACCTCAAAGACGAAGTCACTCTCACCAGAACCGTTACTAACGTTGGACCGTTCAACTCAATATACAAAGTTATGATCGATGCTCCACTCGGCGTTAATATGACCGTGACACCAAATACGCTAGAGTTTAACGCTATGACCACAAAGGTGTCCTTTAAAGTGAGATTTTCGACAACACACAAAGTCAATACTGGATATTACTTTGGAAGCTTGACATGGACCGACAATGTGCACAATGTGGTCATCCCAGTATCTGTAAGAACCCAAATCCTCCAACGATACCATGATGAGAACTGATGTATAAGCCAAATGCATATTTGTGAAAAGAACTATTGTTATGTTTAGTTATGTGTAAAGCATAATGCTGATGAATAATACATACTATTGTGTGGAATTACGTAACTTCCATAGATAAATATTCCTGCTAAACTTCCATTCCATGTACTATATAGTTTTGTCACTGGAAAAGAAAGGTGTAATAAGTCAAATACTGTATGATTATACATTGGAAAAAAAGGAAAATAATTTGTTAAAGTTTAGTATGTCATTCAATTGATAATATTAATGGAAAACAAATAATTCAGATCAAGACCTAAATTTAAAGACTGAAAATTTTTAGAGTTGGTAGAATATTTTAGATCTTAAAAAGATTTTTTTTTTTTTTTTTATATATAAATCGAATTAGTATTTATATTGGATTCCATTTCAGAAAAGACATACACATATGACAAAATCGAATTAGAAAGACTGTACTGAATTTCAAAAAAATAACTTCTAGTGATATCCACTTGAGGTTGACTTATATCAAAGATCGTTTTCCGTCAAGCGTAAAATAAAATTATACATAATAGTTGAAGGGATCTCTATCACTTCATCTCATGCCTTATTGATTATTTATTTATTTTAGTTAAAAAAAATGTAAATCATGTAGTATCTCTTTATTACTGAATTGATATATGACTTATTAATTGCATATAGTCTACAAATATAAATTCATGAACGTAATTATGATTTAGTTTTATTGAAATAGAAAATTAATTAATAACCTAATGGAATTTATTTTATCTTTAGATTATTATTATTATTATTATTATTATTATTATATACACACACACGAGTAGCTGTAAAGAATTTTAGTTGAAAATTATAGTTTGTTTATTTTTTGTTGGGACAATTCTAAAAATACCAAATCAAGATTATTTTTCTTTATTTATTTTAAAAAATTTAAAGGTAGCAATAGCGTAATAATTTCTTCATTTTTTACTTTTAGATAATAATTGTAAATAAACAGTAGACTATCAATTAATCAAGATGATTAACACTAAATTATAATCTCATTCAGTCATGTAAAAACTTGTTTTTAAAAATAATTTTTTTTGCTATTTATGTAGTAAACAAAAAATTGTGTTATTTTTGGAAAAAAAATATTTAATATATACTATCTAAGAGAACATGCCGGTTTTGGCCTAATATAAAACCAAAAAAAAAAACATATAGCTGGTTGATGCATAAGTATCGATACAAAAGTTGATAATAAGGACCCGTGATATCCTAGCTGGTTACTAGATTTTCTTCAGGCAGTCACACAAAAAATGAAAAGAGATTAAATTTTTACTTGAATAGTAAAAAGCCCGACGACCATAGACGACTCCAGCAAAATGTGAGAACAAGGATGAAATAAGATAAGACCAATGACGAAACTCAATGATGCAACCAGTAAAGAACATTTTAGTATATAAAGGCATGCATTTGCTTCACTCTAACTCGAACCACATAACTATTGCTCTCTCCTAGAAGATAAAGAATGGGCAAGATAAATATTCTCATTGCAATGTTTCTCACTATTGTTCTGAACCTGCAGATCAGTTTAGTCTTTGCTGAGACCAAGGTACTTAGCATTTTAGATTAAGCAACATTACCATATACATTTATCATTGAGTAATATTGTTGCTTTTGTGGACAAACAGGTTTATATAGTGTATATGGGAAAGAAGACACATGAGGATCCTGAGTCTGTCACTGAATCCCACCATCAGTTGCTGTGGCCATTTCTTGGAAGGTGTGTGATTTATTAGTAATTATACAAATGAGATTATATATACTAGTTGATAACCCATGCTATAGATGAGAATATATAGAATATTATTTAGAATAATATTGTTAAAAAAAGATAACATTTTTTCAAGTTTTGAATCTTTTTTTATATATACATTAGTTATTTATTATGAATTGTGAAACATTTTTTTTTTTTATATTATTGGTTTAAAGTTACAGAAAAATAATGCAGTTATATAAAAATATTGTTAAGAATAAGAGGGTATTACTGAGTACTTAAAGTTAATCCTCTACATATATATTATAAGATAGTTTTGGTGCTAATGTAACAAACTCACAATTATTTTCAGAATTTTTATTTATTTATTTATTTCAGCTATTGTATTTATAGATACAAATTTTATATTATGCATAACTTTGCAATAACTTTATAACCCAAAATATTTACTAATTAAACAACTGTAAGTTAAAAAAAGAATAAATCATAACTGTGTGAAATTAAATCTACGTACAACTTTTGTTGATATAACTTTACTCTATAGATATTTTAAACAACTAATAATAAGTTAATAACTGGATGGAACTTAATTATAGCAAATAACTCTCCAGAATAACTTGTCCAGAATTTTCTTCTGAAACATATATCAAGATCTATATGACTATATACCGTATTTGGATTCATAATTTTCTCTTAAGATTTTTCTCTTAATTTCCCCTTTAAAACCCTTTTTTTAATAAGTTAATCAAATGTAATTATCTTAATATGTAATAAATTATATAACATAAGATAAAAATTTTAATTTGGTCACTTAAATATCATTTTTTCTATAAAGTGTAACGTTATATTAAATTCAACGAAAATAATAATCTTTTGTATATATGTTTCGTTTAAAATTTTTAGCTAAAAGAACAATGGTTAGTGAACTGAAACCAAATTGTCATGTTTTCAGCAAAGAAGCAGTCCATGATTCAATAGTGTATAGTTATCGACATGGCTTCTCAGGCTTCGCTGCCAAGCTCACAGAGACTCAAGCCCAGCAAATTTCAGGTACTTGCAAAGTCAAACTCTTCTCTGTTTCTTGACTTTGAGTAATGCCCAAGTAGTTACTTTTCTGAACAAACCATTTCCCGTACGAGAACAGAACTGCCTGAAGTAGTACAAGTCGCACCAAATACATTATACGAACTGACAACAACTAGAACTTGGGATTACTTGGGACTGTCTCCGGGTAATTCACAGAGTCTCCTACAAAAGGCCAACATGGGAAGTTCTGTAATTGTTGGAGTCATCGATTCAGGTTTGTGTCTATGACAATGAAGCAATACCTTTGATTCTATCACATACATTTTTATTGATGGAAACCTTTCAAATGCAGGAGTGTGGCCAGAGTCTGACATGTTTAATGACAAAGGCTATGGACCAATTCCTAGCCGTTGGAAAGGCGGCTGTGAATCCGGAGACTCATTCAACGCCTCGATCAATTGCAACAGAAAGCTCATAGGAGCAAAATTTTTTGTTGATGGCCTTGTTGCCGACAAAAGAATCTTGAATAGAACACTGATAGCAGATTACCTTTCCCCGAGAGACTTAAATGGTCATGGCACACATGTGGCCTCGACTATTGGTGGTTCTTTTCTGCCTAATGTAAGCTACTTAGGCCTCGGAGAAGGAACTGCGAGAGGAGGTGCTCCCGGTGTTCATATAGCTATTTATAAGGCATGCTGGCTTTTAGAAGGGACTTGTACAGATGCTGATGTCTTAAAAGCAATTGATGTAGCTATTGATGATGGTGTTGATGTTTTGTCACTCTCTTTGGGATCGGGTGTTCCTTTAACAATAGAAACTGATGTAAATCTGATGGCTATGGGATTATTCCATGCGGTAGAAAAGGGAATTCATGTCGTGGCTGCATCTGGTAATAATGGCCCTGTTGCTCAGAGCGTTTCGAATGTTGCTCCTTGGATCTTGACGGTGGCTGCTACTACTCTAGACCGTTCCTTTCCTACAGCCATTACACTTGGGAACAATATAACAATAATGGTATGTTCATGCTAACTGCTGAGTGAACTGTTTATCAATCCCTTTTGCTGAATATTTCTTCTTTGCTTAATGTATAGGGTCAAGCAAACTTTGCTGGTCCAGAACTTGGTTCTGTTGGTCTTACTTATTCCGGGTATGTTTGAATCACCTATTCATTTTATGACTATATAATTTCCTTGAGATTGAGTCTTTCGAACATGATGCCTTCAACTTGCAGTGACTGTGCGAATCTCTTGGATAAGCCCAACAATCCCATGAAAGGAAAAGTTGTGTTATGTTTCACTGCAGATTTAAATCCCCGCTCCAGGGCTGTAACAATTGCTAGAGCCGTCGTAAGTAATGCAGGTGGTCTCGGGGTAATCATTGCAAGAAATCCCCGTTCGGTTAACCCAACTCATAACTTTCCATGCGTTACAGTAGACTTTGAGCTTGGAACTGACATTCTGTTCTACATACGCTCTACAAGGTATCATAACCGAAAAACTTCACCGTCTGTTTGATATAGACTTTCTAAGATGATGGATACAAACATATATTACTACAATTTTTGTGTTTTGTTTTGAATTTTGACAGCTCTCCCAGTGTAAAGATTCATGCTCCAACAACACTTGTTTCACACCCAGTGGCGACAAAGGTAGCATATTTCTCATCAAGAGGACCCAATTCGATATCTCCAGCAATTCTTAAGGTATATCATTTGTTTCCATACCTATCCAACCCCTTGAGATTCTAAAAGTTTTTAATGGCTAACTTTCTGTTACTGCAGCCGGATATAGCAGCACCAGGAGTGAACATACTAGCAGCAGACAAGGACAAGGAAGGAGTTGTTTTTAAGTCAGGGACATCTATGGCTACTCCTGTTGTTTCAGGAGTGGTAGTGCTACTCAAATCATTATACCCTCAGTGGTCTCCTGCTGCTATCAGATCGGCTATTGTCACCACAGGTTCTTATAATCATCTTCAAATTCATTGTTAGAATGATCAAAATATAATATTGAACTTGGGATCACATTTTACATTGCAGCATGGAAAACTGATCCATTCGGAGAGCCCATTTTCGCAGAAGGGTCAAACCGCAAGCTAGCTGATCCGTTTGATTACGGAGGAGGCCTCGTAAATCCAGAGAAAGCTGTAAGCCCAGGTCTCGTATACGACATGACCATTAATGACTATGTCTCGTACTTATGCTCTGCCTATAATTTCAATGACGTCTCCATTTCCCAAGTCGGAAATATAACAGCTTGCCCTAACCCGAAGCAATCTCTTCTCGATCTAAACTTACCATCCATCACAATACCGGACCTCAGAGACGAAGTCACTCTCACCAGAACCGTTACTAACGTTGGATCCGTCAACTCAATATACAAAGTTATGATCGATGCTCCAATTGGTGTTAATATGATCGTGACACCAGCTACGCTAGAGTTTAACTCTATGACCAGAAAGGTTTCTTTTAAAGTGAGAGTTTTGACAACGCACAAAGTAAATACTGGGTACTACTTTGGAAGCTTGACATGGACCGACAATGTGCACAATGTGGTCATCCCTGTATCTGTCAGAACCCAGATCCTCCAACGTTACCATGATGAGAATTGATGTAAACAAACTTAAAAGCATCTTTTATGAAAAGCTGCTCAAGTACTATATTTTTGTTCTGAATAATATGTAAAGCATAATGCTGATGAATAATATTGTGTGGATTGTGTTGTTTATTCATATCCATCTATAGATTATAGAATGGTCATATAGGGCACTCACGAGCGACCTCGTGAGCTTGGAGGTGACGACATAAGTAGAAAAATTAGGAAACCTACTTGAACGTTATTGAAAAGAACATACAAGTTAGTTCTTGATAATAATATGCGACATACTTGAATGTTATATTGAAAAATTTGTGAAGGTTATTTTTCTATAAGTAATGTGTGGAAATGAGTTATATTTACTTTGTGGTTTGTCGATCGATACTCTTCACTTTAAATTAAACTTTTGTGTTTCATAAAGTTTCACAAACACATGAATGTGACACTAAGCACCGAGTCACTCCAAAGTCGTGTTTCCAAAGTTGTAACTGATAAAAAAAAACAGATACCTATATAACCTCTTTTGCTCATTCACAATCAACAGAGGACACAAGCTCTGAACCCTTTAACTCTGATCATGATCTCTCTAGATGACTCTTCCACACACAAATGTTCTCCTTCTAATCTTCTATGTCGTATACTACCTATATGCAAGTTTCTATCACCTTTCTTTGTGTTTGTTTATTGTTCAATTCCAAAACAATTCTTAACATCATTAATTAATTTAGCAAGAAAAACTACTCTAGTGTTCTTAAACTGACCAATTCTAATAGTATATGGTTGGTATGAAGTCATTTTCCAATAACATTTCCCTATTCTTTCTTAATATGAGTATTTTAACCATCGTAGAGAACTATTCAGAGTTGCTTGATATTTACATGTCGGTATTACAAAGAAGTTTAGCCAAAACACTACTTCAATGGTAAATATATATGATCAAACTTAACTCTTAAAATCCAATAAAATTGTAATGGAGTAATATAGAGATTTATTCGAATGTTAAGTAATATAGCTTTAATGTATTTTTTTTCCTTGAAATTTTTAAAACTTTAAAAATTTCATAAACCCAAATCAAAACCAAAACTATATGGTAAATAATCACATCTTCCTCGAAAGGCAATTTCCATATAATGTATAAAGTAATTTAGCAAAGAAACTAGTCTAGTGTTCATAATCTGACCAATTCTAATATAGGTAGGATACGTTTATAGTCATTTTCCAAAAAAAATATCAATTTCTAACAATCAGAGTTGATATTTTAAATTTCAATATTTGAAGTAATTTTGCCAAGAATCTATTCTGGTGTTCTTAACTTAGTCAGTCTATAATTCCAGTAGAGAATTATTCAAAATTGCTTAATATTTTTAAATTCAATATTTGAACTAATTTAACTTAGATACAACTCTAGTGTTCTTATTTTATCAATCTCATTAGAGAACAATTCAGAGCTGCTTAAAATTGAAAATCCAGTGTTGGAAATAATACATAGATTTTAAAATGAACCATGCCAATATTGAAACCTTAACACAACGCTTACCTCCTCGTAGACATAGTCCTCGAAAATAATATAAGCTTATATAAAGGCTTTTGCTTCATTGATAACCATATAAACATTGAATCATATATCTCTCTTTCTCCTTTCAAGAGAGAATGGGCAAAACCATTACTATCTTGGCTTTATTTCTGGTTATAGTTTTGAATGTGCAGACCAGTTTCGTCGTTGCCGAGACCAAGGTAATTGGTATTTATGAAAAGATCTCTCTTCATCATGCAACATAACCATATCTAGAACTGAACTTTTTTGTCTTGTGATCAAATAGGTTTATGTAGTTTACTTGGGAGAGAAGGAACATGACAATCCTGACTCTGTCACTGAGTCTCACCATCAGATGTTGTGGCCTATTCTTGGAAGGTATGTTTTAGTACCTTCTACATAGGAACTTTAGGGAGACATACATGATAATATGTCAAAAAGATCGCAGATAGTTTACTTTCTTGGTTTTTCATGTTACAGCAAAAAGGATGCCCATGATTCAATAGTATACAGTTATCGACATGGCTTCTCAGGCTTCGCTGCCAAGCTCACAGAGTCACAAGCCCAGCAAATTTCTGGTACTTGTAGAGTTGAACTCTTCTATGTTGTTTGACTTGACTTAATCCAAGTAGTTATTAACAAATCATTGACCTTCCTTGAGAACAGAACTACCTGAAGTAGTGCAAGTGATCCCAAATACATTATACGAAATGACAACAACAAGAACTTGGGAATACTTGGGAATATCTCCGGCCAATTCAAATAGTCTTCTACAAAAGGCCAACATGGGGTCCCAAGTTATCGTTGGAGTCATCGACACAGGTATGTTCATGTACAAAAGGTTTTTATAATTCATGTAACAACATGGTTACTGATAGAAAGCATTAAATATGGATATATACAGGAGTGTGGCCAGAGTCTGAAATGTTCAATGACAAAGGCTATGGACCTATACCAAGCCGTTGGAAAGGCGGCTGCGAATCCGGAGAAATCTTCAACGGCTCAGTTCATTGCAACAAAAAGCTGATAGGAGCCAAATATTTTATTGATGCCAATGTTGCTGACTTTGGAGTCTTGAACAAAACAGTGAATCCTGACTACCTTTCCCCAAGAGACTTTGAAGGTCATGGCACTCATGTTGCCTCGACCATTGGTGGTTCTTTTCTTCCAAATGTAAACTACTTAGGCCTTGGACGAGGAACTGCAAGAGGCGGTGCTCCCGGTGTTCATATAGCTATTTATAAGGCATGCTGGATTCAAAGAGGGTGTTCAGGAGCTGATGTCTTAAAAGCAATAGATGAAGCTATTCATGACGGTGTTGATATTTTGTCACTGTCTTTGCAAACTAGTGTTCCTTTATTTCCAGAAACAGATATGAGGTCGTTGGCCTCTGTGGGAGCATTCCATGCGGTCGCAAAGGGGATTCCTGTCGTAGCCGCAGCTGGTAATGCTGGTCCTACGGCTCAGACCATTTGTAACGTAGCTCCTTGGATCTTGACAGTGGCTGCAACCACTCAAGACCGTTCCTTTCCCACAGCCATAACACTTGGAAACAATATAACAATACTGGTACATATGTTCTGTTTTTTTTTTTAATATATACAAACTAAGAATTTCTATAGATGTATATAGATGTCCATAGTTTCTATAGATTTCTGTAGTTCTGAATCCTTGTACTGAAAAATTCCTCTTTGGTTAATGTAGGGTCAAGCAATCTTTGCCGGTCCAGAACTCGGTTTCGTTGGTCTTACTTACCCAGAGAGACCACTTTCCGGGTAACATTGAATTACATATTTCATGTTTTTGATCATTTGATTGTACAATATGTTATTGGATATGATATGGCTATTAACTTGCAGTGACTGCGAGAAGCTCTCTGCTAATCCCAGCAGTGCAATGGAAGGAAAAGTTGTGTTGTGTTTCACAGCAAATGAACCATCAAATGCTGCTCTAACCGCAGTAAGAAACGCCGGTGGCCTCGGGTTAATCATGGCAAGAAATCCGACCCACTTGCTTACTCCAACTCGTGCCTTTCCATATGTTTCCGTAGACTTTGAGCTCGGGACCGACATTTTGTTCTATATACGCTCCACAAGGTATATTTCCAAAATGATCACAATCTCTTTAACCAACACATTTGACTGAACTTATTGAGTTTTTGTTATTTTGTAGATCTCCCATTGTAAATATACAGGCTTCAAGAACGCTTATTGGACGATCCGTGGCGACAAAGGTAGCAACTTTCTCATCAAGGGGACCTAATTCGGTTTCTCCAGCGATTCTTAAGGTACATCAGACCATTTCATACAATTCTAACCTCTTAAGATCCTCTGTTTCGTAACCGCTTCTCTGTTTTTGTAACCGCTACTCTGTTATGGCAGCCGGATATAGCAGCACCTGGTGTGAACATACTAGCAGCTATTTCTCCAAATAGCTCTTTAAGTGACGGAGGATTTGCTATGATGTCAGGGACATCTATGGCTACTCCTGTTGTTTCAGGAGTTGTAGTGCTCCTCAAGTCATTACACCCTGATTGGTCTCCTGCTGCTATTAAATCAGCTATTGTCACTACAGGTTCTTATAATCTTCAATACTTTTTAGATTGACTAATAAGAGATTAATAAAAACCTATTGATCTCTGGGAACACATTTTTGCACTGCAGCTTGGAAAACCGATCCATCAGGAGAGCCGATTTTCGCAGACGGGTCAAGCCGCAAGCTAGCAGATCCGTTTGATTACGGAGGAGGACTCATAAATGCAGAGAAAGCTGTAAAACCAGGTCTCATATACGACATGAACACAAATGACTACATCTTGTACTTATGCTCGGTTGATTACAGCGACATATCCATTTCCCGAGTCCTCGGGAAAACAACTGTTTGTCCTAACCCCAAGCCTTCTGTTCTTGATCTCAACTTGCCTTCAATCACAATCCCAAATCTTAGAGACGAAGTCACTTTCACAAGAACCGTCACTAACGTTGGACCTGTTAACTCAGTATACAAGGTTGTAATTGATCCTCCAACGGGAGTTAACGTGGCTGTTACGCCAACGGAACTAGTGTTCGACTCTACAACTACAAAGCTATCTTATACTGTTCGGGTCTCGACTACGCACAAAGTAAACACTGGTTACTACTTTGGAAGCTTGGCTTGGACTGATAATATACACAATGTAGCCATCCCAATATCTGTAAGAACACAGATCTTGCAACGATACTTTGACGAAAACTGATTTAAGCCAAAAACTCAGATTTCTTAAGGAAACTGTAAAGCATCATGCTGATGAATAATACTATAATATCTAAATTGTTATATTAATGTATTGAAGATTATGTAAAGCATCAAACTGATGAATAATATACTAAGTAGAATCTTCTTAAAACACTTTTATCGACTGATATTCTTTATTTTTTTTTGGGTATAACACTTTTATCGACTGATATTCTTTATTTTTTTTGAATGAATTTTAATTTTATTCAACCAAAACAAACCCATCTAAATAATTATGAATATTAATTTAATAACTAAAAAACCATCTAAATAAAAATTTACCTAAGGTCTAATTAATTCTTATACTAATAAATAAATATTAAATTGTATAAAATTAATACTATTTTTAATAAATAATTAAAAAAATTAATCAAAGCATTATTGAAAAACTAATTTCAAAAGTGAACATGATAATAAAATATAATACTATCTAATTGCTTTTTTTCATATTGCTATTTAGTAGTTTAATAAATAATATGATGAAGATGGGTAAGAACGTTGCAATTTTTTTTGATATTTAAATACTATAACTATTATTATCTAATTGCTTTATTCCTATCTATCTTAACATTTTTGAAGTACATTTTGTACTAAAATCTATTTTGGCTTATAACCTTTTATTTTGTAATATTTGCATAATTAAACTCTTGCCATTTGAATAAATAACAAAACTTTAAAGTAAATTTTGTAATTAAATCACAAGCAAATCCCAAAATTGGAAACCAAATATTTATTACATAAAACAATTTCCTAAAATCCCTCTCTAATAAACCGAATCTCTCTCCAATAAATTTATATAATCTTATGTGTTTTAAATTTATATTATTACATAAAATATGTTTATAATAAAAATACAAATTTTTTTCCACACATTTTGCAATTTAAATTTTTGAAAATGGACGTAGTTAACTCAATCAATAAAGAAAAGAATATATGTACAACGTATACATAAGATATAAAATTTTAGATAATAGTTCAAAACCTTTATAAATAAGATTAATATGTTTACAACTACAAATGAGCATGAAGTTTGATTTCTCAAGTATCCAAATTAAAACTTTTATTAGCTTAATCCGGTTCTTTATTTAAGGAAACTAAAAATTTTAAAAAGTTTCAGAATATTATAAATTTTAATTTTTTAACAAGTTTAAAGGGTGATAAATATTAAAACTTTAAAAAGCTGAAAATTCTGATATTTTATTTAATTTTTATAGAATATTAAAATAATGAAAAATATTTAAACTCTACAAAAATTAAAAGTATTACTAATATTTTAACTCTACAAATATTTAAAATATAATAATATTGGACATAATATGATTGAACGAGTTTTAGTTTACATAAATATGATTATATTTTTCTGCGGGTTGTCTATATTTAAAATCTTTTACGGGTTAAGTTAAAATATAATTTTTTATTTACAACAAAATTGTCTCGATGTACTGCATGTTTACCACATATATCTATGAATTTACTTATAATACAAATTTATAAAATTATATTAAATTAAATTAAATAAACATATACAAAACTAAATTATATAAATCAACTACGAAAATGATCAAACAAAGAAATATATTAAATTATGGACCCGTGGTGTACCACGAGGTAAATCCTAGTTGTTATTTAGTATTTAAGACCATTGCTCATTCAATTTTAAAATTTTCGGTTTAAAAAACAAACCAGAAAATGCAACACTAACACGGTTTAGTTCCATATTCAAATAGTTTTAACGGACAGAATAAAACTCAGTTTAGGGGGGAAAATCTCGTTTTAAATTTTAAATCCAACGGAACACACGAGGGCGTTTTCGTAATTACGTATTAATCAGCCTAACCACTACAAATACAAATCTTTTTTTTTTATTCCTTTTTCAACGCAATTATTCATTTTTTTCATCAACGAATCAAACCGAAGCACCTCTGCGATTTCAGAAATAGAATCAATCGAGCGATGAAGATCGATCACAGAGTGATGAAAATCCCGCCGGCGATTAAGATTACGATGATTAATCAGGTAACTCTGAAGCTTATCGATTTTGATTCTGGTGCTTTGATTCATCGCACATGTCAATTTACTTGAAAAACTCGATTATTCCAGAGCAGAGTCGTGTGATTGAATCTGGGTTTTGATCGCTTCAAATCGTTTTTACAAATCCTTCAGGTATAAATCCTCTTCTTATTTGATTAGCGTGTTGTTGGGCTGTTTGATTTGATGACTTGTTTCGTTAAATGTCTGAAAATCTTAGCGATTTTTAGTTCTATAACAGAGGCGTGTAATTGAATCTGGGGGCCGAGATCGCTTCAAATCGTTTTCACAAACTCTTCTGATTACGCACAAAATTTTGTAGGTATAAACTCTCTTCTGATTCTTCTGATTTTGTTTTCTTTTCTGGGTTTGTGTTGTGAAAATTAGGGTTTTTGTTTTGATTTCGTTGCGAGTAAAAAGAAAAAAAATGGAAAAGTACATCGAGTGTGGCATTGGCAATAAGGTTAATTGCATACTCTGTCGTCTTAGATCAACTATTTTGAGTATTTACTTAATCTTGAACCTTTTGTTTTGTTTCTGGTGAATTAATAATAGATTGATGAGAACGTAGCGAGAGAGATTATTAATTATAGATCACTTCGTCATCCTAATATAATCATGTTTAGCCATGATGGTGTACTAAAATGATCAATTTTTAGAGTTGTATGTGGTCTGAGATTAGCTGAGAGGAGGAAAGAGGAATATGTGTTTGTAATTAGTTTGGAGCAGCTTCTCGGATTATGATAGCTTTTTTGTGCACATCTTTGTTTTTTCAGGCAAGATACTTTTTCCAGTAGCTTATATCAGGAGTCAGCTATTGCCACCTATGGTAAGGGAATGAAAATGGATGGCTTACACAGATTTAAAAATATTCTATGGTAGCTCTATAAGGGAATGAAAATGGATGGCTTACACAGATTTAAAAATATTCTATGGTAGCTCTATGTGTTCTGTACTCACGTTATTTCCATTATTGTCACAGAAAATTTGCCACAGAGATCTGAAGCTTGAAAATTCCCTCTTGGATGGTTCTTCCAAGGTCTGGCATCTATCCCATAGCACGCACTTGATTTCTTAATTTCTTTTCTTGTAACTAGCTCCTTTTTTATTTCTCTTTCCTTCCATTTGCGAGGGACCTTGTCACTTTCATGTGAGCTGTTTTTCTTATTTTGTAGTCCTCACTGTTGCACTCTAGGCCCAAATCAACTGTTGGAACTCCTGCATATATATATTGCACCTGAGGTTCTTTCTCGCAGAGAGTATGATGGCAAGGTAATCTTATTGGTTTGCTACTAGTGGTATATCTAAGTGTGCTAAGCACCTTGATAGAGATAAACATCCTGTGTAGTAATACATCTCTTTCACCTTTTGCTCATTCATAATATTTTGATACATTAAGAAAGCTCAGATAAGTCCCAAATTGGCAGAAATCTGCTGTAGCTTTGGTAGATTTGGGCAGTCATTTACTAAGGGATTTGGAAAGATCTCTCTTTTATTATTATCCATGACCAGATGTGTTTATCATCTAATCTGTTTGCGCCATCCCTTGCTTGCATATTCTGTCTCTTGTGTGTATTTGGTCAATGATAATTGTGAGCATTCTAACCCTGAGCCATTCATATAAAAGAACTGGATAGCTTTTTGGAAATAGATTGTATCCCAAATGTTTATCTTGACAGAAGCAAAGACTATGAAATTGTTATGATCTTATTTGTTTGGATTTGGAAACATCTTCATGGAAATCATCAATGGTTTGTACTATAGTTGTTAGGTTTTAGGAAAAAACTGGTTACATTTATGTTTGATTTGATGACTTGTTTCTTTGAATTTCTGAAAATCTTGACGATTTTAAGAGCTGTGTTGTGATGATTTGTCTTAATTATCATCATATCATGTGTGCCTAGTAAAGCCCGATACAGTATAAGTTTGGTTGTTGAGTTCTATGGCTCAGCTTCGTAGTCACTTTTTTGCTAATTCACAACTCTTAAAGCTGTTTCGTGGCTCAATTACGATCTCTTCTTGTATACTTGCAGAGTTGCAGGAAAACATCATAAAGCTTTCTGATCAGCCTATCGCAGCAGAGAAGATAAAAGAGAGTTGTTCAAAAAGAGCTTGATAGGTAATATTTTATTAGAAACACCGATAGTTCTAAGACTTGATATTACCAAAACTTGGCCAATGCTTAGGAAATAACTACATTTGGGTGGCTGAGTGTGTGGTAGAAGTGAAAAAGAGATGATACCTTTAGTGTTCTTTAATTGATGTTTGTGTTATCTCCATTTCAATAGTCAGCAAAACTTGATTATGCTAAAGGATCAGATTAGAAACTTTTAAACTTTATTCTTGAAATATCTCTTCTGAGTATATATATAGTGTGAATTAGAAGCAACCTCGTCTGAGTATATTATTGGTTTCTCGTAAATTTTACTCTGCTCAAATACATCACAAATGTTTTGTTTACAGACTAAGGAGCTGCAAAGAATTTGAAGGTGACTTAGTACAGTCAAGAAAAAGGGACGCTTTGAAGAAGAAACTGAGGTTACGGTATCGCCCTCTCTCATAAAAATCATAGCCAGAAAGCTTCTTACAATCAAAACATGAAAAAAAACTAACGCACGAAAACGTAACACAACCAAAACAAAAACTTCATAAAACACGCACAAAGAAAATACAAAAATGCAAAAACGAATTCCACAACTTCACCGTCACACAAACTCCAAGGTCACACAAACTCCACGTTCACATAAACTCCACGTTCACATAAACTCCACGTTCACATAAACACCACGTTCACATAAACTCCACATTCACATTAACTCCACGTTTCACATAAGCTTGTTACTTTCCTCTCTGTTTCAAGTGTGGATGAACAAAACGTTTGTATTTTATTTGCTCTATGTTATTCTGTTTGTGTGACTTACTAATAAAGGTCATTGATTTCAAGAGAAATAGATAAGGTGGACTAGAGAAGATTAAGCTTTGCTATTACTAGTAGCTTCCAACAATGCCTTACTTGTCAATCTAATGTGAGTTGAGCAAGCAACCAACTGTCGACAGGGAGAATTCTGTAACTTTGTTATCTTAGGTTTCATGATCTTTTAAATATATACTTTTTCTGTAGCTTGTATTAACTTATTTCTACTTGAAACCAGCTTTTCAATAAGAAGAGAGGATAAGTTTCAGATGTTCATGAATGATAAGTTAATCATGCTAAATCTTAATCAATGTGAGTTTTTGTAAACTACTTCAGTGTATATTCTAAGTATTCAGAGGTTCAGTTATAATCTTCCATTTATTCAGAGAATGTTAGTGTTTTCTTGTCTGTTTTCTCAAATTAAGTAGTGTGGCTTCCATCTGTTTGATGTAGATTGTTTCCTCTTGTTCATTATTGATGTGTAACTTTCAGGAATATAACTTCGTGTGAGCATGGCAATGTATAAATTAAGGAGTTGGTAAAGCCTAAAGAGGCTTGTATAAGGTAAGCATTTTTGAACGAGTTGTACTTGGTATAGAAATTTCTTAGAATATTGGCCAAAGATAATAAAGACTGTTTTCTAGTGTTTAGTGTCGTATAACATTGTTTTGATTGAATCTCCAGTTTCGGACTAACAACATTTAATGATGTCAATGACATATTAGAAGTCTTGTGAATATGGGAGGGCTGAGCATTTTTTCAGTTCTTGATAAGGTAATTTGATTTCACAGTACCATGTTTCTTTAGTATATTTTCCACTTTCCACTTATCTATTAACATTAAGTATAGGAGTGGTGTGCAGTTTTTTCCCAGGGATTTTTCAAATCATAAATCTACGAGGTTAATGGATCATAAATCTTCACAGTTTATGGTTAATGTAGAATATTTAAAGTTCTGGTAAGTTGAGCACATAGAGGCGCTTTTCATTTGAGTCTATACTGACAGACATGATAATGAATTTTTCTAACATTTATTTTTGTCACAGGAAAATAGCTTGATTGGGTATGTCTCAAGATCTCTTAGGAAAAGAACAATGGCTAGTGAGGACTTGCACTGAGGTACATTTTCTTGTCAAACATCTTTTTAAGTAAAACTGTGTTGCTACCATTTTCAGAAGCTTGTTAATATCTTTTGTGGCCAATGTGGCTGAACATAGGAATTGTCACTAGCTTTGATGAAGAAACTGAGGTTATGGTATCGCCCTCTCTCATAAAAAACATAGCCAAAAAGCTTCTGACAATCAAAACAAGAAAAACACTAACGCACGAAAACGTTAAACACAACCAAAACAAAAACTTCTTAAAGCACGCACAAAAAAATACAAAAATGCAAAAACGATTTCCACAACTTCACCGTCACACAAACTCCACCGTCACACAAACTCCACGTTCACATAAACTCCACGTTCACATAAACTCCACATTCACATTAACTCCACGTTCACATTAACCCACTTCTTCACGTTCACATAGAGTTTGCTACTTTGATTCCTCTGCAACACATTGGATATGATTGTATTTGGCTCAGTTACACTCCAGTCTCTTGGAATTCTACCAAGACAACTCAGTTTTAAGACAACTGGTTCAGAATCGTCATATACATCAGGCGATCCAAATATTATCTTCTATTCTCTTCTATGCCTACATTTATTTTGCAGAATTCAAAAAACTCAAGAGGAATGAGAGAAGAAAAGAACAATGGTAGTGAGGACTTGCACCGAGGTACATTTTTTAGTCAAACATCTTTTTAAGTAATTCTGTGTTGCTACCATTTTCAGAAGCTTGTTAATATCTTCTGTGGCCAATGTGGCTGAACATAGGAATTGTCACTCACGTTCATTCGGGGATGGGAACAGAATCGTTGTGCCAATAGTTATGATACGCATATGCATCATGCCAAGGGAAAGAAATAAGTAAGTACATAACTAAAACTGTTAGTAAAAGTCAGAACTAATGCTGAAAGAACAATGAGTATATTTACTTTCCTAGTGTATTCAGGAGCTTATTCAAGACCACTTCTGCGTCTGGGAAAACATTTAGTGAAATCTGTAGCATTACAAAAAACGTCAATCAAGTGAGCTCTAAAAGAGAATTTGGTAGGTCGGAACCTTGAAGATAAACTAAAATCAGATCAGTTTTGACATTGTTTTGTGATTGCTAAAGTGTAAAATGTTTTGCAGGCAGAGTTCGTTTGACGGTGCATTACCCGAACTTAGATTTGTTTGTTAGATACTGCGCTATCGTGGCCATAGCAACTTACAACGCTACAAGGCTTGTGAATATAGGAAAGCCAAGCATTTTTTTCGTTATGTTCTGTTAAGGTAAATCACGGTACCATGTTTCTTTAATATATTTTTTTTTGTTCTCCCCACCTATAATCGTCATAGGTTTCATGTGAAATTTATCTGTCGTTTGAAAATTGGTCCAGGTTAAAGTTCTAGTGTTTACTAACTCTGACATAATACTTTGATTAAATCTCTATTTTAGGACTTAAAGATATCACTGAAAAAATTAAAAGTTTCGTGGATATGGAAGATTCAAGCATTTCCTTGCTAAGGTAAAATTTGATTTCATTGTATGTTTCATGGATTTCAATGGATTTATCTGTCGTTTGAACCTTTTGCATTACTTTGTCCAGGTTTAGGTGAGAAGCAACCTCATCTCGTCTGAGTGTAGTATGTTGTATTTCTTGGCTAATAATTTGATTGTATAAACTTTATATTTTTGAAAAACAACTCTGCTCAAAGTATAACAGTGTTCTATTTTCTTGTAGGATCAGCATCGAATTTGAAGATCATTTGGTGTAGTCGAGAAGAAGTGACTCTTGGATGACGTAACTGAGTTACGGTAAACTTAACACAAAAACACAAAACACAGCCAAAACTACAAAAAGTAATAAAGAAAAAGGAAATACACAAATTCAATTAAAAAAAATGCAGAAATAAACTCATCTACTTCACGATCACATAAATTCCACAATTTCACGATCACATACACTCCACAACTTCACGATCCTCCACAATTTCACGATCACATAAATTCCACAATTTCATGACCACATAATTTTCACAACTTCACGATCACATAATCACATAAACTCCTTTCATGACCACGTAAACATGACGACGCCACGATCACATAGAGTTTGATTCCCCTTGTAACAGTTTCAATTTAGATTTTTTTGCTTATGTTTTTTTTAGTATCGAAGACTTGTATAATTGTGACTCTGTTCTTGTTTAGAAATCTCCATTCTTGTAATATTTTATTGTTATCAATTGTTACCGTGCTATTTTTCTTCAGTTTCTAAAGTATATCTATGTCATTTTGAATTACTAGATTTATAACCCGCGCATTTAATATTTTTATTTAAATATAAATATATCATTTAAATTATAAAAGATAAATCTATGCAAATACAAATTATTTTATGAAGAGATGTACATAATTGTTTCTTTTTTTAATATTTTTTTACTACCAATTATTTTTTCATTTAATAGGGTGGACTCTTTTTTGAAAAAAAAAATCCGCCAAATTTGTTTAAAAGGGTTTACAAAGATTTTAAAGGTCTTTTAAAGGATTTACAAGGGGTTTTAAAGGGATTTACAAGGGTTTTTAAATGGTTTTTTAAAAGATTTGTAATGGTTTTTAAATGATTTTATAAGCCTACAAAGGTTTTTTGAATTGTTTTTAAAAGATTTACAATAGTTTTTAAAAGGTTTTAGAAGTTATAACGGGTTTTAAAAAGTTTACAAGGGTTTTTAATAGATTTTCAAAGGGTTTAAAAAAATTACAAAGATTTTTAAAATGATTTACAAGTGTTTTTAAAGGCATTTACAAGGATTTAAAAATGGTTTTTTAAAGGATTTAAAAAAGGGGTTTAGAAGTTTACAATAATTTTTATATGATAAAATACAGTTTTAATAATAATACATGTCATATGTAAATTGCTCAAGTTTTTTTTTTTTTTGGTAAAAGGTTAAATTAGCACTCATATTATCCCATAAAATATTGCTCAAGTTTTCCCATATATTTCTGCGAAACTGCAGACTGCAGACTGCAGTAGCACTGATATTATCTGTCTTCTGAAGAGCAAGATAAATTACAATTACAAACTCAAACCTTGGAGCAAAACCATGAAGACGAGCTGCGTGTTAGGCAAGAAACATAATATGCCCTTTACTATTGAACTCGAAAATCTTGGTGATGAAGTTGATAATATGTGTTTGAATTAAGAATCTTTGGAGAATGAACATTATTTAATCAACGTTACATACAGTTCAATACTTTAATATATACAAGTATACAGAGTATTAGTAAAATAAAAAAGGTAGGGTTTGGAGGAAATTTGGAGATCGATAAGAATACAAAGTCGAAACTTCAGCATTATTTAATCAACGTTACATAAGAGTTTAATACTTTGATACATACAAAGTATACAGTATTAGTAAAATTTCACGAATGGTTAGTCTTTCTTATAGTTTCAGTTTTCGTCGTAATAGTTCTGAAGAAGTTGAGTTCTCACAGAGAGAGGGATGGTGACATTATGTATAGAGTCACTCCACGTCAAGCTTCCAAAGTAATAACCTGTGTTGATTTTGTGTTTGGTCGAGACTCTCACTTTGAAAGAGACAGTTTTGGTTGTAGAGTTAAACACTAGCGTCTCTGGTGTCACGGTCACTTGAATGCCTGACGGTGGCTCAACCACTACTTTATAGACTGAGTTGAGTGGTCCAACGTTAGTGAGAGTTCTGGTGAGAATGACTTCATCTTTAAGGTTTGGGATTGTGATGGAAGGCAAGTTGAAATCAAGAACAGATGGTTTTGGATTGGAACAAACTGTTACTTTTCCGACAAGCTGAGCGATCGATGACTCGTTGTAACCAGCAGAACACATGTAGAGAACATAGTCTTTGAGTCCCAAGTCATAGACAAGACCTGGTTTTGCAGCTTTCTCTGGATTAACAAGACCTCCACCATAGTCAAACGGATCAGCTAGCTTACGAGGTGACCCTTCCGCAAAAATCTGCTCTCCAAATGGATCTGTTCTCCAAGCTGCAGAGTAAAGACTCTTATCAAGATTAGTACATTCATATTTTGTCCTAGTTAGATTTAATGAGAAGGCAAGAACCTGTTGTGACAATGGCTGATCTAATGGCGGCAGGAGACCAATCACGGTGTCTAGCTTTCAGAAGTGCAACAACTCCTGAAATTACAGGAGCAGCCATTGATGTTCCAGACAACATAATGAATCCTTTGTCGTTGAAAGTTCTGTTTGTGGTTGTAGCCGCTAATATGCTCACTCCTGGTGCTGCTATATCCGGCTGCATTACAACATTCATATGATTATAAACAACTTGAGGCAAGATAGTGTAACCGGTCTGAAAAACAGAACAAGAAAGGATTCTAACATACTTTTAGTATCGAAGGCTCGATCGAATTAGGACCTCTGGATGAGAAGTCTGCAACCTTTGTACTCACTGGTTGTCCAACAAGTGTTTTAGAAGGTTGTATCTTCACAACAGGTGATCTGAAAATTACAAGTACATTAAAATACAGCATTATGTATCATCTTCTTCTCATAGTTCATATTTGCATACCCTGTGGACCGTATGTAGAAAAGTATATTTGTCCCGAGCTCGTAGTCAACAGAAACACAAGGGAAGTCATCTACACATGGTGAAAGATTGTCTCCGGGGTTTCTTGCAACAATTAAGCCAAGACCACCTGCTTTCTTGACATATGACACGGCGCTTGATACAGTAGTGTAACGTGTTGATGTAGTGAAGCACAACACGACTTTCCCCGCCATTGTACGATTAGAATTGAAGAAGAGAAGCTCACATGTACTGCAAAGAGTTTAAATGTCACAAAAATTGATGTCTTTCGTATAGAAAGATTTGGTAAATACTAAAAGACTTTCATCTTACCCGAAAAAACTTTCGTTGCTATTCCCTGGATTCTCCGGGTAAACCAAGCTAGTGAAGCCAAGTTCTGGACCGGTGTACATTGCTTGACCCTGCAATATAATGGCCAACCTCACAATAAGACACATATCATAAAAAAATTATGTTGCAAAAATATCAAATATGAGTAGAAACATATATTGTGTATATACCAATATTGCTTTATTGTTCCCAAGTATGATAGGCGTGGGAAAGGACCGGTCTAAAGTCGTTGCAGCCACTGTCAAAATCCAAGGAGCCGTGTTTCCTACAGTCTGAGCTGCTGGTCCAGAGTTACCACCTGAACAAACAACTGTTATACCTTTTAAAACGGCATGGAATGCTCCAGTTGCTATCGCAGCGCGGACATCAGTTTCGGGGTAGTAAGGAAGACGATAGCCGATAGACAAAGACAAAACATCAACACCATCATGCATAGCTTCGTCCATAGCTTTCAAGAGGTCAGCAGATGAACAAGTATTTATGTCTAAATCATCAAGATACCAACAAGCTTTGTACATTGCTATACGAGCACGTATTGCTCCACCTCTCACAGTCCCTCCAGCTAAGCCCTTGTAGCTTGTATTGGGGACGTATGAACCACCTGCTATGGTGGCCACATGTGTGCCATGGCCGCTATTGTCTCTAGGGGAAATAAAGTCAAGTGATTCTGTGGAGTTGAAGGTTTTATGTGTTGCAAGAAAACCATTGATGAAGTATTTGGCTCCTATAAGCTTTTTGTTGCAGTGAGAGGCATTGAACATCTCTCCTGATTCACAGTCTCCTTTCCAGTGGCTTGGTACTGGTCCAATCCCATTGTCATTAAAGACTTCTGATTCTGGCCAAACTCCTGCAACCTCAAAAATATTGATTTAGATGCTAAGATAAATGAATCAAAAGTAACAAGATATATTAAATTACCTGCAGTTTAGCAAGAAATGTATGCATAGATATACTAAACTCATATATACCTGAGTCTACAATGCCGATGATAACTTCCTCACCCATATTAGTATCATTTAGAAGATTTTTCGGAGTAGCGGCCGAAAGGCCTAAGTAGTCCCATGTTCGAGTTGTTGCTAGTTCGTAGAAACTATCCGGGGTGACATGAACAACTTCAGGTAGATCTGTTATCAAAGAGCATCATAACCAACAGAAAAAATTATCATATGACTTTGTTGAGACTGATGAAGATGACATGTAAAAAAAAAGCCTAATGTGTCTGTTTTCTTGAAATTCTTGAAAGACAAGAAAAGAAAAGACTTGGGAACTATGTACCTGCTATCTTCTTGGCTTGGGACTTGGTAAGCTTGGCTGCAAAACCTGAGAAGCCATGTCGGTAACTATGCACCATAGAGTTATGGACATCCTCTTTACTGTAACATGGAACACACTAAAGTAAGTAATATTTTGAGACATTATTTAACTTAAAGAGGATAAATTTTTCTGACATACCTTCCAAGAAGTGACCATAACATCTGATGATGAGATTCTGTGACAGACTCGCGATCATCATGCTGCTTCTCACCTAAATACACTATATGAACCTGTTGAAACAGTAACAACTTTGTTAGTCAAGTGGCTAAAAGATTTAGCATTATATAATTGTCGAGTACCTTGCTCTCAGAACCGGCTTGTGCCACGAAAGATCTCTGCTCATTCAGAGCTATTACCAGACTTAGTACCACAAAGATTACGGTTCTGCAACTATTCATTTCGAGAAGAAAAGGTTTGTCAATAAGATTTAATATACTTGTAGTGTACTATATATTGAGGAAGATGAAGCATATATATAGATGTCTACTCAAAACGAGTTTGACCAAAGAATGTTTCCAATACTTAGAATAGTTCTGACTTTTGCTTGTTTGAATCTCCTAAGTTTCATCATAGTTAGAATATAAAACCCACACATAGAATCTAAAGAATATATCAAACGGTGTTGCTTAGTCAACTAAAGTCTAGTTTATGGCAAATGATAAAATCAAGAACATAACAATGCAACAACAGAAATTAAGATACTGTCATACTGATGACATATATAAACCAAGTAATTGTAAAATATAGCAAGCAATGGATGGTATGAACACATTGATCAACAAGACAATGATGAAACTTCACTTGGTATATGCACTTCACTGTTAAACTCAAGTGACCATGCTCAAAAAATTAAACTTGAGGTGTAAAGTTTTAAGCATATGCTAGAATTAGTATGCGTTTTGACCAAAGAAACGCGTTGTTAATAAAAACAAAAAGGCAGATTCTTTTGCGAGTTTTAGAGCTTTTACTTAGTATGCTCCATGCTGTATTAGCTCTACAAGACTACAGATATCAGAAAAAGTCTCTTGTAATAAAAAATAGTCATAATTGATTTCAGAGAGCTCTCTGCAACAATCATCAGTTTCAGAATGGTGATTTAAGTCAGTTTTAACCAAGTAGCTTTGCCTTGAAGGGATAGATCCATGTGTATCTTGTATGATAGTACAAAGCTACGAGATGGTATTTATAATTTTCAAAGAATACATTAGGAGAGCTTTTAAAATGTGTAAACGTGTAACTTGTAATATACATTAGGAGAGCTCACAAATGGTTAGACTTTATTATAGGTTCAGTTTTCATCGTAATAGTTCTGCAGAATCTGCGTTCTTACAGAGACATGAATTGTAACGTTATGCACAGAGTCACTCCAAGTCAAGCTTCCAAAGTAGTAACCTGTGTTGATTTTGTGTGTGGTTGAGATTCTGACTTTAAAGGAGACCCTTTTGGTCTGAGAGTTGAATACTAGTGTCTTTGGCTCCACGGTCACTTGAAAACCCAACGGTGGCTCAACCACTACTCTATAGACTGAGTCGAGTGGTCCAACGTTAGTGAGGGTTCTAGTGAGAGTCACTTCGTCTTTCAGGTTTGGGATTGTGATGGAAGGCAAGTTGAAATCAAGAATAGATAGTTTGGGATTAGAACAGATTGTTGCTTTTCCGACAAGCTGAGAGATCGATGACTCGTTGTAACCAGCAGAGCACATGTAGAGAACATAGTCTTCGAGGCCCAAGTCATATACAAGACCTGGTTTTGCTGCTTTCTCTGGATTCACAAGACCGCCACCATAATCGAACGGATCAGCTAGCTTCCGAGGTGACCCTTCAGCAAATATCTGCTCTCCAAATGGATCTGTTCTCCAAGCTGTTGAAAATAAATGCTTACCGAGATAAGAATGTTCTTGCAGAGGTAACTTGATAGATTGGATGAAGAGGAAACAAACCTGTAGTGACAATGGCTGATCTAATGGCTGCAGGAGACCAATCGCGGTGCAGAGCTTTCAGAAGTGCAACAACTCCTGAAATTGCAGGAGTCGCCATTGATGTTCCTGACATCATAATGAATCCTTGGTCGTTGAAAGTGGTATTGGTGGTTGTAGCCGCCAATATGCTCACTCCCGGTGCTGCTATATCAGGCTGCATTACAACGTTAGTATAAATACGACTGCTTGAAAGAGAAAAAGGAGCATGTAATGATTCTAGCATACTTTGAGGATCGCAGCTGCAATCGAATTAGGTCCTCTTGATGAGAACGTTGCCACCTTTGTACCCACTGGTTGTCCGATGAGTGTTCTAGAGGTTTTTATCTTCACAACAGGCAATCTGCAAACCACAATATAGTTTCAGATTTCACCATATGTTGGTTTACTTTCTTACAATTCTAAGAGGTGAAGGTATATTTTCATACCCGCTGGACCGTATGTATAGAAGTATATCAGTTCCGAGCTCCCAATCAACAGCAACACAAGGGAAATCATCAGGACACGGTCGGATAGCGTAGCCTGGCTGTCTTGCGATGATTACACCGAGCCCACCGGCTTTCTTCACTGAACGTGCAGCACTTGATGCAGAAGCACTGTAGGGTGATGGTGTGAAACACAACACGACTTTCCCCACCATTGTAAGATTAGAATTAACGGATAGTTCCTCACAAGTACTGCATTACAAGAACCATGACGAGTCAGAGAACTGATCTTCTTCATACTGCAAGATTCAGTGAAGATAGGTCCTACTAAGAAACTAGAAATTTAACATTACCCAGAAAAATTTGCGTTGCTATTCCCTGGGTTCTCTGGGTAAACCAAGCTAGTGAAGCCAACTTCTGGACCTGTATACATTGCTTGCCCCTACAATATAGTAAGCCAACTCAAACTAAGACACTAAAACATCTAATCAGAGGAGAAAAAATAAATATGGCGTATATTTTGTTGTTACCAATATCACTTTATTATTCCCAAGTGTAATAGGTGTGGCAAAGGACCGGTCAAGAGTAGTTGCAGCCACAGTCACAATCCAAGGAGCTGTGTTTGTTACGGTCTGAGCCTCAGGGCCAGAGTTACCACCGGCACATACAACAGTTATACCCTTTAAGACTGCATGAAATGCTCCAGTAGTTATCCCATCGCGAATATCAGTTTCACCATACATAGGAACGTCAGAGCCTAGAGAGATTGACAGAACATCAACACCATCATGCATAGCCTCGTCCATAGCTTTTAAGATGTCAGCAGATGAACAACTCGTAATGTCTTCATCATCCAGATACCAACAAACCTTGTACATAGCTATACGCGCACGAGATGCCCCACCTCTCACTGTCCCTTCAGCTAGGCCCTTGTAGCTTATGTTGGGCACGTATGAGCCGCCCGCAATGGTGGAAACATGTGTGCCATGACCATCAAGGTCTCTAGGAGAAATGAAATCAAGTGATTCTGTGGAGTTGAAACTTTCGTTTTCAGATAGAAAACCATTGATGAAATACTTGGCTCCTATGAGCTTTTTGTTACAGTGAGAGGAGTTGAAAGCTTCTCCTGATTCACATCCTCCTTTCCAGTGGCTTGGCACCGGCCCAATCCCATGGTCGTTAAATACTTCAGACTCAGGCCATACTCCTGCAATCAAAGAGAACATCTTAGTCATAGAGACATTAAGAACAACAATCACAAAACCAATACGAGACTTACGAAATGTACACTATAAAAATAGAGAAGAAATCTACAAATAAACACTCATACCTGTGTCGATGACACCAATGATACTTTGTGCTCCCATATTAGTTTCATTTAGAAGATTCTTTGGATTGGCAGCTGAAAGGCCTAAGTAATCCCAAGTCCGAGTTGTTTTCAGCTTATAGAAACTATCCGGTATTACATGAACAACTTCCGGTACATCTATTGCCAAATAGCATTAGCAATGAAAAAAAAAAAAAAGTACAGACAGACAGGCTTGATTCTTAAAATGCCTAGACAAATGTGAGAATAAGAATGAGTACCTGCTATTTTCTTGGCTTGGGACTTGGTAAGTTTTGCCGCAAAACCTGAGAAGCCATGTCGGTAACTATACACCAATGACTCATGGGCATCTTCTTTACTGTAACATTGAACAAACAAACAAACAAAGAAATCTGAGTAAATGTTTAAGGCGTTGAGAAAGAGAAGCTACTCTTTACATACCTTCCAAGAAGTGACCACAGCATTTGATGGTGAGATTCCGTGACAAACTCAGGATCATCATGCTGCTTCTCACCCAAATACACTATATGAACCTATTATCATTGATTATCAAAAACAGAACCACCAGACTATGTTAATCTCTCTTTTAAGTTGTCTGATGAAAAGAACCAACCTTTCATAATAATTCTCAACTACCTTCCTCTCAACAATGGCTTGTGCCACAAAGCTTCTCTGCACATTGAGAAATATTACCAAACTCAGTACCACCACAACAATTGATGTTCTGTAATTCCTCATTGCAATCACATATTCTAAATTTCTACTGAAGGAGAAAATAAAACATGTATATAGATATCTCCTAAAGACGTGCTTGCCCATGAAAGTTTCCATCTTTTGGAATCGTTCCTAAGTAACATCACAGTTTTTAATTAACACACAAAAAAAGATCTAAAGAATATACAAGCTGGGTGTGTGCTTAGTCAACAAAAGCATAGTTTATTGCAAATGTATGAAGCAAAAACACAAATCAACAGAGATAATGAGATGGGTGATTAACCAGAACAAGTAAACCACCCTTAGGTATGATTAATGATTAAAGTAGCTTCTTTGGTCTGCACCACGATTAAAAAAGATTGGTTCTTTGGCTAATTCAGAGCACTACTTGGTATGTTCCATTGTTGTTTACTAAGAACAAGTCTCATGTGTGATTTGGTCAAAGTTTAAAAATTTAAAGGGTCGGTACCTAAACTGAGTTTTCGTGGGATTACGGTGGTGGTGGCCGATGAATGTCAGCGCCGGAGATATAGTACACTTCGTAATCGGAAACTTCCGTTTTCATAAACAGAGACGATTCGAGAAACTCTTGAGACATGAAAGAATCGCTTATTGGGTTTGGGCTTCTTAAACTGATAATGGGCTTCATTATTATTGAACTGTTCAGACACACATCAATATAGAGAACTTCGGTTACGGTTAAAACCATAACTATATTTTCTTACCATATCAAATCATATTTATTTTACAATATGAAATATATGTAGTTATATGATTCAATATTATTAAAGTAATTAAGTAAATTATTTTTGATTAATCAAACACACCTACAAATAAATAACTTAATGGTTATGAACTTACAAATAATTAAATTAAATTATTTTTTATTTTATTAGTAAAAATGAGTAGTGGTGTGCATTAGATTTACTAATTGACACATTAAATCATTTAAAACATTGTTTTGGTAAAATAATTATTTTTATAGGTTTCATCGTACGGTTAATTATGCAGTTAACCGTATGATTAATTATGCGGATTGATACGGTTACAGTTGATAATGGTTACAGTTAATATTTTTTTTTATAACCGTGACTGATTTGTCTTTACGGTTAACGGTTACAGTAATGAACGGTCCAATTACGAATGAGGAACGGTCCGGTTACGGTTAGAATTTAGTCATGCCTAAATATAGAACATACAAATATAGATAAGCAAATCAATATGACTGTTAAACAAACTCTTTAGGAAAGGAAACAATCCCAAACTTTTTTACCTCTACAAATGTCACGCCTGCAAATATTATCATTCAAAGTTACTCTACCTTTGTGATTATATAGAAGATCGTTTCAACAACACATGTTCATTACTATTGTAATCAAAAACTCAAAGGACAGTGTTCTCGTTCTTGTTTCAGAAAGCAAAATACTCATAAAAATACTCGAGATCAAATACAACAAAATACAAACCATGAGTGTCACATATCAAAGCTACTTTATAACTTCCGTGAACCACGCATGCAATCTAAGGAACAAAACACTGATTCATCACACCATTCAAAAGCTATTTTGTATGGACAATACTTATCACAAAAAGAGCAGAAATATCGATCCATATCATAGTTGTTGCGCAGAACACAGACCTTTTCATCGAATTCGCCAAGATAGTACGAACCACGCTTCATGTATAAGTCCCGGCCAAGCAAACACTCAATGTGTAAGGTGACACAACAGTACTCATCACACACATAAAACCTTCGTTTGGGATCTACTTTTTCCTCGCAAACTTCGCACCAATACGTCATGGTACTTGTTCCATCCCCATAAGAAAGAGTGAGCGTGTGATTATCATGCTTATACCTCACCTTTTCAGGTAAAGTAGCACATTTAAAACACAAAGCAAAGTCACAGTCAGAAATAATGCAGTTGAATGTGTCATGTTCAGCATCTTCGCAAACCGAACAAACTCTTCGCTCCTTTGGTTTTGATGTTAGGAACAACGGATGCCTATGACTTCCATGGACTAATGGCTCGGAGATTTTTGCGCACTGCACGTGTAGACGGAAGTTACAGTCTCCTTTGACACACTCATAGAAGAAACCCGCTACGCAGTACCGGAAACAAGCTTCACATACAAAAGATTCATCCACTCTACGGAAATATCGTTGAGTGAGTAGATGTGGATGTATAGGGTGATATATTTTTAGAGAAAGATTTGCACATTCTTGGTGGAGTATGAAGTCACATTGCATACTGGAATAAAAATTACCGAAATAGATTGGCGTGATACATGCTCCACACTCCTTGTTCTCGTCGTAATCTCGATATGAGTTATCATCAAGTCTCAAATGATGTTCTTCATGACTGAAATGTTTTATGATTCCATCGCTTATCTTGACAAATGGCTCAACCTCTTCAATATCCTCGTCCGGCTCTCCCTCAAGTTCTTTACAGTCCCATACATTTCCTTGTGTGGCACATCTTGAATGAACTGCATACAAACAACCTTTTTTGATGCAAAAGTATCCCCCGTAATCATTATCAATCTTTTTGCGACAAACGCCACAAAACAAATCTTCTTGGTCAAAAGAAGGGGTAAAAGAGATACGATGGTGATGGCGTGATATCCTTATGACACGAGGTAAGTTGATACATCTTAGATGGGCAACAAAGTCACAAGGTGGGCACATGTAGATAGGGGAGCTTGCATCAGCCAAAGCACATAGGTTGCAAGTTAAGGAAGCATGCCTTGGAAACAGAGCAAGAGTATGTTCATGCCACCTTTCACGGTCTATATATAAGACTGCCGGTTTCTTCACACAAGCCATATTCATAGCAAAATCGCAAGACAAGCAACAATAGAATGTGGAGTCGAGATATCTATCACAACAATAGCATTGCCTAGTAATGCCGACGTTTTCTCTCAACGAGCCTAGCTGGAGAGAATGTTTTCGATGAAGATGATGTTTGATCTCAACTGGAGCCTTCTTATATTCACCATGATTCTTGCCATTGCAACCTAAGCAGCGAAAATGGCTACCATCTTCTCCTGGGAATTCGTATGTCATCCAATTTCCAGGGAGACATTCCCACTTTACATTGTTACTAGACATACTCGTTTCACTCGCAGAAAATTTTCCATTTTCAAAGCTTACTTGTACTTGAGGGCACAAGCAAACAAGATCCTTCAAGTTTCTCGGCTTAGAGATAATACATGAGATTATTTGATGAATGAAGGAGATAAGCTCTGGTTCCGGCTCAAGACTTAATGTCTTAGGTAATAATGACTTCAGCTCCGTAATAGATTCTGAATCCATAGAGCTTTTTAGGACTAGTATGAGCTTCGACAACAACTCTGGCTGAGAATTCAAATCCATTGAGCTTACCAGGGAGATTGTTTGAGTAATGAGTGACATGAGCTTCGACTCCGGCTTTGGCTGTGAATCCAAGTCCATGGAGCTTACCAAAGTCTTTATTTGAGTAATGAGTGATATGGCTTTAGAATCCATATCTGAATCCCATATGTTTGTCCCAACAATCCATGGGATAGTTAATAGTTTAGTAATGAGTAAATTGAGCTCCGAGTCCAATTCCATACCTTTGACATTCCGATGGCCCGATGGTCTCTTCACACAAGCCATATTCATAGCAAAATCGCAAGACGCGCAATAATAAAATACATCTTCAAGATACTCATCACAACAATAGCAATCCCTGGTTTCGCTGCCCTCAACCAACAAGACAAGCTGGAGAGAATGTTTTCGATGAAGATAGTGTTTGACCTCAACTAAAGCCTTTTTATATTCTCCATGGTTCTTGCCTTTGCAACCCTTGCAGCAAAAATAAGTAACCTCTTCTCCTATAATATTGAGTTTCATCCACTCTCCACCGATACACCCCCACTTGCCAAAACGGTTCGTCGACACTTCTTCACACACATGAAATTTTCTTTGACGTTTTCCCAATCTTACTTGTACCACAGGACATAAGGAAATAAACTTCCCCAACTTCGAGTTCAAAGAAATGACTACAGAGAATATTTTATAGATGAGGGACATGAGTTCCGGCTCCGGTTCGATAGTCACTATCTTTTCACAGAGTGCCACGAGTTCTAAATCCAGCTTATTGCTTAAATCTGAATGAATAGAGTTGGTACCGAGAGATATTTTCCGAGAAAAGGTTGATATGAACTCCGCTAGCTGCTTCAGCTGAGAATCGAAATCCATAGAGTTAAAGACAGAGATAGTTTGAGTAATGAGTGGAATGATCTCGGACTCTGGCTTTGGCTGTGAATGCAAATCCATTGTGGTGACTAAAGAGATTATCTGAGTAATGACTGATGCTGCCATGGAATAAAAATGCTCACAATCTAAATTGGTTTCGAATAATAGTTGAGTAATGAGTGACAAGAGCTCCGACTCCAAATCAATATCCATTGAGCTGTGTTGAAAGAAATGATCTGAGTACTGAGAGAGATGTTTACTTTTTCTTTTTTGTTAGCATTGAATTTTTAGTTGGGTCGCAGACATTAAAAACATACTGCTCTTTGTGTCCTTTGTTACTATGCACAATCAAGTTTAAATTGTTATTTTTCTTTCCAAAACAGTTGAATGATATTAGTGTTTTAAGAGAAATATAATAAAGGTCAATAATGTTAGCTAAACGAATTCAAATTTTTACTTATAAAATAAAATGCAGTAGATATTTAAAAAAAAAAAAAACAAATTCAACCAAACAGTAAGAAAGAACAAAATATAACATTAATGTACCTTCGAAAAAGTAAGAAAATTATACAGTTTTCATTACAACAACAAAAACTTTTTAAGAAATATGAAATTAATATTCTTTAAAAAAATTATATTAACAATCTAAATTATATAATATGATTCGCAATTTCGCACCCATTTAGAATTTAAAAATTTTTAAAGTTTTCATTCCCTCTTGTCTGAACCATATACACAAACCATGGAACAAAATAATGAACCAGACCACTGCAAAGCTATCTTGTGTGGACAACGTTTTTTACAACATGAGCAAATAGGACGAGTCATATGATGATTGTTTGGTACTACGATAACTTGTTTCTGTAAAAAGACCCAAGATGAACCAGGCTTCATGTATAAGTCCCGCCCAAGCATACATTGAACGTGTAGAGTAACACAACAGTACTCATCACACACATAAAACCGCTGTTCGGGATATATTTTGCCCTCGCAAACTTCACACCAATTCGTCATTGTACTTGTCTCCTGCCCATAAGAAAGAGTGAGTACATGCTTATCATGCTTATACCTTACCTTTTGAGGTAAAGTAGCACATCCAAAACACAAAGCAAAGTCACACACAATGCAATTGAATGTTTCGTTTGTCGAATACAAATTTATTTGCTTTTCTTTGCAGACCGAACAAATTCTTTGCTCCTCTTCTGGTTTGGATGTTAGGAATAAAGGATGCATATGGCTTTCATGAACTAATGGCTCGGAAACTGTGGCACACTTGACGTGTAGGTTGAAAGTGCTTCCTTTGTTACTACACCCATAGAAGAATCCAGCCATGCGCAATTGAGGACAAGCTGCACATAGAGTCGTAAAGTCTTGATCAACTCTGTCATATCCTGGGGTGAGTAGATGTGGGTGTATCGGGTGATGTATTTTGCGAGAAAGATTTGCACATTCTTCGTGGAGAATGAAGTCACATTGCATACATGAGTAGAAGTTACCAAAATAAATTGGTGTGATGCAAGCTTGACACTCTCGGTTCTCGTTGTAATCTCTGCCTGTGTTCACATCGATTCTCATATTATGATGTTGATGGCTGAAATGCTGTATAATTCCATCGCTAATCCTCACAAATGGCTCAACTTCTTCAATGTCTTCTTCTGGCTCTCCCTCAAGTTCTTTACCATCCCACACATTTTTTTGTGTTGCACATCTTGAATGAACGGCATACAAACAACCTTCTTTGATACAAGAATAACCCCCATACTTATTGTCGATATCTGTGCGACAAACACCACAAGACAAATCTCCTTGGTCAAAAGAATAGGTAAACGAGATACGATGGTAATGACGTGATATCCTTATGACTCGCGGTAAGTTGATACACTTTTGATGGAGAACGAAGTCACAAGGGGGACACATATAGATAGGACTTCTTGCATCGTTCAAGCCACAGAGGTTGCAACTTAAGATAGCATGTCTTGGAAACACAGAAAGAGTATGTTCATGCCACTTTGGTTGATCAATGGAAAAGACTACCTCTTTCTTTAGACAATCATTATTCATAGCAAAATCGCAAGCCATGCACCAAGAAAATAACCCTTTGATATCTTCATCACAACAATAGCATTTCCTGGTTCCGCTGCACTCATCCAACAAGACAAGCTGGAGAGAATGGTTTCGATGAAGATAGTGTTGTACCTCAACTTTAGTGCTGTTATATTCTCCATGGTTATCGCCGTTGCAACCTATGCATCTAAAATAGGTAGTGTCGTCTTCTGGGTATTCGAACTTCAGCCATTTCCCAGGGAAACACTCCCACTCCCCATTGCCACTCCACTTGTCTTCTTCTTTCACATGAAATGTTCCTTTTCTCAGTATTACTCGTTTTTGAGGGTACAAGGAAATGAACTTCACTGACTTTGAATTTATAGAGATGACGACTTTGAATATCTTATGGATGAGTGATATAAGATCTGGCTTCGGCTCGAGAGTCAAGATATGACCCAAGAGTGACTTGAACCTTAACTCTAACATTATGTCGATAGATGAATGTCGTTCCATATAGTTAGCATAGAAGCGTAATATGAGCTCTGACAATGCCTCCGGCTGGGAATTCAAATCTATAATAGAGTTGAAGACAGAGATTGATTGAGAAATAAGTGACATGAGCTCTGACTCCGGCTTCGGCTGCGAATTATTCAAATGTATTGAACTGACTAAAGAGAATATTTGAGTAACGACTGTTAGGGCCTTGAGATCCCTTTCCCAGTCGAGAAACAATAGTTGAGTAATAAGCGATATGAGCTCCGACTCCGAATCAATAGAGCTTCCGACAGATAAGAGCTCTGGTTCCTGCTCCAAAGTAAAGATTTTCCGAAAGAGTGACTTGAGTTGAAACTGCAGACTCCAACGTGAATTTGAATTCATAGAGTAATCATACAGTAGCGACACGAGTTCTTGCAACGGCTTTGGCCGGGGATCCAAATCCATAGAGTTGAAAACAGAGATTGTTTGAGTGATGAGTGGCATTAGCTCAGACTGATCCCGCTGCGAATTCAAACCCATTGAGCTTACCAGATCATTTATTTGAGCAATGAGTAATATGAGCTCCAAATCTCCATCAGGACCTTGAAACAATTGTTGAGTAACGTGTGAAAGGAGCAGCTGTGCATCCTCATCCAAACCTTGAAATGACTCCGAATCCATAGAGTTGTCTAGAGAGCTTATCTGAGTAGACTAGTATGAAAGATTGTTTTTATTTTGTTAAAGCATTGAACGGTAAGCAATAAATTGACAAAGCATTCAATGGTCATCCTCAACCACACATGGGTTGTGTCTTTTATTCCAACTCTCACTAGATAAGATATTAAAGATACTCAAATAGATCAGATTTTTAAGCTTAAAGAAAAGAACACATGTATTGAAAGGGAAGCTTCTATTATATTTATATATCATCAATTCAACATCAAAAGGACAAAAATTATATGTGGTGTTGAACATCACAATTCACAACAAAGGCTACTTCCACAAATCTCTACACTTCTAAAGCTGTTCATCGCTTCATTTACTACCCGAAAAAAAACTTAAACCTTTCACCGAACAAAACTCACTAATCAAACAATCTTCCGAACCTAAATCCCACCTTTCCTTAGATATGCCAAAAAAAACATCATAAAACCTGAAGCAGAACCGCCAACTTCAAATCAAGAAAGAATAGAGGTGTTATCACCTGACATGAGAGAGACAGAGAGAGGAGACCAATGCATCTCTGAGAAAAATGCATCGACGTCGTGCTTTGTCCATTATAAGAACTTAGGCATATGACTAATCCATATCACTCGACATCTCAGCTGTTTGTGTCTCAGTTTCACTTCTTACTCTTCGGTAGAAAAGAACATATGCAGCTGAGCTTTTGATTTCAGATTCATTTGCAGATGAAACACGACTGTCGTCGAAATGATACCATTTGTTGTCATCAATCAACTGCAGGAACAATGACACATATAAGTCAGATATGATGATAGAGATTATGCATTTATACAAATGCACAAGTAAAAACAAACGAAGTAGATAGTGAGATCAATCAAATCACAAACCTTAGCGTAGGCTGTGTAGTGACCACCACCAAGTCCACCGTAATGATTACTAATGGCATATAGCTCATACAGATATGACTGGCCATTCTTGTTTTTCACGTACTTGCTCAAGTCTAAATCGTGAATTGGGAAATTCACAAAGGTATCAATCTTGTTCTTGAGATATCTGCTATACGTGAACCGTTTTAAATGGAACACAAGAATATCTGGCAATTTCCACAGGTCTAGTTTTTTGTTTGCTTGTCTGTGTTCTTTGCAGCTTGGACAAAACCTGGTTCAGAATGGTGAGTAAGATGGTCAAAACTAAATCTTCAGATGAATAGATCAGATTATGCAATTAAAAACTCAAGATACGAGCTATACCACATGTCATCCGGTCCCAGAGGTTCTTCTGCTAAAAAGGCCTCCAAACACGAAAACAGGGATATAGCTTCTTGCCTTGTCTTCTTTGCAGAGAAACTTGTTTTGTGAACCTCAGGAAGATCACTCAAATAGGTAGAATCATATTTTTCATGCTCACCCTCATTCCATTCGACTAAAACTCTTGTAATGGTACCAGGGCTCACAGAAGATTCAGACTGAAGTGGTTTAAAGTTCGATCCACGTTCATCTGTCAAGAATACCCTGAAGGATAATTCTCGATCAGATGCATCGTCTATCTCGATTTCTGGGGATGATAAAATTTTGGATGTTTCGTCAGCAGTAGCATCAGTAGGGTGGCCGTTGTCATTTCCGTTATGAATATTAGATGGGGCATGGACCCTGTGCAGAGGTGACAGAAATCTAGAGATAACTGCATCAATGTCAGTTCCACTTAGTGGTTCTGTGTTCACATAAGTCACAAAAGGAGTTCCAAACAGCTTGACGTCTCTGCCTCTAACACTCTCCACAACAGCCCTGTAGAACCCAATAAGTATGAGCTATAAAATTTTAACCCAACAGGAAAAAAGAAGAGTTCTTGTGTAACAAATAAAACCAATGCTTACCTCTCCTGCCCTCCATGAAGAATTTCAAGTTTTGCTTTCCCTGATCCTTTCAGCATCTGATTCAACCGATAAGCCACAATGTGCTCATCATCTTTTATCACACTCAGTGATTCCAAGGGATTCTCAAAATATCTAAATATCTTGTGATCATATACCTGAAAGGACAATTGCACAGTGCACACAATCCTCAGGGATTTCAGCTCCAAAAAGAAGGATAAGGAAAAATCTTAATACATGAAAAGAACAAGCCAAAAATCATACCTCTGCAAGTAAAAGGCTTTCATCATTGGCTAAGCAGCAAGCAGTGCCTAATGCAGTAATGAGATCTCTACAAGATCCATGTTTAGGTACTGTCACAGTGTATGGCATCGGAAGACGACTTCCATCACAATAAAACACTGTAACTGTCATTGGTCGTGTAAGTGTTGATGGCAAAGGTATAGACAAGTACATGAAGGGATCAAAAGTGATTGATATTTTTCCGCAAACTGGACAAACCAGAGTTGACTTGTATTGGCCCTAAAAGAAATGAAATACATCATAAGAAATGGTCAGGAAACTAAATACAGAAACTTGTAGTACTTGTATGAAAATTCAAAGGAAGAAGTGATTAGGAAACGTTAAGAGATACTTACTTGACAGACGTTAACTATTACAGAATCATTTCGGGCCTGATGATAACCCCAAAGCTCTTCAGCCACTTCATCATCCGGACGATTGTCAGAATCTTTAAGTTCGATATAAGGTTTTCGTTTTACCTTATTTAAATCTTCGTGCAGCCCATCCAATAAGAAAGCGAGCAGTTCCTGAGACAAAAATTTAATACATCATACACAAAGCAAAAAAAAAATGAAATATTCTGGGTAGCAAAATAACAACAACAATGCCAGGAACAATGCACCATCATACATAATAGAGAAAATCACTAACTTGAGAATCATGCTGATTGTAACCACTAAACTGTGGAGCAAATCTAGCCAATTTTGTCTTAAAAGAGCGTGGTGCAACTGCATTCTTTCCTGATGACCATAAGTTCTTCAACAAATCACCAAATGCGATAGCAAGCTCACCCTGGATAATTAAGTATTAGAATTATATTCAGACTGCATGTGACCACCTTCACATGAGGAAATGGAAACCAAAATAAGTATCAAGCACTTACACACATTCCCAAAGGATTATCTCTATTTATGTCCTCACTGTAATCTTGCAAGAAGTATTCCATAATTGGAGGTGTGTGGGCCAAACACTGAAGAGCGCTATTCATAAAGCAGGTATTTCCTAGATTACTCAATCCTGCTAATCCTCCCTTCTCTCCTTTTCCAAGAATACCAAAAGAATCGCCACCGTCATCTTCAGAAGTTATTCTCGGAAAGAGACTAAACTTGGACGTGGTGGAATTGCCATTGGGTAGGGTAGGCCCCCCAGCAATTGTAACACGGGACCTTGAAGGTTCCAGAGGTACCAGAGCTAACTCATCTCCTGTCGAGCTCATAGCATGTTGAGATGAAGACGACCCATCAACTTCAAGAAGAATCTGCATGGGATGCATTCGTCATTGTCGAACAATAAATGAAAACTAAAATTAAATGAGATAAATGGGATTCGGTTTTTCACAATAAAAGAACTCAAAAGGCAATGACCCAAAATCAAGTTAAGAAAACTTGTAGTGCAAGTTGAAAAAGGTAATTCGTCAAGATTTGTCAATATAAGAAGAGTTACAAACAGTTCTCTAGATACTTACATCTTGGTCCATCTGAAGCCTTGACTCTTCCAGGCTCTTGTTAGACGAAGGATACAAGATTCCGATTTTCCTCTTATCGAAGTAATCCCAGATGTGTGCCTGTTTATACATATCAATGTGAATTAAAGAACACATCTCCATATCAAACAATGCATATTTCATCAGAAAGAAAAAATAACAAGAAAACAGACATAGACATGAAACACTCCAGACACGCACCTTTTCTTGCGCAACACCTGTCATAGCACAAACCTTCTCATAAAGTTCCCTTACAGAGGCCTGAAATAATGAACAACCCATGTAAGAAAGTGACCAAAGTGGGACGTAGTAGTGAATAACAAAAGAGTCTCTGGCTACATAAGCACAACTAGTAGGTTGAAGCAAAACAAAAAGCCAAAGTAGAGTATGATGATCTGATAGGGCACCTGTTTTCCCAGCCGTATTACAGTTTTACTTTCATCGCGTCCGTCTGTTAACATAAGGCAGAGTGGGTAAACCTCTACATTATAACTCCTACTGTAAAACCCTTGACAGATCATCTTCCTTTCTATCGGAGGACCTCCGCTATACCTAAAAAAAGACATAAGACCAGGTTATATCCCCTTGAAAGCATATTTGATCAACATAGTTCCAGGAGACAATCTGGTGCATAAGCAATGAGAATAACAGAGGAAACACTCACCATTCAACAAGTCTTTTCCAAACATCTTGAGGAACTAACACGTAGTCCTCCCCTTCCACCAGCAATCTACGAAGTTGTGGATCGTTAATGTCGCTTTCACTTTCAATAATATCTTTGTTATCAATCGGTCCAGGCCTCGAAGCTTCAGAGGACTCTCCACTTATACATTCATCTGTTGACTGCTCAACATATTTCTGCCAGCTTGTATACCACCTACAGTAACAACAAACATTAACCACGACTTAGAACACACATAACTAAATTCCTCACCTAAATCTTGAAAATCTATACAATTCCTCACCTAAATCTCGAAAATCTATACAATTCCTCAAAATATCTCTATACAAGCCCAGAGTAAGATTCAAAAACACAACCGAAACACAGATACAGGAAATGAAAAGCTACACAGAGATATGAACAGAGAAGCATTCCAACAATCAAATCTGTGAAGCAATTACTACTGATACTACTTGGATCATCATCATCATCGTCGTCGTCATCATCAGCTAACAAAACGGTAAAAGTTAAGGCAACGAGAACGAACCTTTTAGAGATGACAAAGTAAACGTTCCCTTCCTTCAAATTATTCTCCGATTCGGTAGTCAGCTCCGAGACGATACGTTTCTCTTCCTCAGGAGATAGCGGCAAATCACAGACTCCGTTCTCAACCATGAAATCGGAATTAGGAATCGTCATCTTCTCAACAAGATGATGAACCGATCAATCAAATGGTAAACAAAACTACGATCCAAGATCCACCAATTTTTTTCAAACGAAATCGCAAGACTCAACGGACGAAATCGAACGAAACAGAGAGAAAGAAAAATGTAATGTGAGGATCTGAGAAAGGAAACAACAACGGCAAGACCAAAGAATCGGAGAAGAAGAATTCGAAGGAACCCTAGATTGGAGGAGAAGAACCAGAGAGAGAGAGAGAGAGAGAGAGAGAGAGAGAGAGACTTATTTTTGGATTCACGATTTTTATGGTCTGTGATGTTTTCCAATTTCTTTTCTTTTCCAACAAGTAGCAAATTACTTTCATTGTAAACTTGGTTAAAATGTTAAATTTTTTATTTATTTTAGGTAATTATTATTACACTTAAGATTAAGAATGTAATAGCACTTAATAAAATGTTAATTTTTTTATTTTTTGGTAATTGCAGTTTATAAGTTTAACTGGAAAGTCTAGACTGTAATTGGATGGTTCGGTGTAGTTTTGATTTGATCTGAAATTCAACAATTTACATTCATAATTTAACAATTTAATTTAAGAAGATAATTTTAGATTTTTATTTTCATTTTAATGAATTCCCTAATTTTCAAATTCCCTAATATCTCTTTTTTACTATTAATTAATAATTTAATATTTATTAACAATTACTTACTTAAACATAAGAATTTTTTTGTTATATTTAGAATATTTATAAATAAATTATGAAATATTCCTGATTTTGTATTACATAAATGTCTTAAAATAAATAAATTCAAATAATTATTCATTTGTACAAATCTTATCTAAATCATATAAAATGAATAAGTATTTTAATAGAATATTATTTAATGTTTATACTTAATAATTTAAGAATCCCATTGAGTTAATATTTATATATTTTCATATCTTCTTCCCAATTGGAAGAAATTCGTCCTTGATCTAATGGCCTTAACTTAAGTATATATATTTTTTGCAATCAACCATGAACCATTAACATTTTTTACTAAAAAATACAAAAAAATGTTTATTATTTAATAAAATATTCATTTTTTTCCTTTTTCTGATTTTTTCCGTTTTTTGGTCAGAATCAATTAAATTCTTGTAAGAATCTGTTAAATTTGGATCGAATAAAATCGGATAAAACGATTATTGGATATGGGTCAGTTCAATTGCAAAACTACAATTTTTTACACAAAACGAAAAATGTTTGTGTAGTCTTCTAAAGAATTAAACTTATTATGATGATATCTTAAGAGCCAAAATGTTCGTATAGAAAAAGTGAGAAAACAAAAATGTACAAATTGAAATAATGCGCCAACCCTTGCTCGAACTCTTTTGATCTAATCTTAACTCATAAGCCATAACCCTCTAACTTCTAATTTAGCAATTTTCGTTTATTAGGTAGAATTTAGAAGTGATTAAGCTAAGTCTCCACTTTTTTTTGCTTTTTGTCCCTAGAATTTCTTTGTTCCAATGGTTTTCTTTCAATTTCCAGTTTTCATCGTTTCATTTTTCCTTTTTCTTTCCCTCGCAAACCCAATAACATGTATATATCACCATCCTAAACTATAATTACCACATGAATGCTAGTACCAAATCATTAGTAGATCCTGTAATTTGAAAATACGATCAACTTTACCATTAAATTAAATCATAATGAATATAATTGATTTCCATTTTATATAATTTACTGAAGCCACAACCCGTATATAATATATGAATAAAACCATATGAAATTCCCGAGAACAAAATTGAAAAAAGTATCAATATCAACTTACTGCGATAAACTTTGATTAAAAATCTCTTTTATTGGTTAATCAAATTATTTTAATCTTGTTCTTAGCTCAGATGATCATCTAGTAATTTGTTTTTTTTTTGTCACTAGTAATTTGTTATTTAGAAACCTATGTCAATTGTTTCCTTCTAAATTACATTTATATATATATGAAAAATAAATTGCTATTTTTGTATACATTTTTCCATATTTAGTATATAAACTCAAAATTAGATATGAATATTAGGAATTCATCATCTTTGCTTGATTTGAAAACCACTATGTGAAAGACGAGCGGAGTCTTAGGCTTTTTAACCTATCAAATGAGTGGAAACCTGAATCGAAATTTAAGGAGATCGATAGCTTAAGATAGTTTTTGTAATGCCTTATATATTTTACTCTCTTCTTTCTTTCTTTCTTTCTTTCTTTTATTTCTTTTTTATTAAAACATATAAATTTTCATTTTTAAAAGAAAAAACCACAATATATTCATCTATACTTTTTTCTACCAAAAAATTTCATTTATATCTTCTAAGATGAAAACAAAATTTATATTCTCATTGGGCGTTCTAGCTCTCTACATCCTTTTTGTGCTAGGTTTGTAATTATTTTAAATGTTTCATATAATATTTTTTATGAGAACTAAATACAAATACCTTATGTTATAATGTGATCCCTCATGGAGGATTGGTACCCAAAAGCCAAAATACATCTTTCAAAAATTTTCGAATATAATTACTTCATTTATATTATGATAAAATATTCTGATCGAACTATCAATTATATGTATTTGACAAATGTATATGTCAAGCTATATATATATTTTTTTCTAATCACAGAAATTGAGATTTGATGTTTTATATATATATGTAACAGTAGCAGGAGTGGTTGGAGATGGACAAAAGAAAACACCAACGAAACAAACATGGTGTTCTAGGCCTTTCCCTAATAATAACCAGAAAACTGAGAAATGTGTCATCAAAGATTGTGAATCTAAATGTAGACAGAAGTGGAAAGGGAATGGTACAGAGGCTTCATGTCGTCCTCGTTGCATCTGCCATTTCCGTTGTCCATGGATTCAAGGCTCTGCCTGATTCAAATATGAAATTATCTTGACTCATGTTGCAATGTTATTGATTAAGAACCTAATTTTTTTTTTTTAATTATGTAACTTTGGAACCTCCTAAAGTTTATGCTTTATTTATATTTTCCAAAACATATATATTAGAATTTGTTACTTTTATACAAAATACTATATGAATACAAAATTCACCATTGTTTTATGGGTTTATATTTTATATTTCCTTCTATCATCTATCTTGGCCGCCACACTAAACCAATGCATTAGGCTAATTACCATTGCTGTTACCTTAACTTGTTGATGCCATATTCGTGCATGTTACATGAAACACATGTTTTGTGTACGTTCCACCAAAAAAAACGATTGCTTTAACATTGGTGATGATCTAAAGATTTAAGCACTTAAAACTTGAGATTCTTGCGATTCTTCATGTCTACACCATCTTGGATGATAAAGCTGACTGAGGTTAGCAGTTACCATAAGTCATAACTACCAAACCTTCCATATCATAACCTTTGTGCAACGTTCTCAAGTCTGTGCAGCCTTCAAGGGACAAAGATTGACTTGATCATCAAGATAAACAAAGCCTTTTCTTGCTTCTTTATTCCTTACACAAAATTTTAAACCAAGAGATCGACAATATAAAGAACATTAACTTTGTATTGCATATATTTTTGGATGTTGAGTATCCTCCTACAACTGTTAGAAAGGTTAAGGATACAAACCAGTGAAAAAGTTAGAAACCTAAACATTTGACAGATGATATATCAAAGAATTATTAGTTGGAAAGCTCTTATCACATTTAATCATCATAGCAAGACCACTATCAATGCATTGTGTTCCTCTGTTTCCTCATGAGCTTCTTATAGCGAAGTATAAATGGCGATAGGTCGAAGTACTAGTAATTCAAAAAAATAAACTTAAATTCCTATAAAAGTTAGAAATGTTTGGTTGTGAGACATACAATGTCTCTCCTACATCCAAATCAAAGCCTCCTTATATAGCATTGTAAGGACTAGAACAATAACAAGTTCTGCTCACAAAACCGCTTTCTTCTCACCTTCTTCCTCTTTACCCGCAACTTTAACCTTCTTATAAACCCGATCATCAAAACCCCCCGAGGATTCTTTTCTCCGCTTATTCGCACTCAAAGGAAACAGCAAGCTCTTCTCTTTATCCACACCACTCCGAGAATGTTTCATCTCAATATCTCTAGAACCCAAATTCCTACCATCCACGACGTTCTCTTTCGACATAGACAACAAAACACCAGCACAAGTATCCTCATCATCATCATCCCCAATCTCACAAACATCATCCTTCTTCTCAATCTCATCCCAACAAGGAAACTCCTTATACTGAAACCTAAACTTCTTAGGCACATAACCACTACACTTCCAAAGCTGACGCGTAAAAACCGAAGAAACACATTCAAACAGAGCCAAATCACCACCAGGAACACCTTGTACATGAACCCTTTCTTCAATTGGTATCTCTGAACAAGTCTTCAATATTGGAACAGTCTCACTCATCTGACCAGATACATTCCCCATCCTCATTGATTTAGTAACAGATAACTTTTCGATATCATTGTTTTTGATCTTCTTCTTACACTTATGACAAACAAACAAATCATCTTCTTTAACATAACGAGAACACCATGTATGAACCCATACACCACATTCATCACAATCAACCATCTCTTTACCATCATCAAAATTCACACCACAAACACAATCTACAGTCCATGATTCATAAACCCAATCCTCGTGTGGCTTCATTTCAAATTTACCCTGAAAAAAAAACCCTAAATTTTGATTCTTTCTCAAATTTACCCAGAAAATCTCCTTAAATTTCGAAGCTTTATAGAAAAAAAAAAAAAAAAAAACCAATTCGTCTCTTCTCAACGACGATTGTAATGTTTTACGTGAAAGAGCTTTGCGATTCCCAATAGAGAGAAGAAGAAAAAACCTATCTTGACGTAAATCTATGGATTCTCTCGTCCGATTTCTCAACGAAGAAGACGATGAGATGATGAATTGATTTCCACTATTGCGTTCATCAATCATTAATGGGCTTTGTTAATATTAATGGGCCGAGGTTAGAAGATAGATATTAACAATTTGGGACCAAGGTAAAGCCCATTTGAAATAGTGCTACAATTTGAAATACAAAGTTTATACAACCACAGTTCAAAACGTTTATGTGTCAAACTATTGTTACAACGTAACCCACATCTTATTACATTAAACTTTAATTAGTAACTTGTGTGATCGCGATACATGTTAGTTTTGTTGATTTAGAGATTTTGTTCTGTGTTAAACAAAAAAATTGTTTGTTTTATGCTTTACAAATAAAAGCATAATTATAATAAAATTATTATCTTGTTATATAAAGTTACGTTTCAAAGTTAATCATTAGCGAGATTAAGAAACGTATCAAGTTATTAATCTGAGATGTTGACAAGTAAAATAAATTGTTTTACAGATATCAAAAGATAGTAATGTTTATATTTAACTCAATGTGATATTCATAGTTTCTAGTCTCAAACAACACCAACAATCCTTTGTAATATTTATTGGTTCAAATTCAATGCATATAATTTTCTTGAATTGTTTTGATAAATAAGGATTAGAAATGTGTGAAACATTTGATTTTAAGTTTTATACAAATAATGTGCTTACAAATATTAAATTGATAAACAATTAAAATAATAAACTCAAATTGCATTAAAAACAATTTTGGTTTACAAAGGGCCTTCTTAGGTGCAAGTAGTAAAAAGTCTATTTAACTTGTATGAAGTTGGTGTGTTAAATTGTTATCTTCAAAAAGAAACATGAGTGATTCTTATCGATTAAAAGTGATGTTATGATAAAATGAAAGAGCAGAGAAGATCATCACTTTATCTCTTGAAACAGCAAAGAGGAACGAACACAAGATTTTTTAACCCGGTTTACGGCATTAACGAGCTGCCACGTTCCGTTAAGATCGATAGATCCACAACTCCACTATGAAAAAGATGGTGGATGATCGTTTGCCTATCGTTAGCTAAATTTACTTTTTGTTTAATATACTCACATTTAAGTATGTATTATATGAATTTATTGGTTATAGATATATTAGGAAATAGTTTTGTCAAAAAGAGCGAGTCTCATGCTTTGATAGTCTCGGATAATTAAGCAAGCTGAATCGCAATTGAAGGAGATATAGCTTAAAATAGATATGCTATAATGTTATATACATTCAACTTCTTATATATAGTTGCTCTTTTTCTTTTCCTTTTTATTTTAATTTTCAAATAAACAGTCAATTTTTGATGAACAAAAAGTGTTCATTTATATCATCAATGATGAAAAAATCATTCTCCTTTATCGTTTTAATTCTTCTCGTCATTCCTGTACTAGGTTTGTATTTTGATTTATAATCATTGTTTTTTTTTTTGAACAAACTTATAGTCATTGTTATATGTTACTATTTAATTAGTCATTTTAAATACAATATTATTTATTTTACATATCATTTAAAAATATTTTTTAACATCTGTTTCATAGTTAATTTTCACCATTTAATTTCATAATTAATTTTCATTAATTATTTTCATTAGGTGAAATTTCACTATTTTCACTATTTAAAATAATATATTAGATATCTGTTATAAATTTTTTAATCTCTTTCAAAACGATTTATCCTTTTTCATTTTTTAAACTAATATTTCATGGTTTCTGTATAATATTAATAGGATTGCAAAAACAACCCAAGCACCCATTACAGGGTTGGTGTGCTTCTCCTCTACCTGACCAAAAACCCGGGAAATGTAACCATGACCGATGTCAGACTAGGTGTAAGAACACTCGTCAGTTTCAAGTTAAAGACCAGGTTACAGTTGGTACTTGCAGCACTAGTAATAAATGTTTTTGCACTTGGCGTTGCAAATAGCTAAAAATGCAATTATTTGTTTACATATAAAAATCATTTTATTGTTTCCTTATTTCTCCAAAACTCATTACAATATGTATGTAATGTCTCTTATAATAAAGTAAACACATACAATATTTGTTGATTTTATGGTCTAGTAACTTGTATTAGTGTTATTACCAAATTATGACAGCAATGTTCTTTGGGCTCATTAAAAAAAAAAACATAAACAATTTTATGAAAGGTACAATAAATATAACGTAAAATGTGGTAAAATTTATATACATTTTAAATATTTGATTTTACTATCACAATAAATTAATTTATAACACACAGTAAAAATTATAATCTTACTTTTTTCCATAACCTTGTTTTAATAGAAGAAAATATATGCTTAGTTTAGTTAATTATTATCAAATAAGTAAAATAAATGAAGGGTTTCAAAAATGGCTTTGCGTGATAGAGCCGTTAAACATGTACAACGGTTAGAAAGCAATCTGCGCCGTCTATAAATTCAGAAACTCCAAAATCTATCTTCATTCTTCTTCACCTTCCCCAAGTTCAAATTCATCTCCGAGGAAACAAATCAAACAATCATAACGTTTCTTTCGAATACAAGAGAGATGAAAGCAGAAGCAGAAACAGAGTCTTCCACAACGTTTCTTCTCCTCTGAGGTAAGTCTTTGGTAAAGCTTTGATTTTTCTTTATGGGTTCCCAAATTTGATTGTGAATACAGAACACGAGAAAGAGAGATCGTACCAGAAACAGAGTCAAATCTCTCAACGTTTCTTTCTTGTGCGGTAAGTCTTTCGTAAAGCTTTGATTTTTCTTTATGGGTTTTGGAATCGATTGTTAATAAATTAGGAATCTGATTCAATGGCTCTTCGTTTTAGGGTTCTTTAAAAGATGATTTTTTTTATAGGATCAGAACATGATCTTTTTAAGACATAGACAAGCTTTGCATAATCAAAACAGAGCTTTTCAAAAGCTCTGTTTTGTTGTCAGGTCTTGTTTTAGACATTCTATACTAAAGATCGAATCTATTTGCATAATCAAACAACTTTGATTTTTCCCAAATCGATCGTCGTATTTGGGTTGGTAGAATTTGATCTTTGTATTAGGGTTTTATAGGATCAGAACATGATCTTTAGATATAGACGAGTCTTGTTTGTGTTGTATGAATTACTAGTTTGGTTCAAAATTTCTTATGATTTAAGCCTAGACAAGGTTACCCATGATCGGCTCGGTTCCTAGCTCTGTTTTGTTGTCAGGTAATGTTTTCAGACATTATATACTAAAGATTGAATCTTTTTGCATAATCAAACAACTTTAGTGTCTTGATCTTCACTTCAAACATTGGTCCATTACTGTGGGAAGCAACAGCTATAGTGATGCAAAAATGCTTCCACCTTCTCAGAATCACTTCTGTTTTACAAGCTTTGATCACTTCTGATCTAATGTGTTTGTCTGACTAGACAAGATAGAGGAAGGTGGTTTTGTTGGGTTTCTTGGAGAGTGTAGCATTATAACCCTTTTTCTAGATCTGATCTAGTATCTCACTCTAGTCTAGCTCCTACTAGATGACTCTCTTCTTACTCATTACAAGTTTCTGTTTTGAAACCCTCTCTTCATAACATCTTTTAAGGTGTTAAGAAGATAACTTTTATAGAATCCAAAGATGATTCTTGGATCTGTTAAAGCTTAGATGAGCCTTTGGTGCTCATCTATGATTTGCTTTATCTGTAGTTAATATATTTTGCTTTGTTTAACATGTCTTTGTCTTCACTGCTTGTCTTTGTTCATCTATGTTTGCGTTTTTATGATTTGTTTGTTGTCCAAGACTTTAAAGCTGATCTTGAGTTGCTTTGTCTGTAGTTAATATGTTTTGTATTTGTCTAACATGTCTTTGTCTTCACTGCTTGTTGAGCTTGAGTTTAAGCCTTCTAGGTTTTGCTGTAACTATACCCTAAGCCAAACGAGTATCTTTACTTGAGACTGACTTACAAGTTACAACAATGTTATATATGTTAATCCTATTGTCTCCAAACTAGTTGGGGACAATTGTATTTAGATTTACAGTTTCATTTTCTGCTAAAAGAAAACAAAAAAAGAGATTCATAGAACAAAATGAATCCAAGAAGGCAATTTTTTACAGCGACATTCACAAAGAAAGGTCTTCTAGTTTTTCCTCTTGAGTACAATTCTGGAGAGCTCCTGATAGACTAACTTCATGTCTGGCCTTTCTGGTGCTGGTGAGATACAGCTCAGAGGCACTCCTTGAGCTCTGCGACTCAATAATGGATGGATCAAAACACTCAGCCGCACGGTTTTGTCCCACAAGCAGTAGAACCCATTCTGTGAGTTCAACAACCCCTGGATCACTGCAAACTATATATCTCCTGACACTTCTCCTGTTAGAAGCTCTAACAAAATGACCCCAAAAGGAAAACACATCGCTTTTCAGAGAAGGGTATGGTTTACTCAGCTGGCAAACTCTAGAGGGCAGTAGCCAAGAGCGGCTGCATTCAAGACTTGCTCTGATGTGGCTTCTGGTGTCATTAACCGGTGAAGACTGTAATATGTTAGGTAGGCAGTGAGTTCAGGAGGTTTCAGGAGAATATTAGTTGATTTTAAATTCCCATGTGGAATTGCTTCCTCGTTGTGTATGTCAAGAGTAATTTTAAGACGTTTATCCACCAACAATGGTGGTAGGCATTAACAGTCCAGCCTCTGCAGACAACAAAGAATGAGTAAATCATCTTTGCCATGTACACTTGACAGCAATGTACTTGGGGATCATTTCCAGGAGACTTTCTTTCATATTATCTAATCAGAATCTACCACCTAATGAAAGCTAACAAAAACAAATAAAATAAAATTTTGAATATCATCTATATTAAAAACACTAATAGTATACCACTGAATTTTTATTTTACAAGGTTTTATGTTGGATGTTGACAAAAATAAAAAGGTTAGGGCATATGCAACGACGTTCTTTGTCGCCGTCCCACCCATTTTAAAAAAAAAAAAATCAAAAAAGAAAGAAATGAAGGACGTTTCCAAAATCGCTACGGTCATGCGCTTCTTTCTTCATTATTCGCGGGCTCAACTGACACGTGGCGGCGCGCGATTGGTGATTTTTTTTTCTGTTTTAATGAAAATTAAAAAAAATTTAGGAGACGAATTAAACCGATGCACATGGTCTTATATGTCAGTTTTAAGTTTGTTAAGAGCTTCATAGAGTATAAATTTACAAATTAAACGATTTTACATACATCGATAGTCGACTAACCTTGCTAAGAGAACACTTACATTATCATCTAAAGTAGTAATGATATATTTCATAATTGATATGACAAAATGAAAAGATATACCCATTGTATCTCTCCATTCTCTATTATTCCCCCACCTCTACGTTACAATACACATTGATTCAAATATACACAAACCAACACTTTGATATATATACAATGAGAAAATACTATACGTACATGCATGTAGAGTAAAGAGGTAGACGATGACTAAGCATATTAGAGCTATAAGAGTGATTTTGTTATGATGATTCTTGTTTTATATAATAGATAGGTTACTACACGTTCTTCTTTTTGGTATCTAGTGTCTTAAGAAACGTAGCGTTACTCTCGTTAACTCCAATAAATTTTACTAATTTTGGAATCGTTATGAGTTTAATAATCTTCTTCCATTCAAATTCTTAAAATTTCCTAATTTAGTAAATACTGTTTATAGCTTTTCAATATCATCCATCATAAGTAGACTTGAAAATATGCGAAAAAGAAAACAAAAAAAAATACCAAAACACATTTTGTTTTTCCTCATCATGGCCAAAACTATTGTCATCAAACACATAACTTTCCTCTTGTCATTGTTATTAGTATTTGAGCTTATTGCGTTTCCGGTCGTAAATGCGATGCTTGCTAAAGACGTGCAAGCATTTTGCAAAGGGACAAGTGATGTCAACTTTTGCTTGAAATATATTGGATCGGACAAACGTATATCAGCCGCACGCGATCTAAACGACGTGCTTTTAATCGCGGTAACAATGTGGATGGTTACAAAAAAATACTTAAAATGTTCATTCTATATTTAGAATTGTGAAAAGTTAATTAAATTTTGAGTAAAATGTTGATTAGATATGCTTTTAATCGCGGTAACAATGTGGATGGTTACAAAAAATACTCAAAATGTTCATTCTATATTTAGAATAGTGAAAAGTTAATTAAATTTTGAGTAAAATGTTGATTAGATATATAAGAAACATGCTTCATTCTTGTTTTCTGATATAGAGAGTTCGTTGTTATCAGTTTTCTCAGTGTAAAACTCAAGTGACCAACGCAGCCAAACATATCAGCAAAGTCCGAAATCGATTTAGTGGTCCGATTGGGAAAGAACGGATCAAAATTTGCGAAAGAAACTACGGATTAGCGTCAGGTTTGTTCCAAGAAGCTTATGAAACTGGACAACAAAAAGTGCTTGCATACAGAGCTCACTTAGCTGCACAAGGTGGTGTGGAATATGTGCGCCAGTGTGAAGATGAATGGAAAAAGAATGGTCCAATACAAAAGTCTCCTGTCACTTTTTATAACACAAATGTTGTTAAATTATTTTCTATAATTCGTCTTATTGTCACCAAGCATAAGACTTAATTTGTAGAAACGCAAAATTCGATTTAGTTAAAGCTTGGTTTAGTTTTACTCAGTTGCTCACATCTTTGATAAACTAGGTATTTATCGGTTTCTGATTATAATATTGATTCTTTTGTAATATTTATTGGTTTAATGCATATAATTTTCTTGAATTGTTTTGATAAATAAGGATTAAAAACGAGTTAAACATTTGATTTTAAGTTTTATACAAATAATGTGATTTTAAATATAAAGTGATAAACAATTAAAATAACAAAGTCAAATTACATTAGAAACAATTTTGGTTTACAAAAGGGCCTTCTAAGGTGCACGTAGTAAAAAGTCTATTTAACTTGTTTGAAGTTGGTGTGTTAAATTGTTATCTCCAACGAGAAACATGAGTGATTCTTGTCGATTAAAAGTGATCTTATGATGAAATGAAAGAGCAGAGAAGATCGTCACTTTATCTTTTGAAACAGCAAAGAGGAACGCACACAAGATTTGTTAACCCAGTTTACTGCTTTAACGAGCTGCCACGTTCCGTTTGGATTAATAGATCCACAACTCCACTATGAAAAAGATGGTGGGCATGTTCATTTGCCTATCGATAGCTAGATTCACTTTTTGTTTAATATACTCTCATATAAATATGTATTATATGAATTTTACTGGCTATAGATATATTAGGAAATAGTTTTGTCAAAAAGAACGAGTCTCATGCTTTGACAGTCTCAGATAATTAAGCAAACTAAATCGCAATTAAAGGAGATCGATAGCTTAAAATAGATATGTTATAGTGTGATATATTTTAAACTTCTTATATATAGATGCTCTTTTTTCCTTTCTTTTCATTTTCAAATAAACAATCAATTTTTGAAGAAGAAAAAAAAAGTATTTATTTATATCGTCAATAATGAAAAAATCATTCTCATTTACCATTCTAATTCTTCTCGTCATTTCTGTGCTAGATTTGTATTTTGATTTATAATCATTGTTTTTTTCTTTTTTGAACAAATTTATAATCATTGTTATATGTTATCATTTAATTGGTCATTTTAAATACAATATTATTAGTTTTACATATCATTTAAATATTTTTTATATCATTTGTTTCATAATTAATTTTCACTATTTATTTTCATAATTAATTTTCAGTAATTTTTCCTGTGCTAGATGCAATTTCACTATTTTCACTATTTTAAAAAATACATTTGATATCTGTTATAAATTTTTTAATCGCTTTAAAAACTATATATCTTTTTCAATTTTTTTGTTTAAAACTAATGTTTCATGGTTTATGTATAATAGTAACAGGATTAGAAAAAACACCCAGGAGCCCAACAGATGGTTGGTGCGCTACTCAGCTACCTGACCAAAAACCCGGTAAATGTAACCAAGACCGATGTAACATTAGGTGTAAGAACACTCGTCAGTTTCAAGTTAAAGGACAAGCGACAGTTGGTACTTGCACATCTAGTAATAGATGTTTATGCACTTGGCGTTGCAGATAGCTAATAATGAATGAAATTATTTGTTTACAAATAAAAATCATTTTGTTGTTTCCTTATTTCTCCAAAACTCATTACAATATATTTAATGTCTCTTATAATAAAGTAAACACATATAGTATTTGTTGATTTTATGGTCTAGTGACTTGTATTAGTGTTATGTATTACCAAATTATGACAGCAATGTACTTGGGGCTCATTTCTAGGAGACTTCCTTTCATTTTATCTAATCAGAATCTACCACCTAATGAAAGCTAACAAAAACAAATCAACTTAAATTTGAATATTATCTGTAAACTAATAGCATACCTTTGAATTTTGATTTTACAAGGTTATATATCGGTTGTTGACAAGAATAAAAAAATACGGTTATATGTTGGCTTGAGTTTATTAAAACCTTCATAGAGTATAAATTTACAAATTAAACGATGTTACATACATAGATCGTCGACTAACCTTGCTAAGAGAACACTTACATTCTCATTTAAAGTAGTAATGACAGATTTCAGAATTTATATGACAAAATGAAAAGATATACCCAACCCACAGCCTAGCTAATGATCCAAAAAGAAAAATAAAAATTGCTAAGAGCCAATATATAACTGTTTACAATCAAAGACTCCTTAACCAAGGACCAAGAAAGCCCATTTTCTTGAACACCAAAACTTAGTCCATGTCAAGGGTCTTCTGATTTCAGACAAAATATTGGTGAACTTCTGATGCAAGGGTCCTAGAGTTTAAAAGTCGAGCCTAGGGTTTTCCAAATCAATCCACCACTTAACCGGGTCGTCATTGGAAACCGGTTCAGTTCTATCCAGAACAAGGGCAACCATGCATACGATAATGGACTCAGCCAATGGTTTGCTCCCATCCCATAGGAAACACCATAACATAAACAAGTCTCTTACAAAAACTCTTTGCTCCTCTTCTAAATAATTTGATTCTGAATTTTACATTCAGTTCAAATAACTTTCAAAGGAGAAAAGACAAAACATAAATGAGATTTGGTATTTTGGTGGTGCTAGGAAACTAAAATGTCTAGTTCGATTCGATTTCCAGAAAATAATACTACAAGACAAGAATTTGGTAGCTATTGGGTGGATAAAATAAACAAAAATGTAGTATAATTTCAGCTTTTTCCAAAAATAATTATTTCATAGAATATATACAAAAGTACCAAAACAAAACTAAAGGGGTGTATTCAAAGTATAATTAGAAGTGATTTGAGTTTTCTTGAGTTTTTAAATAATTTTAAGGAAGTTCATATGATTTTGTACAATCCTTTCAAATCTCACCTAAAACCATGAGATTTGGATTTATGTATGTTTAACTAGGAAAATCCTCTCAAATACTTCAAAATCATTAAAAATCAAATCCACAAATTGTTTTTAATAACAGTGGATTTTGAAATCATTAATTCATAACATTGGATTTTATGAGATTTTTTAAAATTCATGTTTGAATAACACTGGATTTATAAATTCCACAAAAGTCTCTTAAAATTAAACTTTGAATACACCCCTAAATATATTTGCAAAATTATCCCCAATAAATTACCTAACTGATGAATTATTTTCTAAGTTTTTTATTGGGAATTTTTCATATATACCACTAAATTAAGTTTTATCAAAAAATATATACCATAAGCTAAAAGTTTAAGAAGGAGTCTCAGATCTCACATCTATATATGTAATTAATTTAATACTAGTACTTTTGAACCATTTAGCTTAATCTTGTTTATTGTATTTTTATAAGGATATTTCGCTATCTAATTTTTATTTTTTTTGGGTGTAAATGTCACATATTTCTCTATCTAAAATTTTACACCATATATATATATACATTGTCTTTTTTGCGAAAATTAAACCGTATGATTTGGGAAAACGAAACCTCATATTAATTAGGATGACATAAGAATCTGTCTCTCTAATTTATTCTTCTAGTTCTAAGAGAGACAAAAAAAAACAAAGGAGCTTTAAGCATATCTCTATAGCTGTAAAGCTGGTGATGGAACTGGTAAGTTTGGTAACTGCTTCGACCACCGTACGAATGTGGTGGTTAAGGCTACACCGGTAATAATCTTCTGATGTAATAATGAGTGAGAGAGTCATCGGATAGTTCTGAAACTTGTAATGTCATTGTCATTGTTTTGTCGACAAGTGATGTTTTTTCTTTTTTAGTTTAACTCATGTTTATCCTTATGAGGGTTCATTCTACTTTTACAAAATTTTGATTCTTTAGTTGTCTTTTTTTTTTCAGAAAAAGGAAAAAAGAATTGATTCTTAGTAGTTGGATTTATGAAAAAAGTAAATTATGTACGAATTATTAAAAAAAATGAAAGAATAATAGTAAAGTGATTCATTTAACCAAAATGCTAAACACAAGAAAGATCAAATGTTGGCATTTTCCATGAAATAGTAAATGTTATACATTTGACTCATGCTTTTTTTTTTTTTTACAAGTCTTGATTCACTAATTCTAAAGGCTTTGTGAACCCAAACACTAATCATAGAGTCCAAAATAACTAGGTTAAATAGTTCGAATTCGGGTGACTAATGCTACTCGAACCCATATGACGAGAATTATTTCACTTTATCATTGGACCAAGATTACTTTGGTTGTTTAATGAAAACCCTAAATTAATGTGAAGATTTGTGTGTTAGAGGAGTTTAGAATTGTGTTCGTGCTTTTTACTTACGATGAGACCATAGTAGAACAACTCACACTGTCACACACGTATTTAGATGTACGAAGTTGTATATATGGCATTGTCCCATCGAACAAGATTACGAGACTTGTCGATAATACTTTTCTTGTTGTAGTCAAGAACGTTGTGCTTAATACTATCTTTAAAAGAATGATAACCATAGTTGTGTTGTATATAAAATAAGATTTGCATTGACAAATTTTATAGTGGATTTGTATATAAACTCGATTCTAGTTGAACTTACTTAATTACGTCTTCAATCATATAGATTTAGCTTAAATATAAGCTTACAAAATACCACACACATACACAAATATCTAAAACACATAAACTAAGGACCAGAATTTGTAGTAAACGGTTGTTATTGGCTTGTAGTCAACATGTCTTGTGATCGTCGTGTGCATAAACCTTTTCTACCCGGTCTTGTTTCTATCATAGTGTAGTTGTGTATCACTTTATCGGATTGCTGCAAGAAAAAAATAAACATTGTTACATAACCAGTTGGATTATGTTTTGCAAAGTTTGAAAACTACAAAAAACTGTAGGAACAAACAAAATACGCAAACTCTATTATCGTTAAGGTTTGAGGTTTCTAAAAGTTATTAATGTCACGTAGTACGATGAGACATCAATGACATAACTCAGAATACTTGATTGAAGTAAGTAGCCCTGCGGTTTTGCCCCAACCCTTGTAGGCTTGTACTGAACTGACCCAAACCGACTTTTTGGTTTTTCGGTTTAATTTGGTGGGATTAGGATTTGTGTTATATTCTTGGTTCGGTGATCGGTTACTCGTTTTTATTAAAAATATCAAAATTGTTCTCGGTTTGGTGATCGGTTACCCGTTTTTATTTAAAATATCAAAATTAAACCGAATTTAAACCAAAATATATACAATCCGAACTGGATTTATCGATGTTAACCGGAGATTACTAAAAAATGGTTCAATTATGTAGAATTTTAGTAACAAAAGTAAACCGAAACCCAAACCAAACTGGTTTTTTGTACGGTTAATTTTAGATTAAATTGAAATAACCAAATTAAACAAATACAGTAAAACTAAATTAACTGGTTTGGTTCGGTTCGATTACCCTAACTCACAAAGCTAGAAGTATGACTTGAATTGTTCCTAAATTCAAATCAAATACGATAAACGAAATATAAAAAGAGACTATATAATCATTGGTGGTCTTAGTAGACTCTTAGGTATATTGTACTGTTTAATTGATGAATCATATCGATGGTAATTGTTAAAGCGTATTGTTTAAGAAAAACATTATTATACAAATCTGAAAATTATATGCATTCCTTTTGTGCCATGTGTTGTTTTATTAGTCGCCAATCTCCATATCTTACGTTAATCCCAACTCTCAACTACTAGTATTTGTTTACTATAATGGAAACTTGTAAATTACTTATTTTAGTTAATTTGTTTTTTGTTAATATGCAAAAATGTAACTAAAATATTTATTCTCTCTTAATTAAATTTTTTTATATTGGTGTCATAAATAAATATATGACTTTTTCGTCAAATAGATACTCATTTCGTTTGTAATTGATGTTTTTCTAGAAATTTTTTTTTAAAAAAAGATTGTTTTTCTAATTTTCTATGTATTATTAATTAAAATTTGCAAATTTCTAACTAAATAATATTGGTTTAAATTTATAAAATAGACGGTAACTCACAAAAAAATGATGTAATTATAATCAAATTTTTAAATATTTTTTTAATATATATAAAATCTATTTAAAAAATGTCAGTTAATAATGTAGAAAGTATATGATTTGTTTTGGTTATAATGGCAAAAATATATAATACCACAAAACTTTGGATAAATATTAGAGTTTGTCAGTTTGTAGATACAGTTTAGCTAAGATCTAGCTCTGGCCGAAGCTTGCAAAGACGTGATCTTCAACTTTACCGATTGCTTTTTACCTTTTCACCACGGTACAACAATTAAACACATTAAACTCAGATTTGGGCTTTTTTAATCTCGCTAATGTTTTCTGATCTAATCCTTTTGGTTAATTACTCTTTTGTCCTCTTCTTCTTCTTTCTTCTCTCTTCTCTTTCTTGGTGGCTCTTCTTATAGCTACTGTTCCCTTTTTCATTTTCTTCTTCTTCATCAAATCTCTTTACTTTTGATCGTTTCTCAAAAAAAAATCCGATTTTTATATCTGGGTTCTGTTTGATTTCTTTGATCATGGCGGTGGTTGAGAGCGTCGGGGCTAATACTACGGTGGTTGAAGCTGGTGGTTTGATCTCGCCGTCGCCGCCGTCTTCCGTCACCAGTCAAGAATCAGGAGTCTCTTCTAAAAACAACGATCACGGTGGAAATGGAATCAACGGTGGCGAGATCGGAGTTCACGTGGCGAGATCCGATAAAGGAGAGAGCTTTAAACGTGATATGAGAGAGCTTCATGAGCTCTTATCTAAGCTTAACCCCATGGCTGAAGAGTTTGTTCCTCCTTCTCTTACTAAACCTGTTGTTAATGGTTTTAACGGTGGCTACTTCGCCGTTAACAATGGTTTTGGTGTTGCCGGAAACGGAAACTTCCCCGTTAACGAAGACGGTGGCTTTCGAAGGGTAAGAGCTCTTCTCTATGACTTTTGGGGTTTGTATTATACAATTTAATCTTTAGGGTTTTTGATTAATTTTTCGAATTTGGTTTCTCTGTTTCTTGTTTATGTGTTTATAAGTTATAAAAATCTCACCTTTTTGTGTAAAATGATTTGATTTGGAAAATCAGAAGAAGTCGTTCGGACAACAAGGGAAGAGGAGAATGAATCCTAGGACAAGTTTGGCTCAGCGTGAAGAGATCATTAGAAGAACTGTCTATGTTTCTGATATTGACCAACAGGTTTTATAAAAGTCTTCACCTTTTCTTTAGTAGTTCTTGATCTTCTCTGTATTTTCTTTTAACTTATTCTATCTTACTTACTCTTTGGTGTTTAAAGGTCACTGAGGAGCAACTTGCTGGTTTGTTTATCGGCTTTGGACAGGTTTAAGTAACTTCTAATGTATAAAACTCCGATCTTTGTTTTGTGGTGTGTTATGGTGTTGACTATATATATTTGGTTATTTAGGTAGTTGACTGTCGTATTTGTGGTGACCCTAACTCAGTACTTCGGTTTGCTTTCATTGAGTTCACTGATGAAGGTATCATTAGTTTCTGTTATGTTATCTGTTTTTGGGATAATGCTTGTGAATGGTTTTGGTTTATGGTTTTTGTCATTTTTGGTACTTGTAGTGGGTGCAAGGGCTGCGCTGAACTTGTCTGGGACTATGTTGGGTTTCTATCCTGTGAAGGTTATGCCTTCCAAAACAGCTATAGCACCGGTTAATCCAACATTCTTGCCGAGGGTGAGATTTTATGGTGTTTCGTCACATTCTGAGTGTAAAGTTATGGTTTTTTTAGACTCAAGATTGTTGATTTGTAGTCTTGTTTTGGTTTTTTAGAGTGAAGATGAACGTGAGATGTGTGCGAGAACTATCTACTGCACTAACATCGACAAGAAGGTGAGTTTTTCTCAGTTTGGTTTCCTTATGCTGAGCTATTCTGAAAGTCAAAGTAGCTTACTTTGATTAGTTTCACTTTTCAACAGCTCACTCAGGCGGACATCAAACTCTTTTTTGAGTCTATGTGTGGAGAAGTGTACCGTCTGAGGCTGCTGGGAGATTATCAACATCCAACTCGCATCGGTTTCGTGGAGTTTGTCATGGTAAGTAGATGCTTCTGTTATCCCTTTCTTTCAAACTTGCATTGTCAGATAAGAAAGTGTATGAAATGTCCACAAAAACTTGTTCAAATGCACATCCTCTTACTGTTGTATTCAATAGATTAAGCTTCAAAGTATTTAACTCTTTTTACTCTTCTACAGGCGGACAGTGCAATAGCGGCTCTCAACTGCAGCGGCGTCCTTCTTGGTTCCTTACCAATAAGGTCCAAAGAACAAACCAACTCTTAGAACATTCTTTATTAAATTGATCATGAATCTGAACATTAATCTTAACTTTGATGGTTTGGATTATGCAGGGTGAGTCCATCGAAGACACCTGTTCGTTCCCGTGCTATCCCGCGACATCCAATGCATTAACCCGTTTTAGCTACAAGGTTTATATAATATTTCTGCTCCTCACAGACATGTAAAGAATGTTCAAGTCTGAGAAACTTCTTCTGGTCTTTTGTTTTCTCTTTTCCCCCTTATGTAATGCTCTGGGAAGCTTGATGTTGCTTCTGTTGCGTTTTGCTTTTGGGATCGTTCGGGTAAATCTCTTAGGGAGAGTTTGTTTTTTTTTTCTTTCTTCGATTTGGGTTCCTACGTTTAGAAGTTTACACAGAGAGAGCAAGAAGAGTAAAAACACTGAGGCTTCTGAAGATTTGTCTCTGTTTTTAATGGGAGCTTTTAGTTATTTATATTTACTTTTTACCCCCTGAAGTTATTAGAAACTTGCTTTTGTGCTTAAGTCTTTCTCTTTTTTTATTTAATCAAGAAAAGTGTTAGGTACATATTAGTCTGTGTTACTAGTTGAAAAAGTCAGTTTCTGTTTTCACTTTTAAATTAGGAAACGAGAATCATGTTTTGTCAGAAATATAATTAAATGAGAATTATTAAAAACAATTTAAAGTTATTAACAAAAAAATTAGGTGTATAAAATTTGTAACAAAAGAAATATGGAAGCTTGAGGATTTTAGTCTTATTTTTTTTTGTAGATTTTATATTGTCATGTTAACGTCAAGAATCAAAAGTCGTCGTCAAAAAAATATATACAATAGAACTATTAGAAGAATTTATAAATTTAACAAAGAAATAAAAGAGGAATCTTGAAATTCATTGTTTTACCTTAATGTTTTATATATATTCCCAAATGCTTAGATATTTCAAAATTTTATGTTTCACAAATATCTAAATTTAGAATAGAAATTTTTTGTTTTAATTTGACCAAAAATAAGGAATATTTTGTTTTGTTTATCTTTAAAGTTTCACCTGTTTTTTTTTTTCTCCTTTTAATCAGTGAACACATTAATATCATCAGTCAAATGTTGAACTGGTCAATGTGACTCAAAACAAGTCAGAGTTGCCATTTTTAATCGGATGGGTTAAAAAGGATAATATTGTAATTTTGTTATCAGAGGATAAAACTGTAATTTGAAAAGTATCACACGTCAAGAGTATGTGGTGGCTCGTTGAACTTACACAACAGTAGTTGAGTTGAGTTAATCAAACTTTGCGCTTTTCGAGAGATGTGGTGGCACGTTGCGGCTCATCTCTGTATTAGCTTTGACACCTTTTGTACTTTTCCAACCAAACAAAAAGGTCAAAACTGTTGTAAAACTTTTATAATTATCCTAGGCTATCTTTTTTTTATACAAATATAATTATATAGTAGTTTTATTTTTTTTTCTTAAAGAGTATTAGTTTGCTATTTTTACATTATAAACGAAATATACGAAATAAATTATTTTTCTAATTAATAAGCTAAAACTATAGAAATAAAAAGGGGAAAATGTCAAAAAAAAAGAAGTTTGAATTTTTAAATTTAGGACGGAAAGCATGCATTTTCAAAATGTCAATTAAATCATAATGTTTGGTTTGACTTTTTGATAAAATGATCAAGTTTTGTTGACTGGGTTATTTAAGCACGGCGTTAATTTGCCATTAAGAAAAGTGATAACACAGTCAGAACCAAAACAACGTCGTTTTAGTAACTTTTGAAACGTTTTCGTTTTACAAAAGTTCATGAAGTTCAACGTTGACATTTCGAAAGTTCATGTTTTTCCGTCCTAAATTTGAAAGTTCAATGTTCTCGTAGGCCTGCCTGTCAAACCAATCCTACAGTTTAATCATCATTGAGTTTGTTTTACACCGTTGGCTAGTCATGAGGCTTACTAACAGTTAACCAAGAAAGGTTGGAAATAAAACTGGTTCAACAATCAACATTATACTCGAATCAAACAAAGGTTGTCAGGTGGAATAAAGGATCCAGGTGCATGTCGGATCCAAACCTAAACGCAAATCCTAATAGGTTTAGATTCGGACTCTTTTTTCAATAACTCGTATTGAGAAGTTCATGGAGTTCCAAAACGCATTTGACAACCAAACAACTCGGTCAACCAACGCACTAAGTCGACTTTATAACATGTAGTTTGATTTTTATAAGTTATCATAACATGTATCATGATATGATCTTAAGTTTTCATTTTCAAGTTAAAACACACATGAACATAAAATATTTGATGTAGGTAGTCGATAGGAGTAGCAATACTAGCTGTGGTTGGTCACCATTGCTTCTTCATCACTATCACTATCATCCCCTTCACGCCATGTAACAGCACTAGGGGAGTTTAACGCACTGCAGCAAAAACAACCACAAAGTAATGATGACTAGTTTCCTTTGTTATCAAAATTCAATAGTTAAGAACAAATTAGTGTACCTGGCTGGTATACGATATAGACGACCACCACTAGTTGCACAAAAATCTTTCAAGAAATCTTTCATTGGGAGCTGGTACCTAGCCATACAACAACGTTTACAACCCTTAAAGTTAGGATAGCAATAGTATTCTTCTTCTCTATGACTAGCCAGCACAACTTCAAGCTTCAACCCTCCCAAGTAACTACCATCGAGTAGCAGCGCCTTCTCTTGACCCTCTTGACCACCTAACAGATTAATGAAAGCAAATCTGCAAAAAAAAAGAGAAAAAAGAAAAGTCAGTCGTGTCTTGTCTGCATGTTAACTTTTGAGTTTTGTCACAAAGGTCACAAACCCTAAGGGAGAATTGGTGTGGCACTCTACGGGAACAAAAACCCTTGTGATCTTTCCACATGAACCGAAGTGTTTTTCCAGTGAGCTCTTGATATCATCCCTGGGGAAGGAACAATCAAATCCCCTAACCAAAATGGTCTCGTCATTGTTTCCCTTGGCACCAGTAGTTTCAAAACAGCACTTTGGTTCCACCTTTTTATTTGTCGTTTCTTTCTCCTATAGACAAAACAATATCAATACTTATTTATTTATTTGGGTAAAGAAGAGAGCCATATAAGGAAGAAAAGTATACATTGGTAGTGGTGGATGCAGAGCATTCCTTGAGCCACTTATCTTTATCCATGGAAAAGTATGAGATCAAAAGACAAGAGCGACGACTAGGTTTCGATAGATAGAGGAGAGAGAGACGACAAACCCTAGATAACTTATATTTGTAATCCTTTTTATTCTGGCTAGAATTATGTGGGCTGAATTTTTCTTCCACTTTGTAACGGTGATAAGCCCACCTTTTTGTATTCTCTTTATCAACTATTTGTCATCAAAAACAATTATTAAGAGGGTGGTTTACGAAACTAACACATTGTTTATTACTGGTTTGGATGGGAGAAAAATAATAAAAAATGGATGTTTTGTCCTTCTGAACCATTTACAAGAATAAACGTAATTACGGCTGATGCCATTAAAAAGAAATACCACGTTGGAAAGAGAGAGCATATTTTGGTGGAAAAAACTTACGCCAACCGATAAGTCTACCAATTTAGTTATGGTAGACTTAAGGAGGATTATAGAGTTTTGTAGTAGAGAATATGATATTACAGAGAGTTGTAAGTTAGAGATACTTGTAGTAGTGGTAGATTGATTGAAATAACAGAGTTACCGAGTATAGTTACTTGTAATGGCGGTAGAGTTGGCTCAACTATAGAATTATCAAAAAGGGTAATGGATTAATGGTACTGGCGGTAGATTTAGGACCAAAAGATAGTTAGAGTTATGGGAGCGATATAGTTTCCTGACAGAGTTGATGATAGTGGCGGGAGAGTTAACAGGATGATAGAGTTAGACAGCAGACTTAACTGCAGTGGTGGTAGAATTATAGTGGTCAAACAGTATTTGTGAGATCTCACACTTGATGGTAGACTTGTACAAGTTATGGTAGATTTACTTGTAGTGATGATAGAGTTACGCTGACTAGAATAGCGTAAATTTGATAGAGTTAGTGCCTGCTGATAGAGTTGTATATCGAATCTCTATCATCACAGTACATACTTGTATGGTGGAGTTAAGGAAAGAAAATATGAACTAGGGTTTAGTTAGAGCGAACCATGAGGCAAAATCCCTTAAAAATATTTTATATTATGTCTAAAACCTAGCATTGACGACAAACTTACAATATTATTATAACTCTAGTATATGTTCCGACTGGTAACACGAGTTATCAAAATCAAGTTGCAGTAAGTATTACGATTCGATGTAGGCTCCGTCTGGTAACATGAGTTATCGAATTTGAGTTGCAGTAAATATTATGATTTGATGTAACTTGCAGTAAATATTATGTGGTAAAAATAGCGGTTTGATTTAGTGAATCGCTGTAGAAATATAATTTATTAATCTTACAAAAATCATTGACGGGTGACATTTTTGTAGTAGATGTTGCAGTATGATGTTCATTAAATAAGTTTAATTTAATATAATTGATTATTATAATTATCAATGATTATATTTAATTAACTTACGGAAATATATAAATTTAAAATATATCAATTATAAAATTAATTTTAATATATAAAAAGTTAATCAAATTTTCCTGTAACATAGCAAATTAAAAAAAAAATATATCCCTAATATTTACGGTCTTATATATCATATTTAGATTTATATCTATTTTCATTTCAAATTAAAAATAAAATTAATAATTTGGCAACATATAAGTAGTTTATGAAAATATTGAAGAACAAAATATTAAATAAAATAAAATAGTAAAAGTAATTGTTTTATTGATATATGAATTTACTGAAAACAGAATATAAATAAATTCTTCTATTAATAACTGAAATTTCGTTTTTAATTAAATAATAAGTTTAAAAAAAAATTAAAATGAAATAAATAGATACTTCAACTCTACCACATAGAATTTTTCATGATATTGCATAATCTTTTGAGTTAGCAATTTTACAAAGGACATAACTCAAATTTGTAATTCAAGCATAACACAATGTAACTCAAACTCAACTTCAAAAAATTAGATTTATTGGCTTTGATTGGTAACATGGTTTACCGTTGAGTTAAGTTGAGTTATGGACTTAACTCAAAGATTATTCAAAAATGTTACCAATCAATAATAAAACTAAATTTTTTGAAGGAATTTTTTTTAATTTGCTATGTTATAGGAATTTTTTTTATTAGTTTTATCAATGTGTGTGTATAGCTAACTTTTGATGAATGAGATTTATCAATTGGGTACTATATTTTCTATTATACTAAACATGTTATAAATGATGAGTATGGATATATTAGACCACTCATACGATTACGATCCACACATTTTTGTTGTAGTGGGTTTATCCACACTTGTCTTTCTGCACGTTGTGATGTTTATTAGTCATGACTAAGAATCGCGCAAACAATATAAAGACAAATTACGTGATTATCCAAATGCATTGTAAAGACAGATCTTGACGAGTATTAGGTTTCAAACTGTGATTAATATATTATAATACTAATCAAAAACTTGTGGATAAAAAAAATGACGACGGATGGATGTATTTCACGTCAATTTAGTTTGTTTTTTTTTTTGTTTTGTATGGTAATATAGTGATAAAGAGATAAATTGTGAAGAAGAAATCAGTCACTCTAATGGAAGATGAAACTAAATATGTCATCATCGAAGCTACCAATTTCCGTTTTTGGATGTTGATGAAGATTAGTGATCTGTCTCTATCAAAAACATTTTGGATGTTAATGAAGCTACCGGTCTGGCAATTTTGAAAACCTTTTTTCCCCGAGAAAATATAGTGATTTGCAATCCAATTGGGAAAAGAAATATTGTTTACAAAAGTGATGCGGTATGGTACAAATTTTTTGAGTCAACGTATCCGCTTTCATATTTATCCTACGAGAAATAAGAGATAAAAAGAGCCATCGATTTTTTTTTTCTTTTTGGAGAATAAGTAGAAAAAGCTGACCACAGGGTTGGAGAAGACATACCACGAGAAATATGATATAATATGAGAAAGATGAAAATCATTCCCTATCGATTTTTAATTTTTCGAGATAAATAGAAATTTTCTGAGTCTAGCTTGATTTCAACGTACTTTAATTTAACACCTAAAATTTTTTAAAATAAAAACATTTTTGTTAAACTTCACAACTTTACTTAAAATATTAATTATAAAAAACCTTAAAACCTAAGTGTTAAATTTACAATACGTGAAAACATGTTGAACTTATACACCACTGACGGACCACAAAAGGACTGGATGCTCGGACCGGTTTGTTTTCAACGTATTTAATTTTAACACTTAGATTTTAACCCGAAAAAGAATATTTTTATATATTAAAAATTAAACTTTACTTGAAATCTGATTTTAAAAACTCTTGAGTTTTAGTCTAAATCAGAAAAAATAGAAATGGAAAACATAAAATCTTTTTTTAATGTATATTTTATTTTAATATCTAAATCAGTTTTTTTTTTTAATTTTAAAAATTTAGATCAGTTGTTCTTAATTTATTTTTATTTTTAAAAAGTTAGATGAATTGTTCCTAATTTTTTTTTAATTAAAAAAGTTAGATGAATTGTTCTTGATTTATTTTTAATTTTAAACGTTAGATCAATTGTTCTTAATTTATTTTTAGTTTTTAAAAGTTAGAAAAGTTAAAATATACCAGTGAAATCTGAAGTACCATCGAACCTTGATGAGTATTCACCCTGAAACAAAAGTGTTGAATTTCACCATCAAAATTGCAGAGTGGAGAGAACATTTAGAAATCAACATAAACATCAAAAGATAATTTTTCTCTCCATCATCCTTTTTTTTTTTCTTCTGCGACTCTTACACATCAAACACACACCCTAACGTACACAAAGACACACTAATCTAGATACTTGAGAGCTACACAACTCAAAAACTACAGTCACGCTCAACAAACAAAATCATTTACACGAACAAGGTTGGATCTCAAATGGCTTGCATTGCATCATTCTAAACGTATATGCATATATGATGACTATGAGATTGAGTTCTGTATGTTGCAGACACGTAATTCTATGTGGCACAGGAAGCAAAATTAATAAACTCAGTATAGTAATCTAATAAACCAATGCAATGAAACTCACAAATCAAATGAGTAAAGCAGTATACATACCTCAGTTATAAATGTTGTAATGGTCTGATGCTACATGATCCTTCTTCTTTTTGATAACTGTGAGGAAGTTCTATTGATCAAATCTTCATAGTAAGAGAGAACATCATAGTGACCTGCAAAGACAATATAATTAACCAAAATCAAAAACCAAGAGAACAACAACAGAGAAGTAGAACCAACAGCTCTTATCAAGGGTCTGAAACCTTTCTGCAAATCAATGGATTTGTATTATTAGTTAGCCAAAAAAGAGGAACTCAAAATACATATAAAAAAGGGAGATACAAAGGAGACATAGAACTATTAATACTCATTACAAAACCAAAGAGTTGAATATAAACAATACCGTGAATCATAAATGTTAAGATGATTGATGAACCAACAGCTCCTATAAGGATATAACGACTATGAAATTGAGTTATGTATGTTGTTGCAGACACGTGATACCATATGGTCGGGAAGCAAACACAATTCAACATGAGATTCAGTAATAAGTTTAATAAAACAACGCAAATCAAACCAATTAAGCACTATACAAAATCTTTCTAGTTCCAAAAGGAGATTGATACCAAATCTTTTAAGATGATTGATATAATAAAACCTAAGACACAAGAGATCAACAACAACAAGACCATATCGAGACAGATATGAACAAAAAGAGTGAGATCCAAAGAAACAGAGCAGTGTACCTTGAAGGAGAAAGAGGAAGCAAGAGCACCACCATGAACACGAAGAGTAACCAAAACAGAGAGAGAGAGAGAGAGAGAGAGAGAGACGAAGAAGAAGAAGAAGAGGAACCAAAAGCTTCGACAGCCACGTTTGATCGCTCTGCTTCATATCTAACCCTAGATCATAGAAACCGTATCTCACAAGTCACAACAACAAATCGATCGAGAGGAAATCTAAAAGTAGAAACTTTTTCATGGAAGATGAATCATAGAATGAACAAAGGAGATTGACTTAGTTTTGGTTTTAGGGTTTCGAAGAAGAAGGAAGTGGTGAGAAATATATAATTTTGATTTCTCTCGATCAAGGAAAAGAACGAGAATTTAGTATTTTTAATTTTATAAGCAAATTAATTAATTTAGAGGTTTAAAAGAAAGAAAAGGAAATTGAAATATCAATCACAACAACGTAACGGTCATATGAAATATGAGTTTAATTAAGGAAATTAATAAGAGGTTTTGTTTATGTTGTTTTCTTCAGCACAACGGTCACAAAATATTATTACAACTGTCTTTTTTTTTTCTTTTATGAGATTAATCTTAATAAAGCAATACAATTTATAACACAAAATGAATTGAATAAAAACAATAAATCACCCCATCAATACAATAAAGACCAATTTAAATGATTTGTTTACTCATAAAAATGATTTCAACTTTGTTGTTGTTCATAGGTCTTAAGACATTCTATATGTAAGTGATGCTGTTGTTGGGAAAATAGAACATCAAGACCTCTCAACGAAGTCTTGTTTTTGAGAAAATAAAACATCAAAACCTCTCAAAGAAGTCTTGTTTTTGGGAAAATAGAGACTTTTATATATAGAAGAAGAACATCAACACCAAGTCTCAAAGAGGTTGATTTTTTTTTTTTTTTTTTTTAATGTCTTTCTAATTAGGATTTTGGTAATAGGGGAGAGTATGGTTAAAGAGAAGATCAGAGACATGGAAGCTACAGAAGAGGGATTAGAGGTTTATGATGTTGATGTGTTAGATTACCAAAGCATACTCTGTTTCCGTTAACAACTGTAACGTTGTGTTCTGTTACAATGTGAGTTGTTTTTATAGTCTTATGATCACTTCTCTTGTAATCTCTCTATAACATATTAAAGAGATCAAAAATTAATTAGCTTTTTAAAAAGGTTTTAGGATGAATATAAAGTTTTCTTTTTTTAACAAACTTGTGTGTGTGGCGGCGGGTATATGTGCAGCTATGGTATGCTCTTGCGAAGACACAATCTAAGAAGGCAGCTTGGGCATTAGCCATGGACCGTATGGTTAACATGATATCGGTTAACCCGGGCCTTATCGTTGGACCCTCAGTGGCTCAACACAACTCTAGACCCACCATGTCTTACCTCAAAGGTACACATATTATAAATTTTACAAACATATCCATTCATGTTAGATAGATGTATAATAAATAATAATCTAATTATGGTGGCAGTTAATTTGTAGGAGCTGCACAAATGTATTGATGAGAACATAAATCGAAGTATACTGGTATCAACTAAGATAAGGGTTGAAACGATGAGAATATCATTTGTGATATGAGAATATCATTTGTGATCTTATTGTTGTTAGTGGTTTTGGGTAGATTATATTAAATCTTTGATTCATGTCTATCTCCTATATTCTAGGATCATAGCGGGCCCTTAACATGTATAAATACTCACAACATCTTATAATGAAATATATGGAGAAAAATGTTTAAAGTTTATTGTTCTTATAAGCTCTTGGTTGGGACCTAAAAATTGGTATCAGAGCCTTCATCTCGCTTTTGATCCAGACCACTTTGTGGTATCAATAGCAACCTTCGTCCACTATCTATCTTGGTTTTGATCCAGGCCACACTTGTGGTATCAAACCCTATTTTTATCATCTTTTTCAGTTTTGATCCGGACCACATTTTGTGGTATCAAAATCTATATCTTTCATATTTTCTTATCAACAAAAAATATATATAGTTGTTGCGGGAAGCTATCTTTTGATTTTCTAGTCAGAGAAGAAGACGCTAGACAAAGAAGATGGAAAGAAGCTATCTAACAAGATGTATGAGGGATCTCATGATCTAATAAAACACACATTGATAAAACTAATAAAAATGTTATTTACTGCAAGTTACATCAAATTATAATATTTACTGCAACTCAAGTTCGATAACTCATGTTACCAGGAGCCATTATTGATTGGTAACATTTTTGAATAATCTTTTAGTTAAGTCCATAACTCAACTTAACTCAATGGTAAAGCATGTTACCAATCAAAGCCGTAATTTGCAGTAAAAATTATGTGGTATAAAGTATAAACGACAATTTGATGTAGTGAGTTTGCTGTATAAATATGAATTAACATTTTCTTAAAACAACTGGTAACAAATTTTTGATGTATTAGATGCAATATCTATCACAAATTTAAAATAATTAGTTATAAAGAATAATAACATTGTTCAAATAGAATAACAAAAAAATTTTAATGAAATGGTATTTTTTTTAAAAAATTGTAACGTAAAAAAAAAACTAGTGATGTACATTTTTGTGTACGCTTCAACAATGAATAATAGTGGGAACAAACCTTTTTTTATTATTGGAACAACTTTTGTTTGAAAGAGTCAATTAAAAAACAAGAAAATTTTAGAAATGTTTTGGACCATAGTGGTATAAGTAGCTTAGCATAAGAATAGAAATAAAAATAACAAACGTAAGAAATTTAAAAAATGAAAAGCCATATTTGTGATAGAGTTATGGTGTTGATTTAAGGTCAAGTAACTACACAACCTAGCATAAATATGTATTAAGTAAAAAAAAATAAAAAAAATAATGACAGTTACGTCATTAAAAAGAAAACTATATGGGCATTTTCATTTCCATAAGTTTTTGAGCTAGTTTATCTCTAGCAAATTTGGATGGACTAGTATGGTTATTAACAGACATTTACGTGCCAAAAAAGTCTAATTTAGATGTTCAAAAATAAATCTTCTTTTTACAACTCAGATAGTAGTAATGAATCTTCTTGTTGACTGTTTGTGTTTTACAACATTTTGATGTATCGATACAAAACAACTCGATTTTGATTTCAAATAAACCTTAAAATATCAAAATGTTGCAAATTTGTGCACCATTGATTTAAAGTTTTTTTGTTTTGTTTAATACAGTGTAAAATTTTGGTAACACAAACAATAATATGAGTACTTAACTTACAAAACATGAATAGTACAGGTACCTATTTGCAAATTCCAAAAACTAAACACACTCGTCTTCCTCCTCCTCCCCATAGAAACCAAAGCCCTAAATTTTAATTACTCACTCGTCTCTTCATCATCGTCGTCCACCATCACAGTGAAATGCTTTCTAAAGCAGCTCGAGAGCTTTCATCATCAAAGCTTAAACCTTTATTAGCTCTTCCTCTCTCCTCCTTCAAATCTTCCATACGAAGCAACACAAACCCTTCTCCTTCATTTCTCAATCCCCCTCACTTCAACACTACATCAAAATCGCCACTTCTTCGTTTCTATTCATCTAACTCCAATGTCCTTCAGCTAAACAGAGATGGTAATTACAATGATACAACTTCAATCACCATCTCCGTTTGCCCAGGTTGTGGAGTTCATATGCAAAACTCAAACCCAAAACACCCAGGTTTCTTCATCAAACCATCGATAGAGAAACAGAGGAACGATTTGAATCTTCGAGACCTCGTACCCATCTCTCAAGAACCTGAATTTATCGATTCAATCAAACGAGGGTTTATCATAGAACCTAGCAACAGTTCTGACTTAAACCCTGAAGATGAAAAAACAGATCAAGAAGATGTTAGACCATTGGTGTGTGCTAGGTGTCATTCACTTAGACATTACGGGAGAGTTAAAGATCCAACTTTGGAGAATCTTCTTCCTGATTTTGATTTTGATCATACTGTTGGGAGGAGACTAGGTTCAGCTTCTGGTGCTAGAACTGTTGTGTTGATGGTTGTTGATGCTTCTGATGTTGATGGTTCTTTCCCAAAGAGAGTAGCTAAGCTTGTGTCTAGAACTATTGATGAGAACAATATGGCTTGGAAAGAAGGGAAATCAGGAAATGTACCTAGAGTTGTTGTTGTTGTGACTAAGATTGATTTGTTACCGAGTTCGTTGTCTCCCACTAGGTTTGAACATTGGGTTAGACAAAGAGCTCGTGAAGGTGGGTTAAGTAAGATTACTAAGCTGCATTTCGTTAGTCCTGTTAAGAATTGGGGGGTTAAGGATTTGGTTGAAGATGTGGCTGCTATGGCTGGGAAGAGAGGACATGTTTGGGCTGTTGGGTCGCAGAACGCTGGGAAAAGTACGTTGATTAATGCGGTTGGGAAGGTGGTTGGTAGGAAAGTTTGGCATTTGACTGAGGCTCCTGTGCCGGGTACTACTTTGGGGATAATTAGGATTGAAGGTGTTTTGCCTTTTGAGGCTAAGTTGTTTGATACTCCGGGATTGTTGAATCCGCATCAGATCACTACAAGGCTTACGAGAGAGGAGCAGAAACTTGTTCATATCAGTAAGGAGCTTAAACCAAGGACTTACAGGATCAAGGTTTGGTTCAATAGATTGAATGTGTTGTTGGCTTTTGGATTACAAGTGACGAAAGTGGGATTGTTTAACTGGATTGTTCCTTTTTTGCAGGAAGGCTATACCGTTCACATAGGTGGGTTAATGAGACTTGACATTGATGAAACGTCTGTCGATTCTCTATATGTAACAGTTTGGGCATCTCCTTATGTTCCACTTCACATGGGGAAGAAGGAGAACGCTTACAAAACACTTGAGGACCATTTCGGTTGTCGATTGCAGGTAAAGCTCTAGCCTTTTTCAGTTGTAGATAGAAATATGATGAATTTCTGGATAACACCATTAAGATTACATAACTTGAGGACCATTTGGATTTGTAGATAAATATCAAATTGTAACTAACTTGGAGTAGTTAGGATCAAAGCTTGATTTGAACAATGCCTTTGATACAAGTCTTAACCTTTTGTACATTTTGATTCTTAATGAAGCCTCCAATTGGAGAGAAGCGTGTCGAAGAGTTAGGAAAATGGGTTAGAAAGGAATTCCGAGTGAGTGGAAGCAGTTGGGACACGAGTTCAGTAGATATTGCTGTTTCAGGTCTCGGTTGGTTTGCGATAGGACTCAAAGGAGAAGCGATTTTAGGTGTATGGACTTACGAGGGGATTGATGTCTTCTGCCGTGACTCCTTACTCCCGCAACGAGCACACACTTTTGAAGACTATGGTTTCACAGTCTCCAAGATCGTCGCCAAAGCTGATCGAAACTTCAATCAAATTCACAAGGAGGAAGCACAGAAGAAACGGAAACCCAACAAGTCTTCTTCCGATTCTGTGTCCGACAAAGAAAATAACCGCGAGGTGTCACCGCCTTCAGATATCATACCAACAATGTAACTCTTATAAGCTAGTTATATTTTTCTTGAAATTACACATTCTGTGAATCCCACCAAGATTGATAGTTTCTTTCTTCTTCAAAGCTTATTTCATTCACAGAAAAGGTTCATTAGCACCAATCTCACAAGCTAGAAGAAGAAGACATTGTAGAACATAGAGGATTTGTTTTGAATTATACATAATGGAACAAACAAACATAAGCTTGCTCTGTTTCACCCCATAGCTTAAGCGACACGAATCGAAAAAGAGTGAAACAGAGATAGTCGTAACTCTCTCTTAGCTACAAATCGGACAAGGTACAAGACCGTTCTCGTTACACTCATTACATCTCACAATCACAGCAGCACTACCCCATCCTTTCACCATCTTACAGCTCCCATTACACCGAAAACACGGCAAGAAAAACAAACCACCACAACCATCACACGCGCCGCTCTCACATCCTACTTTCTTTCTCGGAATCCCGCGGATCAGCTCTCCGAAAGAACCTTCCTCAACTAGTCTCAACACTTCCTCTGCTCCACCAATATACATTCCCTTAACAAAAACCCGAGGCGGCAATGCAGCAGCTCCATCATCCTTAACTCTCTTCGCCATTAGACTCACAAGCTCTTCCTTAAACCCTCTATCCATAGACACATCTCTCTCACAAACCACAACACCAAAACTCTCCACCGCGCTTCTAACAGCATTACACGCCTCAAACGTCCGACGAACACCGCGCAACGACGTCGTGTAAATCACCACTCGATTCTCTCCTCCCGGAGGACAAATTTTTTCAAACTTCTCCGTCAGTTTCAGATCTAACGGTTTAAAAATCTCATCTTTCAACGATTTTGTAAGGTTTCTCTGGTCCGAATCATCTCTGTTCGGATCTAACGGTTTCAAAACGTCGTCGTTCAAGATTTTTCTAGGGTTTCTCCGATTAGGTTCTGAGTTCTCTTTGTTCTCACCGCCGAAGACTTTATACTTCACCGGAGTCTTCGGAAGAGGAGTGAATCGGAAACTTTCACCGTCGAGACCAGACATTAGCTCCCAAGAGTTTATAACCTCCGGCTCAGACTTAATCACCCTTGGCTCAGACCACAACGACGACTTTGATTTCGTACCGATCTTGAATTTCTCCGGTGGTGTTATATCGGAGGATAACGCGGCGGAGGAAGGAGGAGGTGAAGAAGGAGGAGGATCGAGAGTGAGAAGACCGTAAGTGGTGGAGGTTAGTTTGACGATGTGGTGGCCAAAGGCGGAGCTTCCACCGCTGATTTGAGGGAAGTCTTCGTCGCGATTAAGGAGGTTTGATGAGACGCAACCCATTGTCGCCGGTTTTTCTCGAAATTAACGCCGGAAAATTCCTTTTCTTTGGAGAGATTCGAGAAAAGTTTGAGTTTTTGAAAATTTTGAGAGGAACGGTCGAGTAAGTGAGAGATTAAGACCAAACTCTAAAGTGGGAAAAATGTGACTTTGGCTTTTTTTTTTGGGTCTTGTAGTAAAGTAAAGCTAAAGATGTTGATTGATTGAAGAAGATGTGAAGGTTTAAAATTAGGAGATAAGTAAAAGTAAACTATCTATTTTGCTTTTACAGTTTGAATATTTTTCCTTCATTTTTTTTTTGTATTCAGATTGAAGTTTGTATGGACGTTGGAATTATAAGATTAGAGGTGTATACGTTTTTAAACAAAAATGTTTTAGAGTTGATTATTATTTTTTTTAAGTTAAAATTTTAGAGTTGATTATTAATGATTTACGGTGAAGGGAAAAAAGTAATTAAATTACTTTAATAAACAAGTTTTCAGTAAACAAGTTTAATCTTGATATACATAGATTTCTAGTTTTTTTTAGGTGTGTGCTTCAATGAAAGTAGATACAATTTCAAAGAGCGTAAATTCCTCACCAATAGCATTGTTAAACTCATCAACGTGGAATATGTTTTTCAAAACTGGATCGTCAAATTCTTGCGGTTGTAGGTTCATCTTCAAAACACCTGCTGCGCTGATGTGAAATGTGTGTTCACTGAGGTTTTCAAGTGTTCTAAACAGTTTGTCCGTAACGAAAAAAAATGTGATAATTTCTTTTATTATTAAACTAAATCAATGTGATAGAAGAAAATTTAATCATCCTAAAAAGTAAAATATATGTATAAAACCAACAAACAACCTAATATCTCATGATAAAGTAAGTCGAAGTTTTGTTTAAAGAATATTATGTTGTTTGTCATTATGTTAAATTATCTATATAAACAATACATCCATAAAAACAACAAACATTTAGTGTCGAGGTTTTTCCAAAAAATATGACAAAAACAAAGGTCATGGTAAAATAAAGGTTATGGAAAAATATGACAGCAATAGAAATAATGTATATTCATGGTTCATGTTTTAGTTGCATGTTTCTCTACCTCACCATGGTTCTTTCCCTAGCTACGTTTTGTTCTCTTTGTTACTTTAATTTGGGTGGTTTTTATGAATTACATTTTACATTTAACAGTTTGAAATGTTTTTCTCTTATATCTGATTAAAAAGTCTAATCTTTCCTTTTTCTAATTATGGGTTTTTGGATCTTGATGGTCGGCAACTTTTTAAAACTTCTAATATTTTTTTTAAACTTCAATTACTAATAAACTCATCTAAGATCAATTATAATTTTTCCAGCTTCTAAGAAGAGTTATTTGCATAACTTACAGAATATGTACACTTTTGGAAAATGGTGATTAATCAAAACAAACAAAATTTGAACTATTTTGATATGATATGAAAGAGTTTATCCAAAAATAAATAGTATGTCATATATATATATATATAGTAATAATATATTCAAATTTAAACATAACTAAAATTTAATCAAAACTTTAATTAATTTTAAAATGAAGTTATATTTGATTACGTTCCGACTATAACCCGTATCTAATTTTAAAATTGAGAATTTAGATTTATAGGAGAACCCCAATAATCTAATGAAAAACCTTCAAAATCCAAAATCCAAAATTTTGGAATTTAAACCGAACCAAAAATCTGGATTGAACACTATTGCTATTTATTTTGCTTTACGTTTGTAGACATTTCGATGTTGACCAATCCATTTACCACCTTCCTCTCAAGTTATTGCACACATTCACACAAAGATCATGATTATGCATTTCAATAATGTTCTTGATTAGACTCTACTAAACTTTTTCTACTTCTTATAAACATACAAGATAGTGAGGCAAACATAGCCTAAACCCAAATTACACTAACTCACATGGGCATGCATGGTCAATAAGTGCATACAACCATAGCCTAAACCCAATTAAATTAACTTACAGCCCATTAGTGAATATAGCACATTACAAGTCAATAAGTACTGTTTAATGACTTAAACTAGAAAGCAGATTACATATTTTGGAAAAGAATAGTTATGGAGAAAACAACAACAATTATTGATAGGTGCAGTGCAGAGGGAGTAAAGTAGGACAATGCTCTCTATTGGCTCAGGCTCTTCATTCATGTCCTATTATGTGGTCAATGGTCATTGACTTTATTGCCCTGAGATTATTGGTGTACTCTTAATCGTACTAATTAAACCAAAATGTTAGTAATAATAATTGAACAAATAATATCATCTATATAGCTAAAAAGTTATTTTTTTTAATGTTTATTGTTCACTTTATGGAATTTATAGACCACTAACTCACATGGGCATGGTCTCATCATGCAATCTATAGAGCCTCTCTATTCTCTAATGCTAAATCTAAATCCCACCAACTAATTCCTCCTAATAGCGACAAAAATTATTCCTATTTAGGTGAATATACTCCGAAACTGATTTATATTAGGGTATTACTAAAGACTAATGTCATTTCTTTAATACCTTTTTGCAAAAAAATTTTTTTGACTAATGTCATTTCTTTAATACCTTTTTGCAAAATTTTTTTTTGTCAATTTAAATTTTGCCCTCTTTTACACAGTTAAAATGTTAGATTCATTTTTAGATTTTTTTGTAGGTTTAGGTTCTTTATTTTACATTAAGGATGTAGTTTTGAGGGGTAGAGTTTTGTATTTGAAGTTTTAAGTTTAGAATTTAGTTATTTTGTATATAAAATGGGTATTGTTGAAAAAAGACAATAAGAGAAGGTATTTTTGCAAAATGTTACTCAAAATATTTTTTAATGAAAATGTCCCTATTATTGTTATCATTAATTAATTATTATTACCTTTGTAATGTATATACGTATAACAAATGTTTTTTTGTGTATGGTAAAATATGTAATGTGTAAGATTGATGATAAGAAAAATTTTATAGGATATAAATTCATATATAAGCATGTTATATATATATATATATAACTCATTATTATTTATATTATTATAGATATATAATTTAATAAATGGGTTAATATGATAAGTATTACATTATCACATAAAATATAAATTTATCACGATAAAATATTATTTAACACAACATATTTATAAAATTATTGATGTATATTTCGTTATCGTGCTATCTACTAAATAATCATCTAACTCATACTATGCTCTTATCCATGCATTTTATGAAAAATATCATCAAAATTCGATTTAAAAACATATGTTTATATTGATATCACATGTAAACGTAGCATGCCAAATAAATAGTTATACACTAAAACCACAAAAAATTATATCATATAATGAACAGTAGTTGTCGATTTTGGATAACAATGTTAACGATCGGTTTATGAACATTATCGCTGGTAATTTTCAGCTAAGAACTATATATAAAATGAAGGAGGATATATATTTAATTTTTATTTTAATTGTGTATATAAATTATATTCACCTTTATATTATACAAATCAAGTATTTAAATATGAGTACGTTTTTTTCTTTTTTCTATCTACAACTGCAATAAACGTAGATATTGGTGTTAGTTTAGTAGTCGCAACTATCTAAGATGTAACGCTGTATTCTATGGTTAAAAGTATGTTGGTGAAGAAGAAACAAATAAAACAAATGGTCATGAATACCTTTACAACATACCATATATGGGACTACATGATTTAGCTACTTATTAATTTTTAAAATTTTAATTACCGTTGTATAATCATAAAGAACTTTAAGAGGTATATTTTGAGAGGATAAAAATGCTCTACGTTTTAAAGTATTACAAAAATGGAAGTTCATGCATTACTAAAGAATTAGAATCTTATCGGTAAACTAAATATTGAAATTATGTATTAAGATCTTTATCATCAAAGACCATTGCCAAATGAGTTAAATGTTCACTCCAAATAGTATTTAGATATGGAGGTTTTGACTAGTCCAAGCAAAAAAACTCACTCACTCATGATATACTCTTATCTCGATGGTATCTATAAGAAAAGTTAAAATAAAAATCAAAGAATCTCAGTTTCAAAGTTGTATTTTGGCTAAAACCATTATTTTGTAGTCTTCGAGGTCTTGTCGTCCTTCATTTGCACGCCTCGTTTTTATTATTGTCATATTCGTATCTTATATATCTATATATCATGTATGCATGAGTTTGAGTTTTATTTGATTACATCCGTAATATTGTATAGTGCTATTAACCATAAATTAATCACTCTTAAAACGTATTCCTGAATCCAATTCTAAGTTAGTACTAGAAACTAAGCTAATGAATTTCTGATAGGGATAGAGTGAAATGTATTTTTATGAAATAAAGTATAATTTTGTGTATAATTCTTATGACATTTTTTTAGCTTTTTAGCTTAAAACTTATCGATGGTTGTAACGTGATTCTAAACAAATTTAATTTATAGATATCTACCAAAATTACGAACCGAGATTAATACTTAGTAAAATAAATAAATGTTATATGTACGAAGCAAGATTAATATCGACCAAAATTACGAATCCATATCACTGATTGATGTATAAAATATAGTAAATATATGTGTATAGTATTTATATTTTCATAATTAGGAATTTAGCTTTATCAGTATGTAAATTGTTTATTTATATATAACTTAATTTATTAAACATATTCTTTTTGACTTTATCTAAATGAAAGAATTTGTAAGCTTTTCTTCTAAAGAGAGTTAACAATATATATTAGTATATAACATAGTTTTTCGTAATTTCTACTTTCATAAAATTTACTAGTCCCACACAAATTAAGAAAACAACACATTATACATATATGCCTCCATTTAATAAGTGTTTAATGGTTTAATTAATCTTAGAATAAAGGTAAAATTAGGAAATTGACAAGATACATTAAAAATATAAAATGACACTTTGAAACAAAAAGAAAACTCTAGAATGACATTTTATGTGAAACAAGAGAAAGAATTATTCAATAACATACTTAGACTATGATTCCAACATCACAACTGGATTCGGGATATCAAAACATGGTTCTTAAAATTTCAAGATGCGCAAACAAACTGGGTACCAAGAAGTGTTAATCATGTTGCTGATTGTTTGGCGAAGGATCTTCTTCCTCATTCTTGTGATTTTAAATTTCATTATTATGTACCATCTTGTCTGATTAACTCTTTACATGTAGACCATCTTCAAAGTTAATGAAATTAAGTGTTAAAAAAAAAAAAAAACATACTTAGACTATGATTTATAGTCACTATTATATATAACATAAACATAGTTTTGGGTTTTACATTCATAAAATTTATTAATATGGTATACAATAGCATAAAAAAAAAAAAAGAGATTTAGTCTTAGTCTTAGACTATGATTTATATAGTCACTATATATGTAATAAGAATTCTTATCCAACAAAACAACAAATCTTGAAGACTACATTCTCTAGCCACCCATGTTCTTGAATTCTTAAACTAATAATTATCTTTTCAATTTCGCAATTCACGAAGCAAGAAACGTTATTACTACGACTTGATTCTTTTACACAAGTAAAGCCAATGAAAGAGAGCTTAAAAATTACAATTAACAAAAATCAATTTTGGGAACTTTGGATTCTTGGTATACAACAACGAGGCAATAAAGTCTGTGACTCTCTTCTTCTTGAAAATATTTTACAGTGTTACATTCATTGATGGTTCTATTTAATAATCCCATGTAGCATCTGTGCAAGTGCACTTGCCTATTAATATTATCAACGTTACCCAAAAAGCTGCAACGTTTTCTGATGCCAATCCTTTATTTGTTTTAGTATAATAATGTCATTTTTAGTCTATTCTTAACTTAGTTTAATTTTTGTATTCTCATAAGCAATTAAGCATCATTAGTTCATCAACAGCTGTTCTTATTTCCACTTTTTGTTCAGTGGAGAATGTGTAACTGTTGCTCTTTTTTTTTGGACGTAAGTGAAAGTGTTTTAAATTGTACACAAAACCAAGCACGAGAGTTGAATGAGTTAACTTAAGACCTTTTAATTAAACTAAAATTTAACCTTTGAGATGGTTTTGTTTTGGTTATTAATTCAATAATGAATTAAATTACATAATTTACTCTATACAAAAATAAAAACAATAACAATAAAAATTGACAAAAAAAAAATTTGGCGTAAATATAAACGTTTTCGAACATGAGGTATTTTTGTAAGATATTTATTTTCTATTTATTATACAAATATATATTTTTTTCAAATAATATAGTGATACATTATCTTAAGACTTTCTAGTAATATTTTTATTTGTATATCTTAAGAGTTAATACTTTAGTGATATACATATATATAATCATTGTTATTTCTCAGCTAAAAAAAATATTTTTACTATGATTAATTTTAAGTTTTGCAGAGTAGATCTCACGAAAATCTCTATATTTTTTTTAAATTTATGTAAAACATCTATAATGGTCTAAGAGAAAACAACAAATACTCCATTGATGTCTTTATTACTACATGATCCAGAAGTGTGCTAAACCAGTTGAGCCAAACTCTCTTGGTATTTTGTGCAAACAAAATTATTGGTTTACTTTTTAAAATTAATCTTGATTCAAGCAAAGTACATATTCTTTTGTAATATACTAATATCACCTTAACACACTATTAATATTATTAAAGTTAATAATACCAAATACAGTAAATAAAGTTTTTTTATTGAAAAAACAAAAAAACAATTACCAAATAAACTCATTCAATAATGATCTTTTGTCGTGTATACTATATATATATACACATACACACATTCATGTTAACTTCCTCAGTCTCGTGGTGTATAGAGTTACTTTTTACTTACTTACATTAGCATCAACTTCACTTATTAGCTGACTAGTTCCATCTTCTTTATTTTTCTCTCTACCTCTTTCGTTAACTTAAAGATGGCTAAGAAGAACGGAACCTCATGGTTCACCACCGTGAAAAAGATTCTCTGGTCATCTTCTTCACCATCCAAAGACTCAGATCACAAGAAGACTCACATGAAAGAAACTGGTTACAAGGTTTTTTATTTTCAACTCTCATATTATTACCTAACACTTCTAAACAGAGTTTAAACACAAAAGTTTTGATTTATGTTTTTGTGTGTTTTTGGGGATAATTATTTACAGAAAAATGAAAAGAAAGGGTGGATTTTTCGAAAGACCAAACTGGAAACTACAAGTTCTGTAGTGGTAGAAGATACTGTCCGTACGGTGGAGGAAGAGAAACCGGCGGCGGTGAATGTCTCCGCCGTGGATGAGATCGTTAAACTAAAGACACCTCCGGGTTTTATTAGACGTCATTGTGCTGCCATTATTATTCAGACAGCTTTCCGAGGCTACCTCGTAAGTACAAATTTACATATAACAAAAGATAAAATCTAATTTTCTAGGAAAAGTTTATTCATTTTTATATTAGCATTTCTTGAAACTCCAAAAATAATTATATTATGATTTTTTTTTTGGAAACAACAGTATGATTTAATTAGAATCTAATTATTATTATGATTTTTTGTCAACAATTTGTGCTATGATTTTTAAATTTGTCTACAATGAGTTTTAGTTAAGATTTGCAAAAAATATATAAAAACAATTTGTCCAATTTTCATAATATATCATGTGAAAATTGTCATTTTATATGAAAGTGTCCAATTTTCATAATATATCTTGTTCGTAGTTATATGTTATTTGTCTAAATTAATTATTAAAACATACCTCATTTCTTGGAAAGTTTATTCATTTATATCAGCAATCTTGATAGTCCAAAAATATTATTCTTATCGATTTTAGTCAAAAAATTGTGTGATATGTTTTTAATTTTTTTTTGGTGAACTAATGAGTTTTAAATTTGTCTAATATGAGTTCTATTTTTGTTTGGGTCAAATTGTAATAAATAACATGTGCTTAATTTGATGCTATTTGTCTAAATGAGTTCTAAAAATCTGAAATGAAAATTTTGTTGGTCTAATAATTCCATTTTATATGAAAAAATATATCAGTCGAGGAGAGCATTAAGGGCATTGAAAGGGATAGTGAAGCTACAAGCATTAGTAAGAGGTAACAACGTAAGAAACCAAGCCAAACTCACTCTAAGATGCATCAAAGCTTTGGTTCGAGTTCAAGACCAAGTGCTTAACCATCACCAACAACAACGTTCAAGATTCTTATCATCATCATCACCAACACCATCACGTAATGTTCAAGAAGCAAGACGTAACTCGATGTTTGCTGAATCCAACGGTTTTTGGGATACTAAAACGTATCTTCAAGACATCCGTAGCCGTAGATCTTTGGTTAGTGAGTTGCTGATGATGCTAGTGACCATTGTATTGTTTCTTTGTTAGTGATGCTGACCATTTATTAATTTTTTTTGTGTTTTTGCAGTCGAGGGATATGAGTAGATGCACCAACAATGAATTTGACTCTGAAGAAACAGAATCTATTTTGCAGAAGAAGTTAGAGATTGCTATTAAACGTGAGAAAGCTCAAGCTCTTGCTCTCTCTAATCAGGTATTTATTTTTGGTATCATCAAATATGAAAATTATTAATTATGAAAAATGGTATGTTTAATTTTAATTACATTGGCACAAAAAAAAAAACACAACTTCTATTTGAAATGTTAAAATTATTACTCAACAATAAAGTTAGGCTCTAAATTCTAATCATGCACCTATTAATCTAATAATTATAGTTCTTGACAATATTCCAAAATTAAATATATAAATTATAAATAAATAAATTTGGTTATTTAGATAATTTATTTTAAATAGATTTATAGATTAATTTATTAAGATTTATATATTTTTATTCAAAGAATAACAGAATAATGATTTAAATTTGGGATATAGGGACTAAATTTCACACTATTTTGTTAATCTACATAAAAAAAGTTGATAGAAATTACCTATTTTCATATATTTTAGAATATTTATGAGGGGTATTGGATTAAGCCATTAAGGAATTGAAAATAATTTACCCGGTTCAGTTATTAGTGTAAAATGATACTAATTTATCCGGTTTATGTGAAAGATAATTTACCCGGTTCAGTTATTAGTGTAAAATTATATTAATTTACCCGGTTTATGTGAAAGATAATATACCCGGTTCAGTTATTAGTGTAAAATTATATTAATTTACCCGGTTTATGTGAAAGATTCGAAGTCGGTCGTACCGGAATCAATCAGCCGGCGACGATAGAGAGCTTCTAGAGAGAACACAATGGCTTGATCGATGGATGGCTACAAAGCAATGGGACGACACTATCACCAACGTTAGAGATCCAACAAAGACACTTGAGTTCACCAATCAAAGATCGTATCCAGCGACTCCACCTTCTTGCAGAGCTTCGAGATCAGTTATGGTGAGATCAGCTAGTCCGAGGATACCATGTTCACCTTCCTCGGGGCAGCCGAACTACATGTCGGCTACTGAGTCGGCTAAGGCTAAGGCAAGGACTCAGAGCACGCCACGGCGGAGACCAGTGACGGCTAAGAAGCGGCTGTGTTATGCGGAGGAAGAGAGTTTGAGGAGTCCGAGCTTTAAGAGTGCTTATAATGGTTGTCTTTGGGGTGATCATGAGTCTGATTATTCTTGTTGTTATGGTGATGGGTTCACCGGAAGAATCTCGCCTTGTTCGACGACTGATCTCCGGTGGTTAAAGTGAGAGACTTTTTTTGTTTCTGTGTGTTTGTAATGTTCATGATCATGAGATTTGCTTAGGGTATATTGTTTCCTTTTGCCAAAAGCTTTGATTCATTAGATAACAAAGCTACAAATTCTCAGTTAAACAACTTAACATCAATTCTTTAAGCCGTTGATCTTCTTCACTCATATAAGTTTATAAAGGCTTGTGTTAAGATTTGGCTACAGCAGAGACATGTTCTAAAGTGTAATGTCCAAGTCTACCAGTTCTATATAGATTCAATATCTTAGAAGCAACAGTGAGATCAGCAAACTCACTTGCTTCTTCTGAGACCCTAAGAACCGTTCTTAACGCAGCGAATTGCGTCTCTATAAGATTTCCCATGCTGATGTCGTCTTCTAATTCTCCGTCAAACGCTGAAATTGTCTCGTACAGAACTCTTCGAACGTGGTAAACTATAAAATCCTGCAAATGGAGAAACAAGGAAAGTTGATACAGCAAGTGATAGATTACTGATTAGCAGACAATGTTAGTACCTAGTTCTGGTACCTGTGTATGATCTGTTGGGTACTGTCTCTTACGTTTGGTATCAGACATGGAGGTTCCATTGGATAGACTCTCTCTTAAATCCTGAGATTTACACAGTTTTGCCCATTTCTTGTATACATTGCTCGAGTTTAGTATAGTCAGAAAGAACCGTGCTAGCTCGATCTTCCCAACTATATCATCCGGGATAGCTCCTACATTAAGGAGAGAAAACCCGATAAGTTCACTGCACTATCTGGGATAATAAAAACAGAGAAAAAGTCGTCAAGATATAACTCTACTCAATCTGTGTTGTTTAGAGCTGATCAAACCTGTTAATGCCAATTTTGAGCAGATCTCAGTGTCAAGCAGAGTAGGAGGGAAAATTCCAGGTGTGTCCAATACATAAACGTTGGGATGGCTACCGATCTGAAAACAAATAAATTCTCTAACCATACTAAAACTTGCAGCACCGAGCAAACCTCAAATACAGAGGTAGGTGACACAAACATAATAAGCATAAACAGAAACTGAAGTGACATAAATTCAAGTAATCTGACAAAGGAAGGGACCAAACCTTCAAGCTCATTATGTCTTTAGTATCCCCGGGCTGTGCACTAACTGTTGTATGCTTTAGCTTACCTTTCTCTGTAAATATGTTTAATTCGATCACGAAGAACTGAAAATTCGGCCAACAGAGCAACAATCTTTTCTAAAGATAGGATTTACCTGCAGCACTAATCCTCCCAATTTGATGAAGAGAATTAGCGAGAGCGGACTTTCCTACGTTAGGAATCCCAAGAAGCATCATAGTTGTGGTATGACTAGTATGACCAGCCTTATGCAATTCCCTAACTTGACTCTGCAAGAAGTTAAGAAACTGAAAAAAAGAGTAGCCTTTAAGTTTCTTAGCCTTAAAAGAAGAAAGAACTGAAAGATAAAATCTCGAGACTTAGCAGATAAAAGAATGTTACTTGCTTAACACACTCTTTGTTATGTGAATTCACTGCATACGAAAGGTAGTTTCTTTCCTCAAAGTAATCCATACACGTCTTCAACTCCAAAGGATCCGCGAGTTCCATTTTGTTCAACACAATGATACGTTTTGACGGAAAAGGCGAAACCTTTGTTAACAACTCATACTCAGAAGACAATGGAATCTACACACACACAACAACAACAAAAAATTAGTTCTTTGAGGCAATTAATCGAGCACCTGGAAGGCAAAGTACTGAAGAAGAAGAAACGAACACGAGCGTCTCTGATCTCAAGTACGAAATCAACTAGCGTGATACGTTCCGAGATCGCCCGAACAGCTGCGGCCATGTGAGGTCCGTACCATCTCCGGTTAGGGTTTCTCGACGCCCTGATCACGGCGTCTCCGATTTCACTCGCTATCTTCCAGCTTCTAGCCGTTGCCATATTTTTCCAACATAAACCAAACCTTAAAGCCCATAAATACGAAGTAAAACTTAAATGGGCCTTAAAGTTTCAAACTTAAAAGCCCATATAAGAACTGTGAATACTAAACACTAAGGTTTATTCTCAAATTTTTTGTTGTTTATTATGTATGTTTGATCGATCGTATCCAAATATACTCTATTTTTTTTTTTTGCCAATGTGTTAAGAGAACCTATAAGTACGTACGACTCAGGTGACTTATCGTTTACTTATATACGTATACATGTATTTGTTTTGGAGGTTGATTGATTAAACCTGTAATTAATTTAAATTGTTTTAACATATACTACATCAAAAGGGTTGAACTTATTTTATACAGATTATTTTTTGTATATTTTTATATTTTATAACATAGTTCTGATATGTCGTATTGATTTATGGGGGAATTTCAAAAATACCCCTTTTCCAATAACACTTTTTAAAAATACCCCTCTTTCTAATTTTATCAATAAGTTACTATAAATTTGAAATTTATCAAAAAAATATGTGTAACCTTATATTTATAGACATAAATTATCTTTTTATGTGTGTAAATTTATAAATTTATATTTCATAAATACCTTTTAAAACCTTTTAAAAATCATTTAAAAACCTTATAAAAACTTTGTAAACCTTTTAAAAACCTTATAAAACCTTATAAAACCTTATAAATGCCGTTTAAAACCTTTTAAGACCTTATAAATATTTGGATTTAATCACCCAATAGTAAAGATGATATTGATGTACCTTATCAACCATATAAAAGTTTATAATTTTTCATATTTGAAAAGGGGTATTTTTGAAAATGGATAGAAAAGAGGGGTATTTTTAAAAAGGGGTAAATCAAAAGGGGTATTTCTCAAAAATTCTCTTGATTTAATTAACACGATAACTATCTATATATAACTCGTTTAACACGGTAATGAATAATATGATTTTTGAGAAACAATGTCAATAGGTGGTTGATGAATAGTGTCAGGTAACTAATAGTATTTCCGATGTTGAAATGAATAGTACCATAGATATATTAAAGTTAAAAAAAAAAATCTAATTAATGGATCTTTTGTAATTAATTGAACTAAGAAGGAGACTTTTGGTTTGTGTTTTTTTGTATCTTTCCTAAATACTTAATTTTTAATTTACTATGGTTGAAAATCTATTTTTTTTTGGTCAATCATGTATATAAGTTTTGATAGCCTATGTTATAATAAAACATAATTTCTTGGGAGAATTTCAAAAAAACCCCTTTTCAAATATCATTTTTTAATTAAAAATACATCTTTTTAAACTTTATTTTAAAAAACCATTAAAAATGTTGAAATTGTTTTGAAAAGAACGAGATATTATATTTATATGTAACATTATGAGTAGTTTGAATACTTGAAACCACTGGCATGAGACATGAATCTTCTTGGTTGGATAAGCTAAGGGATTTGAACTGTTTCTCTTGCGACATCTTTGTCGGCATAAAGTAGAATTCTGAAAAGTTAAAGGGGTGTTATTTGTTTGTGATTTATATGGTGTTTTAATGACTTTAAATGTTAGGTAGAATCTATTGTTATTCAATCAAGATTTCACTAAACTCTTTTAAAATTTGGTGTTATTAGTTATTAATTTGTAAAAAGTCATTCAAAATCTTAATAAATATGCGGTTATTGGATTCAGAATTACTAAGTCATTAAAAATTCTGTGTTATTCAATTAAAAAAAAAAGAATCTATGATTGTTAATGAATTAAAATTTTATATTATTGGTTTATGATTTTAAATAGGGCTGCCTATATCTGGCCGCCTGTAGAATATAGTTTCAAAAAGATTCCACCTCTACTTTCACACTCTATCCAATTCCACATGAACAATTTTTTTCTTCCCAATTCCACCTAAACTACATAATTTCTACATAATTAAACAAAATCAATTAATTTTGTGTTCTTAGAAATGTTTGTGAATTCTAAAATCGAAATTGTGACGTTTTTGTTCTTAGAATTTCCCCAAATCGATTTTAAATGTTTTGATTCGGGTTTTGGTTTTACTAACTAGAATTTGGGTCAAAAAAATATCAATTAAGCTATTAAAAATAGGATTTTGTGTATCTTAATTCGCGTTACAGTACACGATTAACTGAACCCGAATAGATATTTTTTTGACCCGAATTCTAGTCAATAAAACTCAAATCCGAATCAAAACTTCTAAAATCGATTTGGGGAAATTTCTAAGAACACAAAAACCCCAATTTCAATTTTTAGGATTCGTAGAAATTTGTAACAACACAAATCAATTGATTTTGGTTAATTATGTAGAATTTTATAGTCTAGGTGGAATTGGAAAGAAAACAATTTGTTCATGTGGAATTGGGTAGAGTGCTAAAGTAGAGGTGGATCCTAATTGAAACCATATACTACAGAGGGTCAGATATAGGCAGGCCTTTTAAATACTTTTCTTTACAAATTGAAGTCATGAAAAGTATCTTAAAAATACAGAGATTGTTTGAGAGACTTTACAAGAATTTAGAAAAACTAATCAACAAGATTACAAAAAAACTCTCAAACAATACTTTAAAATCATGCAATCTAAGATTTTACTAGAGTCATCTAAATTTCTTATAAGTTGGAATCTAATAACACCCCCTAAGTTTTTGATTGGATAACGAACTTTGCTCTCACGAGCTACATATTTTTAACTCGCAAAATAATTGCTAAAATGGAAATTACATATCCTATAAAGTGAAACCCAAATACCTAATTAACTTTAAATGGAAGTGTAATTTCCTATTCTAATAATGCTAATTGCTATATGTATCTCGATTTTTTCGGCTTTTGTTGGTTCTGGTTTTATTTGATATTTTTCATGTTTTCAAAAAAAATTATAAGTTTTCTACATAAATATAATAAACATATAGGCCATGAAGGTTTTGTAGTTTCTAATTGGTTTTTGGATTTTGGCTTTGCATTTTTTGATTTTTTGTGTAATTTTTAGTTTTTGCAAAATCTTGAATGGTAATTTATTTAGTTTTTGGTTTTAATATAAATATTTTTTTAAAACCTTTCTAAGTCATCTGTTTTAATATAATTTTTGCTTTGTGTTGGAAAAATACTATAAATAATGATAAATCTATATATATAAAGTTAGCTTTTTCTCTCTTCTCATGATGCCACCTAAGCATCCACCTAAGCCACATTTTTGTTTAAACATTAAAATAAATTT